GCACGACCACCAGCACAAGCACCAGCACGACCACCAGCACGACCACCAGCACGACCAGCCACCAGCACCTCCAGCACGGCCAGCCACCAGCACGACCAAGCACGACCACCAACACGACCACCAGCGCCTCCAGCACGGCCAGCCACCAGCGCGACCACCAGCACAACCACCAGCACGACCACCAGCACGACCACCAGCACGATCACCAGCGCCTCCACCAGAACGGCCACCAACACGACCGCCAGCACGATCACCAGCACAACCACCAACGCGACCAGCCACCAGCACGACCACCAGCACGATCACCAGCACAACTGCCGCCAGCACAACCACCAGCACGACCGCATTATGGGCACACGGTCGGTCGAAATAAAGCAGTGCGAGATCACACCGGTAGGTATGATGATAAAACTGCCATCTAACGGCCTGGTGGTTCAGTTCAGTCTGTCTACCTCGCGAACATCAAATTACGGGCTGCGCCCAGATACTAGAAAAATACTCCGAAGATGCTCAAAAACAGTCAAAAGATGGTCCCCTGGCTATTTTTGTTATTTTTGCATATTCTAGTCCTCCTGTAGAGGCACCCCGACTTAACCCTCGATTGTGCGGGGAAGCGCGCGTGGACCATGGCCGCGACCCGGCTCCAAATGGCCACGCCAATGGCCGCCTCGGTCTGGCACTGCACCGCCCGATGGAAGCGCAGCGCAGCCCACGGCGCCACACAGCTGGTCACGCGAAGTGCGCCCGCGGACGGCAAGCCCGCAGTAGGCTCTCGAAAGAGACACGGGAGGGGCACCGCCCTAGGGCACCTGCGTCGAAGGAGGCGTTCGTGTAAACAATGAGAACCCTCTAGGCAGGCCTAGTTAGGGGACAACGCTAGCGGCGCGATGCGCTCTGGGTCTGAGCGAGTGGGCACGCTCGGCATGAGTTTCCTGGCGTGCTTCGTGGCAGCAGCGGCGGCACAACTATGGCTGTCGGACGCGAGCGGGCGCGCTTGCAGTGGGCCTCCTCCCAAGCTACTTGCAACAATCCTGGTGAGGCGATGCTCGCAGGAAACCAAGCGGGTCGGCTCGGACTGTGACTCCTGGCAACAAGCGGTGCGATTTGCCCCTGGAACGAGCGGGCACGCTTGGAGAAACCTTCCTGCCAGCTACGCTGGTCGCGCGATGTACGCCGCAAGCGAGCGGCACCTCGGCCAACCCCTTCCTAGCCATCGTCCTACGGTTGTTGTGTTTCTGGCCCTGCTTTGGCTCAGTCTGCGGGCACTCCAAGAGCTCACGCGGCCCAAAAAAGTTTGAGGGGCAGCGGTAAGGGGGGGACCACAGCACAAAGGGGGGGAACATCGAGCTGGAATCGAAGATACGTCGCCCACAGATCCGCGCGAGGCCTCCGGCAGCGAATCCGCACGGTCCTGGACGGGGTGGGCTGCACGGGCCCTCGTATCGGCGATGCATGGGCGACTGCAAGTCGATGCGCCGTCCCCTGAGCCTATCCCCTGCGAAATGCTTTAGAAATCATGGGTTAAGAAATTCATGGTCTCAGAACTTGAATAAAAACCCAACATTTCTATCAAAATCTTAGGATTTACATTGAAACGTTAAGAATAATCGAGACTCTGGCCGAAAACTTAGGTTTTCTTAAGCATCGCCTAAGGTGTATCCCCCTGAGAGCTTTCCCAGAAGTGCTTGTCACGAGAAGCTGCGAGACTCCGCGCCCACGGCCGCCCGGTGCCCGATGCCCGTGTGCGCGGCCTGCGGCGCACGGCGTCGATGGCCACCGCCGCCTTTTGTTTTACGCCCGCTGGCGCCGAGTGGTCCGAGACATTCGGAGGCTGGCCAGCAAGCGGCGGGGTGCACAGGAAGCGACTTGAGGCACAAAAGCGAGCAGGCACAGAGCGCGAGGGGGGCGCGCGACCACTTGAACCTCGCCTCGGTGCGACTGGCACAGCAACGTGACACAGCCGCTCGCCATTCAACGAAGAACGCTGCGCCGACCCGTCTAAAACGACGCGAAGATCGGGACAAAATCGGATCGGGATTACTCGAAATCTCTGAGAATCGGCGGGTTTGGAGGATGTATTGGGCGCCGCGGCCGCTCCAGAGCGTTCCGGAACGCTCTGAGGGCGCTCCGGCACGCTCTGGAGCGACGTATCCCGACGCTAGCCCTGTTTTACCGTCACAGGCAGGCTCGTGCGCAGAACGCTGCGCAGACCGGTCACGCCCCCAAATGTGAAGGGGAACTGGAACACACAAATAAATACACACAAATAAAAATATCCCCCATAAAAATATCCACCCCCGACATGTGCCGGTCGCGAACACCACCCGCTTTTGCCACCGCAGGAGTGCTCGGAGATACGCCGCGCGCCCGCCGGGTGCTCGCGGCGCCCCCCTGCAGCTCGAGGAACGAAAGTCAAAAAAAAAAACACCCCGCTCGCACGAGGGCGGGCCCGTATAGGGCGCGAGGGAAAAACAAGTCACAGTGCAAGCAGGAAGCGGCGGGCGTGCTCACTCGCAGAAATCCAATAATAAACTTCCGTCAAGGGGGGGGTGCGGTGAGGAATGGGCATCCTGGAGTATCACGACTGCGAGCCCGGGGGGAAGTGAGAAGGGGCGGGCCTTCTCAGAAGGCTCGGAAGGCCTCTGGCATTCTGAGAAATTTGGCAAGCCCTCCCGGGAGACACTTCCCAGACGGCCGCGAACGGCGCCTGAAAGCCCCGCGCCGTCTGAGAAGGCCTGCTCCTTCTCACTTCCCCCCCCCCAGGCGCGCCGCCGAGCATCCTTCGGGGAGCAACACATGGCATACGCTCGAAGCCTTCTCCGAGAGGCTCAAAAGAGGCCCCCAAAGACGAGCCCAAAACGGTGCCCAAGAAACACCAAAGGCCTCAGCCGTGGACGTCGTCATCTGTCGGTGTCCGTCTTCATATGATCAGCACTGCTGTGTTGCTTGTGCTTCTTCTTCTTCTTCTTCTTCTTGTTCCGGGGGTCGGCGGAATGGTGTACGCCTCTCGAGTACAATCGAAACTGATAAGAAAGATGCGGGATAGGGATGCAAGCCCCTTGGTCGCCCGTGTTAGAGCTTTTTCGAGAGGGGCTGGCCATCGGAAATAGTCCGATCCGCGCGGCTTGCACGACCAACCGGCGTGCACGGCTCCGGGAGTCGCGTGGCGCCTGACATGGTGAAGCCGCAACAAAGGGAGGGAGAAGGGGGGGAGGGCGGAACAGGAAGCAGTCTGTCCTTCCTCTAAGACTCTAGGACGTTCATTCCCCGTGTATGCTTCGGCTTCGCTCGTGTACTTTTCGCAAGACGTTCCAGACTGCTCCTCAACCGACAGAAAACGCGCACGTCCGAGCGATACCAAAACAGACGGGGGGGAGAGAGAAGGGGGGGAGACAGAGGGGAGGGAGAAGGGGAAGAGGGAAAAGGGAGAAGGGTGGGATAGCGGAAGAGGAAGCAGTCGGCCCTGCTGCTGCTGAGCTCGCGCTGGCACAGGTCGCCGTGGAGTCCACGACGCCGCGCGCCCGCGGTCCGCCGAGGGGGTCGAGGAGGCAAGCATCCACCCACCATCCCCAACCTCCTCCTTCTCCTCATGCTTCTCCTCCTCCTCCTGCCCCCACACCTCCTCTTCCTCCTCTTCCTCCGCCTCCTCCTCCTCTTCCTCCGCCTCCTCCTCCTCCTGCTTCTCCTCTTCCTCTTCCTCTTCCTCTTCCTCCTCCTCCTCCTCTTCCTCCTCGTTCTCCTTCTCCTCCTCCTTCTCGTTCTCCTCCTCCGCCTCCTCCCCCCTCCCTTCCCTCCCCCTCCTCCTCCCCCTCCCCCCTCCGCCTCCTCCTCCGCTTCCTCCCCTCTCCTCTGCATCCTCCTCCTCCTCCTCCCCTCCTCCTCCTCCTCCTCCTCCTCAGTCTCCTGCATCCCTCCTTCCCTTCATTCGCATCGCAGAAGAGCGGGGGGGGCTGGCGGCCGCCGCCGTCAACGTCGCGGCGAGGGACTCCCTGTTCTCCTTCTTCTCCTTTTTCTTCTCCTGCCCGCGGGCTCTGCAGAATCCCCACCCCCCACGTTCTGGCGCGGCCTCTCCCACGACCTCCTCCCGCCACGCGCAGATCGGGATGGCTAGCCTCTCCAAGCCCTTGGCCCCCAGAGGCCCATTGAGGCCCAAGGGGGGCAAACAAGGACATACGTCGGGGGCAAACCCAAACAAACCAGCTGCTGTGGACGTGGTCTGAGAGGCACAGAAACCGCTCCCGCCACAGACGGAAGCACGCCGTCGGACGTATGTGCCGTCGTCCCCGTGTTCCTCCTCGCCCTCGTTGTCCTCCCCCTCCCACTCGCCCTCCTCGCCCTCTCGCCCTCCTCCCCCCCCCCCAACTCGCCCTCACACGCCCCTCCTCCTCCCCCTCCTCCTCCCCCCTCCCCCTCGCCCTCCGTGTCCTCCTCGCACTCCTCGTTATCTTCCTCTCCTCCTCCTCATCCTCCTCCTCCTCATCCTCCTCCTCCTCCGCCACCTCTTCCTCCTCCTCCTCCCCCCCTCATCTCGCCTTATCATCGTACTAGCAGGAACCCCATGGAACCCCGAGGAACGCGTACCATAGGCTGACAGCGGGGCCTATGTGTAACCCCCAAGAGCCCCCTTCGCGAAGATCATCGCACTAAGATGGTTAGCCCTATGTGTTCCCCACCCCATGTGCCCCTTCCTATAAGTCGCCTTCCTGCCCCCCTTTGTATCCTACTGTGTCTCCCTCTGCCCCTCCACTTCCCTCAAACCATCTCTCCTCCTCCTCCTCCTCCTCTTCCTCCTCCTCCTCCTCTTTCTCTTTCTCCTCCTCCTCCTCCTCCTCCTCCTCCTCCTCCTCTTTCTCCTCCTCCTCCTCCTCCGCGTGCGGTTCACGAGTCTCCGCCCTGTCGCCCAAGACAGGTGTGGGAGTAGGCGGCAAACTCATGTTCGTCGTGTCTGCCGTCGTGCTCACGGCTCAGAGGATCCGTCAAGCGAGCTCCTCCTCCTCCTCTTCCTCCTCCTCATCCTCCTCCCCCCACCCTCCGAGCGCGCGCGCCTCTGCAACTGTCCTGGCCCCTCAGCGCGACGGCAGCCTGGTCCTCCTCCTCCTCCTCCTCCACCTCGTCTTCGTCTTCGTCCTCGTCCTCGTCCTCGTCCTCGTCCTCGTCCTCGTCCTCGTCCTCCTCCTCCTCCTCTTCCTCCTCCTCCTCTTCCTCCTCCTCCTCCTCTTCCTCCTCCTCCTCCTCCTCCCCTCCTCCTCCCCCCCCTTCTCCTCCTCCTCCCGTTCCTCCTCCTCCTCTCCTGCTCCTCCCTCTTCCTCCTCGCTTCTTCATCCCCCCCCCCCCACTCCGCTCATCGGCGCGCCTCTGCAACTTTCCTGGCCCCTCAGCGCGACGGACCCGTCCCTCCTCCTCCTCTCGTCCCCTCACTCCTCCTCCTCCCTCTCCTCCTCCTCCCTTTCCTCCTCCTCCTCCTCCTCCTCCTCGTCCTTCTCCTCGTCCTCCACCTCCTCCTCCTCCTCCTCCTCCTTCTCATCCTCCCCCCTCTTTCCACGCGAGGGCAGCCTGACCGTCGTCCTCCTCCTCCTCCTCTTCCTCCTCTGCTTCTTCTTATTATCAGTAGGTTGACTATTCTTATTAGTATCCATCGTATTCGTCTTCTGTTTCGTTTTCGTATGTGTCGTAGTGCTGTTAGTCTAATGGTTCTTAGTATTGTTGCCCTGATTCGTATCATTACCATTAGTATTAGCATTAATAATATTTGTCGTACTATTATCATTAGTAATGATATGAGTATTATTATTATTAGTAGTCGTATTATTAGTATTGTTGTTATTATTAGTATCCTTTGTAGTAGTTAATATCATTTTTATCGTCTTTGTAATCGTATCAGTATCAATCTTAGTCTTAGCCGTCTTATGATCATTAGAAATATCCTCCTTCGTATGATCATTCGAATTATTATCCTTCTTCTCCTTCTTCTCCTTCCTCTCCTTCCCCTTCTCCTTCTCCGTCTTCCTCCTCCTCCTCCTGACTCCTCCTCCTCCTCCTCTTCCTTCCCCTCCTCCTCCTCCTCCTCCACCACCGCCGCCGCCTCCGCCTCCGCCTCCGCCTCCGCCTCCACCTCCTCCTCCTCCTCCTCCTCCTCCTCCTCCTGCTCCTGCTCCTGCTCCTGCTCCTCCTCCTTTTCCTCCTCCTCCCCCTCCTCATCCTCCCCCTCGCCCTCCCCCTCCCGCTCCCGCTCCCCCTCCCGCTCTCCCCCTCTCGCTCTCCTCCTCGCCCTCGCCCTCGCCCTCTCCTTCGCCCTCGCCCTCGCCCCCCTCCTCCTCCTGCTGCTGCTGCTCCTGCTCCTCCTCCTTCTCATCCTCCTCCTCCTCCTCCTCCTCCCCATCATCATCATCACCATCATCACGACCACCATCATCATCATCATCATCATCTCATCATCATCATCATCATCATCATCATCATCATCATCATAATCACCATCATCATCCTCCCCCTCCTCCTCCTCCTCGTCCTCCTCCTCATCCTCCTCATCATTATCATAACCGTCATCATCCACATCACCAAAAATCACCATCACCATCACCACCATCAGCATCATGAGCGTCATACGCATCCTCATCATGATCATCATCAGCAGCAGCAGCATGAGCATCATCAGCATCAACATCATCATCATCATCAGCATCATCATCAGCGGAATCATCATCTGCATCATCAGCATCAGCATCGTCATCAGAGGAATCATCATCAGCATCATCATTTGCATCCTCCTCCTCATCATCATTATCAACCTCGTCATCATCCACATCAGCATAATCATCATCATCATCATCATCAGCATCATAATCATCAAAAGCATCAGTATCGCCATCACCATCACCACCATCATCATCATCATCATCATCATCATCATCACCATGATCACCACCATCACCATCAGCATCAGCATCAGCATCATAATCAGCATCAGCATCATCAGCATCATCAGCATCTTCATCTTTTGCACCACCATCACAATCACCATCACCATCACCATCATCATCATCAGCATCATCACCACCATCATCATCAGCCGCAGTATCATCAGCAGCAGCATCAGCATTACAAGAATCAGCATCATCGGCAGCACATAAGCGTCATAATCAGCATCAGCAACAGCATTCGCATCAGCATCATAATCAGCAATATCATCATCGTCATCATCATAATCACCATCACAATCACCATCACCATCACCACCATCATCATCATGAACATCATACTCATCCTCCTCACCATCATCACACCACCATCACCATCATGACCACCCTTTGTGGGCCCGGGAAACGGCAGGGCCGATTTTTCACCGTTTCCAAAACATGTCCCGTAAAAATGGGAAAGGCAAACACACGGCGACCGGAAACGGCAACAAAAACGGCTACAGGATTGGAACCGAAGCTGGAACTGGTCAAAAGACGGCCACGGAACCAGCAAAACACGGCGTCGAAACAGGCAAAAAAACGGCAAAACGGAACCGGTAAAAAAACGGCCCTGTCGTTTCCAGGGCCCACTAAGCGACCACCATCATTATCATCATCCTCATCCTCCTCCTCATCATCATCATCATCGTCATCATCCACATCAGCATACAGTCGGGGCGTTGACCTAAGGAACGGTAAATAAGGAACGGGGCCCCTTTTTCCCACAAGCTAAACTCCGATTTCCCATCGAAAACCAAAAGAAAACCCTAGGCAAACTGTGAAGCAATCAAGGAACACGGAGCCCCTCCCAAACGAAAAGGGTTCCTTCTTCAGGGCCCCGACTGTAATCACCATCACCATCACCACCATCAGCATCATGAGCATCATACTCATCCTCATCATGATCATCAGCAGCAGCAGCATCCGCAGCAGCATGAGCATCATCAGCATCAACATCATCATCATCAGCATCAGCATCAGCATCATAATCAGCATCAGCATCATCAGCGGCATCATCATCAGCATCATCACCATCAGCATCATCATCAGCATCAGCAGCATCATCATCAGCATCAACTTCAGCATCATCATCAGCATCAACATCAGCAACATCATCATCATCATCATCAACATCATAATTAGCATTAGCACCATCGGCAGTATCAGCATGAGCATCATCCTTATCAGCATCAGCATCAGCAGCAACATCATTATCGTCATCATCACTATCATCGTCCTCATCATCATCATCAGCAACAGCATCAGCGTCAGCAGCATCAGCATCAGAACCATCAGCATCAGCACCATCAGCATCAACATCATCATCATCACCATCACCATCACCATCAACATCAGCATCATCATCACCAACATCATCATAATCAGCATCATCAACATGAACATCAACACCAAAAGCATCAGCATCATAACCGTCATCATCAGCATAACCATCGTTATCATCATCAGCATCATCGTCATCATCATCATCATCATCGTCATTGTCATCATCATCATCATCATCATCATCATCATCATCATCATCATCATCATCATCATCATCATCATCATCATCATCATGACCAACCATCATCGTCATCATCATCATCATCATAGTCATCATCAGCATCACCGTCATCGTCATCATCATCCCCCGAGGAGGAAGAGACTCCGCGCCGCTGCTCGGTCCTTCGCGGCCCTCGGAGCCCCAGGCGCAGGCGGCGCCGCCGGCGCCGCCTCGGCGGCGGGGCGGCGGGGCGCTGGCGGTCCGACGATTCCCCGCCCCACACGCTGCGCGCACGCCCCACGCTCCGACCCTCCGTAAGACGTAACTACGACGAATCTCTGAGCTCCGGCGGATCTGGGGGATGTCTCAGGCGCCGCGGCCTTCTCAGATCGTTGCCGGACGCTCTGAAAGCGGTCCGGAACGCTCTGGAACGGATATGTCCTCGTCCTGGCCCCGCCCGGCTATGCCCGACCTTTCCTTCTTTCGGAAGCGGCACAGCGTGACGCTCCCCAAATGCGGCGCCTGTTGCAACGCAGCCGTGCGCGGCTTCTCGTGCTGACCCCTGGGCCCGGATTCTGGTGCTGCCACTGGGCGCTTAAATGGGACAGCTGAAGACAGGACAGTTTGCCAAGGCCCACTCGAACGCCGAAACTTCCGTGCGAAATGCACACGTGCATCCGTGCCCGACCTCGTGGGGCTATATGAAGGGAAACTGGGACACACAAATAAATACACAAATAAAAAGATTCCCCATATTTTCCTATATTTTCTGGTTTTTTGTCTTCCCCACCACTTCCCATATTTTCCCATATTTTCCTGGGGATCGACGATTAATTGTGTCTGTGTGTTTTTTCCCCTCCTGACTATAGAGCGGACCGAAAGATGTGGGGCCCGACTGTGGGATCTACGACACAGGGGGGCGCCCGCCCTCGACAAGGGAGGCTGTGCCGCCGAGCTCCCCTTCTATTCTGAGCGGCCCGATTCCGCGTGGGAGCGAATAGGTGCGAGGCGGGAGTTTACCAATATCCACCGCCTGGGAACCGGCGTCCTGGTGCCCCAGTGGGCGGTGGATATGGACAGATGTCGGCCCCCGGGGGCCCGAAGCTGTCCACATCCACCGCATGCCGAGGCTCCGAAAACCGACCCTCCAGGCGGTGGTCATGTATACATTCCCGCCTCGGAATAAGAAGGCGGGGGATCGAGTACAGAATCGATTTGCCCCAGAATCCACTGTTCCGTCGGGCTCGCGAAACAGTGCGCTCAGCAGATCCATGGCACACCCGACACATGTTCTGCTCACCCGGCGGAATCCTCGGTTCTGGGGCAAACCAAAATTCTGCAGTCGGTCTCCCACTCGGGGGGCCGGAGGCGAGGCGCCGCCTCCGACCCCCGCGAAGATCTGGCGAGGTCTCGCCCCCTGGGGTAGACAAGTTCTGTAGTCCTCCTCCTCCTTCTCCTCCTCCTCCTCCTCCCTCTCCTCCTCCTCCTCCTCCTCCTCTTCTTCTTCTTCTTCTTCTTCTTCTTCTTCTTCTTCTTCTTCTTCTTCTTCTTCTTCTTCTTCTTCTTCTTCTTCCTCCTCCTCCTCCTCCTCCTCCTCCTCCTCCTCCTCCTCCTCCTCCTCCTCCTCCTCCTCCTCCTCCTCCTCCTCCTCCTCCTCCTTCGCTGCAGCCGGTCTCCTGCACGGGGGGGTCGGAGGCGAGGCATCGCCCGCGAGCGGACCCTCGCCGGTGCCCGCGCCCACCTCGGCGCCGAGGGCTCGGGGCAGCTCGGGGAGGGCAACGACCTGGCCCGCCTCCCGCGCCGCGCCTCGCACGCACACTGGCCCTCGTGGGTCAGCGGTGGTGTTCTCAGGGACACGTGCGAACCCTACCCCTATACCCCCCACGATTTCTGAGGGGTTAGGGTAGGGTTCACTTCGCTCGGGAGCTCCCGAACGGAGTGAACCCCACCCTCCCCCTCAGAAATCGCGGGGGGTAGGGGCAGGGTTCGCATGTGGCCCCCTAGTTCTGACGATGGGGTCTCGAAGACGAGGCGCCCGAAGCAAGGAAACTCCGCCCGTGAGCCCCTTCCAATCCTGGACCCCATCCCTCAGGACCCCAATCCTTGCATCGACGGGGAGCCTGGGCGGGAAGTGACAAGGCGAAGGCCTCCTCTGAAGGCTCGGAAGCTCCCGGGCCTCCTGAGAAGTCTCCCGGGCATCGCCCGACGACGCGCGAGACAGAGATTCCAGAAGGCGCGAGGGCCCCTGAGAAGTCCCGCCGCCGTCTGAGAAGGCCCCCTCCTTCTCGTCGTCCCCCCCTCCCCAGACCCCCTCGAGTCATGAAAAAAACACGACGGGAGGTGTTTCTATGTTTTCGGCCTCCGGGGGCCCTTGCCGGCCCTCGGGACCGTCAAAAAACGACTCGGGGTGAAAAACCGGTCCCGGCGAATAGGTCCAGACCTCTGAGGGTCGCGTCATGAAAAAATCATGACGTCGGGGGTCTGGGTCGCTCGCCGCCGACTGGACCACCCAGCCCCGCCCCTCCCGCCGCAGCACGACCGAGCACCGCCCGAGGCGACGGCGAGGCCGAAGCCGCCCGAGGGGTCGGCACGGCCGAAGGGGCGGCCGGGGAGGGGCGCGGCGGCGCGGCGGCGCCGCGGCGCGCAGCCCGCCGACCGCGGGCGGCTAATTACGACGCAGCCGGCACCACACGGAGCCGCGGCCGCCCCCGGAGACTGGCCGCCGCTCGGGCGTCCAGTCGGCGGCGCGCCCAGGGGGGGGAAAAGCGTGAGGTCGTGAGGTCTTCGAGCCTCTCGGGCGTCTTCGTCCGTCCTTCGGGTCGGGCGAGAGGGGGGGGATAGCCAGGGGGGGGGGGGGGAGAATCAGCTCACGTCTGCCCGGCCCTCCCGGCGCGCGGGAGGCGCCCATGCATCGAGGGATGGGCCCGCGGCGGGGCCGGAACCAGCTGCATGCAGCAGATTCCGTAACCCCCTCCCCCCTCCCCCTCCCCTCCCCCTCCCCCTCCTCCTCCTCCCCCTCCCCCTCCCCCTCCCCTCCCCCTCCTCCTCCTCCTCCCCTCCTCCCCTCCTCCTCCTCCTCCTCCTCCTCCTCCTCCTCCTCCTCCTCCTCCTCCCCTCTCCCGATCCCCCCCCCTGTCGTCTGGCCCGAGCCCTCGGCGGCTCTCCAGCCTCGGGACGTCTTTGTCCAACACCTGCGCCCTCGCCGGGAGCGTCCTATGGGGGCGTCCCCGATCGTGCCGGGCGGCCGCCAGAGGGCCGCGCGGCGGCCCCCAAAACCACACCGGTCGCCCGAGAGGGGGGCGAGCCCTTCTCTCCGCAGGCTCGGAGGCCGTCGGGCCGTCCGAGAAGTCTCCTAATGAGTACCGTTTCAGATGACGAACCAACAACACACACACACACACACACACACACACACACGCAACACACACCACACACCACACACCACACACCACACACCACACACCACACCACACACACACACATTCACACACACACACATTCACACACACACCCATACCCATAGGTGGGTCGGAAAGGGCTATGGGTGCGTGTTGTCGGATGGGGGTCCCCGCTCGAACGGGAGCGTTACCCAGGGTCCGACAACCCGCATCCATAACCATAGCCAGTCCTCCTCTCAACGACCCCCGTATGGGTATGGGTGTGTGTTGCTCGTTCGTCATTAAGAGATCCCCGTCCCCAGCGGCGTGGCCTGGGCCCCACTGGCCGACTTACCCCCCCTTAGATGGGTATACAGGCCGTTCCCTTCGGGCGTCGAGGGTGGAGGTCTCGAAGGGGATGGGGATGGGGGTCGGTTAACCGGTACTGACCTGAGCATCCCCCGGAGACGCACCACAGGCTTCGCAGACGGTGCGGGGGCTCCTACACAAACCCCCGCCGCCTTTCAGAAAAGGGCCGCTTCCTCTCCTGCCTCCCCCTCGCGGGCGCGCCGCCGATCCATTGCCCCGCGCACTGCCTGGCTTCGCGTGCGCCTGCTCGTCCGGCGGATGGCCCAAAAACGGTCGAGATGTCATGGCGCCAGCCTCGCCGAACAACAAATAAAATCACACGCCCGAGCGGTGCCAAGGATAAATCCCAAGAAGGCGCACTGCCACCGTCCCGGCGTGGGGATCCCCCTCCGCGGTGTCCGCTTCCAGGCGGTGCGCGAGGATGGAGGTGTGGGGGGGGCAGGGCGAGGAAGGCGCCCATCGGAACAACAAGCACGGGGCCCTTCAGAAACCCCGGCAAGGCTCCTGGGTGGGGCTCCTCATGAGGATCGGGTCGGGCGAAAGGGGGGGATAGGAATGGTTCGGGCGGCCTTCAGCCTTGAAAGGACGTGCTGAAGTCGCCGCCGCGCTGATGCGGCGGGAGCCTGACTGCGCACTAGCCTGAACGCAATGCTGTAGCCACACCTTCATCGCCCTCCTGCTCTTGAACCTCCTTCAGACCCTTTCCTCGTACTCGTCGTAGCCGTCGTCCTCCTCTTCCTCCCTCTTCTTACCCCAAACCTCTTGTCGGGACAACGCGTTTCGTGGAGGGCGACGGGGGCATCAATGTGGATCCCAGCGTCCTGGAGCCGTGGTTCAACTCCACTGGGGCAATGCTGGTGTCCAGAGCGGCCGCCACGCGCAGGCATGAACTACCATGCGGGACGGGAAGAGGACCACAGCCACTGCTTCTTGTTTTTGCGCCGCCTTCCCGCCGGCCGCAAAAGAAGCAGTGGTTGTGGTCATTTCCCCGGTGCCAAGCTTCACGAGCATGACCACAGCCACTGCTCTGTTTCTGCGGGCCGGAAGGCGGCAACAAAAGAAAAGCAGTGGCTGTGGTCGTTTTCGCGCCCCGTACACCAGGCCCCAAGCTGGACTACTTCGGGATCGGCGCCGGCCTGATGACCAGGGTGGGCCGCCCTGCGGCCCACGAGGCTGCAGACACGCATCCGCATGGGCCAGTCGACCTTGAGCTGCGAGAGTCCGAGGTCGTGTCGCGCGGCGTCGGGTCCCGTGGGGCCCCGGTGCTGGGTACGCCCCCGTGGAGGGCGCGGCACCGAGAGCCTGCGTAAGCCACCGCGCTCGCCTGCGGGCAAAAATGGGTGGGATGCCCAAGCGGCAAACGTGGCCCCCAAGACGGTCAGCAACCGCTGTTTGGCAGGCGACTTCTTGTCCCAAGTGAAGGACGGACAGAAACGGGTCTTTCGCGATAGCACACACTGACCTGACGCGGTGGCTTGCGCGGTGGCTACGCCCGCCGCGGCGCCCCGAGAGCGCGGCTGCAGCCGCAACGGTGCGGGCGAGATCGCGGCACTCTCGGGCGCTGGCGGGGGCGGATGGGGGCGGGAGGCCTCTGGTGGCGACTACGCCGCCGCCGACACCGCCGACGACGCCGACACCGAGTCCGAACCGATGACGGTGAGGGCAGCGGCGGCGGCTCCCACGACGACAAGGACAGCGACGCCAGCGGCGGCGACGAAGACACCAGAGGCCTCCCAGATGGGGTCGCAGTAGATCGGGTCGGAGCATCGCGCCGCACAGCCAATGCATCGCCAATGCATCGGCGACGCGTCGGCGACGCCAGCGCGGAGAGACTCGGGCTCCACATCGAGCCGCATCGCCGACGCTCCATCGCCGATCCATCTCCTTCGGCCACGCGTGATGGCCTGGAGCTGGCTCCGCCCGTGGCGGCAGTCGCCCTCGTCGGCGCTCTCTCGCCGTCGGCGTCTTCGCCGTCGGTCGGCGGCGAAAGCGCGCGGGGAGGCTGGGGCCTCCGCAGGCGTCGGCGCCGCGGGGGGGGCGTCCGTCAGCGGGTGCCCGGGGGGGATGCCTTGCGGTGCCGGGGCATCCGCCCACATTCCGCTCCTGGTCCTGCCCTTTGGCTGCTCCTCTATGCTGCCTCCTCCCTCCTCTTCCTCCTCCTCCTCCTCCTCCTCCTCCTCCTCCTCCTCCTCCTCCTCCTCCGCCTCCGCCTCCGCCTCCGCCTCCACCTCCTCCTCCTCCTTCCTACTTCCTCATATACATACACGGCCTGCAGACAGAGACACCAAACAGAGTTCGGAGCCCCCTGGCGCCCGCACGGCAGACCTGGCGGGCGAGCGGTACGGAAACCCGCTCCAGAAAAAAATGATCATATTATGGGAACACCACCTCATGCCCTAGCAGGGAGAAAGGGGTGATCCCGAGCTCTATCTTCCAGAGCCGAGAAATCCGCACTCCCCTGGGGTATGGGAGTTTGCAGGCTCGGAGCTGGCTAATGAGCTTAATCTTGATGCGGGTGCAACTGTCAGCTAGATGGACCGCTCCCCCCGTGGCGTACGATCCGCACTTCAGACAAAAATCACGGGAGCACCCGAAGCCTCGATCTCCGCCGCCCACAAGGTGTGGGGCGGCGTGGGTCGGCTGTCACTCGCGAACAGCTGGAAGAGCGATCCGGGCAAGGGCACGCACCGGCTGCGATGGCAGACCCACGGAAAGGCAGGATCTGCCAAACTGGATGCACTGCCATCTGTTCTGTGTCCACCTAAAATCATGAAAAATTCGCCTCGAGGTCTTTGGGGACGGGACTTTGGGCCTCCTCGCTAGGTCACCAACCACATCCCTGGATTTGCCCCAAGACCCCAAGACATAAGAAACAACTTCAAAAAACATCTTGCCATTTCTGAATAGGCTGCTTCAACTTGATCAACGTCCGAGGGATCAAGTTGACTCTTGGCAATCTCTTTCGCAAGGGCATCGGCCAAACTATCGGCTAGAACCCTCGAGTGTTCCTCCCGAGGTCTCTCCCCCCTAGTGAGGCTTTGGTGGGCCTTGATATCATGTATATTCCATCCTGCAAAGCTGGTCAGATGATATATCTGGCGCCAATGTCCAACTTGCTGTCGTCGTCCGTCTTTGGCTCGGATTGGATTGGGACTGTGGCTCCGTGCCCGACTGCACCGTCGTCCTGGAATATCTGAAAACCCTGCTCCTGCAGGGCAAGATGGGCACAGACGCGAAGCAGGCCATGATGCTCAGCCATGTTGGCATTACGCGGAACGCATCCTGGAAGAGACTCCATCGGACGGCCCTCTTCAGGTCACCGGGTCCATTGACTTCAACCGCGCACCATCCCTCTCGGGCCAGAAGGGGGACGGCGGGGTGAACGACCGAACCATCATCTGAAATTTCGGCCCTAGACCTTCGAGAACAAACGGCTCAATATGACCCCCTCTGTCGAGGTATTCCAGAATCTCGGCGCGAGGGGAAGGTTGTTGATCTCTGGCGTATCCATCCACCAGCAGCTGAAAAGGGGGCCCTGTGGGCCCGCATCCATGGCCTCTTGCGCCAGGGCTGGGTCCAGCTCCCGGCGACGAGGAACCCCGAACGGACAGGCCCACTCTGTGGAAGGTGGTGTCTATGGCATCACAATGGGGGCATGTTGGAGCGACCTGGTATCTTCGCTCGTGCAGAGGGGCGGCAGTGGGGTGGCATCCCGTAAAGACCTGCCGCTAGATGCGCACGTCCTGCACGCTAGGCTTGGACGAGCTCCAAGCTCGAGAGCCAGGATGGGTCCAGAGTCCATTTTGCGGACGCGACTGGCTCTGCCCCCCACCCCCCGTCCCTTGGAGTTTCCCCTCCACGACACCCTGGGCATCAACCTCTGGAGGTCCTCGCCGAAAAGGTCCGCAACCTGGGGCACGGGGGCCAGGGTAAAATAACAAACGACCCCTCTGGCCGAACTCGAGCTCGCGTGGCCCACTAAATCCCACGGCGCTTGCTTGCGCCAAAACATCATATCGCTCAGCGGGGTGTTGGCCACGAGATGCCGGCGATCTTTCCTGGGGTGGGCTTCAAATCGCTACCTGGCAAGTCCACTTGCTTCTTTCAACGCTCGGGCCGTGGGGTTGCCCATGGCAGCGAGGGCCGCGTCGGTGGTCGACCATCATTCAACGCAGTATCTCTGGGTCCTTGCAAGGATGTAGGCGCCAAGCAAGGTCGAGGTTGGCCCCCGCCCCCCGCGGCCCGATACTCTTGGCCATCTGGAGCCTCAGGGCCCGCATTTCTTTGGGGTTTTCACGGTGCGTCGCGCTGGGCTTGAGCCCGCGCGCAGAAATTTTTCCGGCCCCAGCTCCCCCCCCATCGGAGGTTGTCTATATTTGGGAGCCTCTTCTTGGCATTGGATCAGCGAGATTGTTTGTTGGCCCTGGCCCCATTTCGACCCGGGGGCCCTGCCGATCGCAAAGTCAACCCCCAGGTTGGCCACGTGCCCCGAGACGGCGTGTCCATATTTACCCAGGGCCTGGGGGGCTAGCTTGGCCACGTCGTGGGAGTTGGTCGTGAACTGCATCTTCTGAAGGGCAATGGGGGGCTCCAATTTGTTGGTGAGCAGGTCAAACACCTGCCCCGCGAGACTGGCATGGCTGTTCAGGCAGGACTCCGCGGTCGGCATGGCCACCGACGTGGTGACATCGTCAATATGGATGGTGAGGTCCTCGTCTTGGCCTTGGCTGATCTCTGTTGTATAAGGCGCCATGCAGGCTTTATTTTCGTACGTGACAGTAGAAGATCCCGACGCAATGCCTCTCTTTGGGTGGATGGGGCCCACTCAGAGCCGAATCCATCAAAAGGCGACGAGGCCAACGGTAACTGGATATCGCAAGTCTTAAAGCAAGAAGCCGGAATGGACTTGCTCTCCTTCGGTCCACAGGGAGCCGTGGGAGACGCGCTCGCAACGCTGTTTCAAGCCGGCCAGGAGGCCCCCTGCAAACTTACCCTGGTTATGATGGAGATATTTGCGCACTGCTTGCCTCCGCGCGGCATCAGCGGTCGACCTCTGGGGGCCAAGTTGAAAACTTGCTGGCGCCGCAGGTTGACTCCCATCTGCGGCAGGCGTTCGAGAGGCTATACAACAAATTCGAGTGGCTGATTGGAAGAAGCCAATCGGTCGTCTGCCTCCCTTAGGCTTTCTGTGCAAGGCCGCGACCAGCTGTCGCAATGTGGCTGGCGCATCCCCGCGGACGTTCATCGCCGTGAAAATCCCCGTGGGAACGCTGAGCCCAGAATCGCAGAGCTCTGAAAAGAGGCGGGGGCGGAAGCCGTCAATGGCAACCGTGGCAGCCTTGAAGCTCCGCGATCATAAGTTTCTGATGCCTTCTACGTCGGGGCCCGCTGGGGCCCGCAAGTCCATTTCCCCTGCAAATGCAACTCCTGCCGCTGGCCAACTCCCCGCGCCGACTTCCGCGCGTTCATTTGTTGACCGGGCCTGCTGAAGAATGAGGCGTAGAGGGTCCGCGTGGGAGCTCCATGGTATCTGCTTTGAAGTCTGCGGCGATCCGAGCGCGCCGGTGGGCCCTCGAAGCCCCCCCCCGCCAAGGCCCCCGGGCGCCGCGCGCTCCACTTCCCCCGTTGGCGCCCGCGCTCCTTGGCGAGGAGGGCGGGTTCGAGCTCCCAAAGACTGGCAACGGTGACGCCCCAGCCGTCAAAAGGCAGCTCATCCGGGCACGCATCCGCAAGCTTGGGAAGGAGGGGCGCCAGAGCAAAGCCGATGCAGACAGAAGAAAATCCGTTTCCTTTTCGGCCAGAAGTTTGTACATGGTCCTCCTGTCCTGTGAGTCCCCCTCGTGTGACTGGTCGGCTTGCTGGTCTCAAGCGCGCAGCGTCTGTCCGAATTCTGACGGGGGCTCTTCATTTCTTCGAGGCGCATGAGAAGCCAGCCCGCGCATCTGCCTTCCGAGATTATGGTGTTTTGCTTGGTAGTTCACAGACGACGAAGATCAACCGTTTCAATCTCGCTAGGGGGGGCCCCTCGGCGCCCTCGGGCCCCGGCGCAGTGGTAGACTTCTCGGAGTTCTTCCCGGGCCTTCGCGCACCGCCTTTCGTGCGCCTCATTGAGGGCCAGCTCGAGGCCTTTCTCTTCAACGGGAGCGGGGGCGCGGTTGGTGGAGCTGAGGCTCCCGGGCTGAATCCCGCCTTGACTCTCTTAATATGTAAAAGTCCCCAGGGCCCGGAATCGCCTGGCGGCGCGCGGCATGGCCCGACTGGTCCGGGCACCGGCAGGACGTCGTGCTTGCACAGGCGCTCGAACTGCACACAGAAAGGCTGTGCTGTCAAATGGAGGTCCACCGAGTGATGCGGAGAAGCATCGCTGCCAAGGTCCGCGGCAACCGAAAGGGAGGCTTTTGCCGAAGTCCTGCTCGCGACGAAGTAGCTCCGGGGCACGCTGTGCACCGTTGCTGTGGCACGTCGGCACCGCTGGGTCGAAAAGTAGGTCTGCTCCGAGGCGGCCTGGCTCCAGACCGGCTTGGGATTCGCCTGGCGCGAGGTTCAAATCGCCATCCGCAATGAAGGGTAATCCGCGCGTGAGCACATGGTCCCCCAACTGCTTGCACGGCCTCACATTCTTGGCCCCCAGCCCAGCGCTGGTCGCCCAGTGGCGGCGCGAGTAGACGCTCAACACTCCCAGGGCTCCGCGCCGACAGCAGGCATGGATACCCCTGCCCTGCGAGACACGGCTATGCTTGGGATCTTGCCTAAAGTCCAGATAGCATCTGCGCAGGATAGCCACTCCCCCCGATGGGGTACCCTTGGCCGGTGAGGAGGCTCGCTGGACCCCCAAAAACTGTCCCAACCGAGGGCCAAGCAACGCTTTCAAACTCCCGAAAATCTTGCCCCGGCGCAATTTGTGCTCATGGGCCAGGATCAAGTGGGACTTGCTACACGTGGCGCGCTGCAAGGCTCGCTTCCATCCTGAGGCATGAATAGTGCAAATGTGGAAAGATGGTCCGCCCGACACTGGGTGAGAGGGGTCGGGGGGGGCGTCCAAAGTAATGGCGATGGGCCTGGACCTTAGGCTGATTGCTAAAGATCCTCTGCTCCTCGCTCGGAAGGCCTGCTCCCGCGGGCGCGGCGGCCGTCTGGCTGGAGACAGGAGCGTCGGCAGCCGACTTGGCCTTACGCACAGCTCGCGCGGGCTCAGGCTCACTTTTGCGCCCCCGTCCACGGGGGCCCCTTTTGCGTAGCGAATCACCTCTAGAATCTGGCCCACGAAGCTGGCGATCATCCGGATCTCTCTCACCTCTGTGGGCTGCCGGGGCGGCAGGGGCTGTCGAAGGTGCCGTCGCTGGGGTCTGCTGAGTCACTTTCACTGGCGTGGCTGGTGCTAGCGAGGGCGGCTTGGTCCCAACCAGGAGCGGGCCCAGGACGTCCAGGGCCTCCTTGATCTTCTGCGCGTCAGCTCTCCCTCCTTGTGGGTTGCGGCCGTGCCGAGCTGCGAGAAGAGGGATTCTGCTGATGAAACCGATGCTGATTCTTGAGCTGCGAGCTCCTTCTGGCATTCTTCCATCCGGTGGCGCGCCTCCGTGAGTCTCCCCTGCTGTTCAGGAAGTAACTTCTCTTGCTGCTGGAGGTGCGTCCTGGCGTACTGAACTTTTGTCTCCAGGAGGCTGACGTGCTTGGTGTGCTGGGCAACTTGGCGTTCCAACTTCTGAAATCTTCCGCTGGCCACAATGAGCTTCTGCGAGGCTGACTTTGAAGCGTCTCTCTCTCCGCACGCACAGCCCCAAGCTTGTCCCGAAGCGCCTGGGCAGCGGGCTGGGCGTCGTCCCGTCCTTTGTGGGCATGTCAACGGCGTTTTGGAGGAGCTAAATATGCTGGCCGATGGGTGCATTGGACTTTGGCCCCTCCGTGGTAAGATCATCCGTATCAGGCCGAGGAGGCTGAGGAGCAGGAGAAGACGAACCAGACTGCTGGTGCTGATCTGCAAGCGCTGCGGAGCCCCCACGACGGCGGCCTCTGCACTTGGACTTGCGTCCGCGGCCTCGGCCTTCGCGGGGCTCGACGCGCGCCTTCCGACCTCCTCCGGGACTGCTGGGCAGTGAAGTCCAATCTGTGTTCTTCCAATGGGCCCCGTACTGCCAGCACCATGCAAGATTCCACGACGTAAAAGCTTGGCATGTCCCGCATGCCCAGGCGTAAGTAATATCTGGGTCCGCCTCTGCCACTGCCGCTGCCGTGCCCAACGGGCTTGCCTATGAATGCGGAGCGGGAATCTTGAAGAATCTGGAGGTGGCCGTTTTGAGCCAGGACGTGGGCCCACGAGAGGCTCAGTCAATATGGAAATATGGAAGAGGAGACCCTGGCTGGGCAGCCACCAGTGGGACCCGCGGGCAAGAAAAGGGTCCTCGACCACATCGAAACATGGATCACTTGAGCCAAAATGGCTCGAGCCAAAATCGCTACGGACTCCTACGTCCTCCTCCTCCTCCTCCTCCTCCTCCTCCTCTGCCTCCTCCCTCCTCCTCCTCCTCCGCCTGGTTCCTGGTTCCTGGTGGCTGTATGGTCATTCAGACGAAGCCTCCGCCTACGATCCCTCCTGCGCGTACCCTGTGGCCTCTCCTGCCCCCCCCCCCCGTCCTTCCGCCCTCCTCCCTCTACGCTCCTGCCTGCCCTTCCTCCACGCCCGCCACCCCCGCTACCCCCCCAAAAGCCCATTCTTCCAATTCTTACTTTTTCATTACCTCCTGATCCTAACCACGTTTCCTCCTCCGCGTCCTCCTCTTCTTCCTCCTGCGAAGGTGCCAGTGGTCGCGCGGGGGTGGAGTTCGTCGTCGTCGTGGTCGTTGTCGTCGCTGTTGTCGTCACGGGTGTCCTCGTCATCGTCGCTGGCGTTGTCGCCGATGCTGCCGTTGCCATCGTTTCCGTCGTCGTGGTCGCTGCCGCCGTCGTGGCGTCGTCGTTGCCGTCGCCTTTGTCGTCGGAGCAGGTTCGCAGGAGAAGGATGAGTAGAAGGAGGGGTAGAGACAGAGGATGGGGATGGGGAGAAGGTGAGGGAGGCTTGCCATCGCCCGGACGTCAATTCCCTGTGCATATGTGGGTTTCGTCCGTGTTTTTGTCGCTCGATGGTTCAGGATGCTCCCTGATGGCCCTGGCCGAGAAAATGCACACGCCCAAGCGAAGCCAAGGAGGGACGAGGATAAAGAGAGAGAGAAAGAGAGAGAGAGAGAGAGAGAGCAATGAAAACGAGAAGATGACCCTCACCCCTGACTCCTCGCTGGACCTCTCGTGGGGCGCCTAATTAATCGAACCGTGGGGTATCCCCCAAGGGCCCCAGGAAAGTCCAGAAACGTCCGTCAATCCCTCACGCCACCCTGCGATTGCGAAATTGCACCCTCGAGCAGAACAACAGAGCGTGTGGCCAACGCTCGCGTTGATGTTCCAAGGATGCCGCAGTTCGGCGGCGCGACGAGGCGTTGGCGAGGATGCCGCGACCAGGCGATATTTGCGCATCTGGACGCTGCAGCCGCGACCAAGACGTGGTGCTGCGACACAGCGATGCCGTGTCCGCGCCTGGAAACCAACATGCGCTCTCGAGCGAGCTTTCCCCGGGCGCGGGGCGCGCGCCCTGGGGAAAAGACGGGGGGGGAGGACGCCGGAAACGCCGCCAGAGCTGTGGGGGAGGAGGAGTCTGGCGCCAACTCAAAGTCTTCGCCGCCGCCGACGTGTCCCAGAAGCCGTCGGGTGGCCTCCCCCAAAAAGCCACGAGGCACGGGGCCGCTCGCTCGACCACGCACCCCCCAGGCAGTGCTTTGACGGCCTCGCGGGCCGGGTGAGGACCCCTGGAGAGCGAATGGGCAACGTGTCCGGCGCGTCCTTTGCAAGCACGAGCCGTCAACATTGGCAAGACCGAAGGGTGGCCACAAAAGCGTGGGTCGGGAACACCGTCGTCCCATTCCTATGTGGAGATCTCCAAGGCGAGAACACAACACGGCACCCCTTCCAACCTAGAGCTGTTCGTAAACCTCTTGCCAACTGTGTGCTCCCCTCCTCTGTTGCGCAAGAACCGACCGTCCCGGCATTCCTATGGGCCTACCACGACATGTTCTTCGAACCAAAAAAAATCATTACCAAAACAATATCCTTGGAATATAAATCCGATGTGATGAAGCAAGACAGACTCCGCTAGAAATGTTCTAAGAACACTTCGTAGGAACCGCAAAAGGTTCTTAGAACATTGTTTGGTAGGGCTATAGGCGAGCCAGGACGCTTCGCCACTGCTTTTGAGGACTGTTCGTAAACCTCTTGCCAGCTGTATGCTCTCCTCCTCTGCACCCCCCCTGCGATCGAGAAGCTGCACCGTCCAGGCGTTGCCGCCGCTGCCGTGCCGACCACAGAGCGAGCGCGCGTGCCTTTGCCGACGCCCCCGTCGTCGCTGTCGCCGTCGGCGGCCGTCGTCGTCGTCGTCGTCGTCGTCGTCGTCGTCGTCGTCGTCGTCGGCGTCGTCGTCGTCGTCGTCGTCGTGGTCGTCGTCATCGCGATCGTCGCCCTCCCAGTCGCCGCGGCCATCGACGTCGCGTCGCCGCCATGGTCATGGTCATCGTGGTCGACGTCGCCGACCTCGCCGTCCACGCCGTCGACGCCGCCGTCGCCCAAGCCTTCTCAAAATTGGTTCCTGGACCTCTCCTGGAGGCCATCCCTGGCTTTTGAATCCCCGGATCAGACTCCGAGGCCCCCGGGGGCCGAAACGGTTGCCCAAAGCCAACAGTGCGGAGACCCTCAAAGATCGACGACTGGGCGTGTCCAGGAATGTGTTCTGGCCAAACTTGACACTGGGAACCTGGCCGGCCGTGCTGACCAGGACATCCAAGGAGGCCCAAGAAGAACTCGCACCTGGATCTGCAAGTAGGGGAACGCACAATGACACAAATTTACGAACTCGGAGGTCCGCGCGGATTTCTCGGAGCCGCGCTGGACCCCCCTGGCGGCGCCTCCGGCGCCGCCCCTGGCGCGCTCCGCGCGCCAGGGAAGGGGGTCCACCGCGCATCCGCGAAGTCCGCGCAGACCTCCGAGTTCCCATGTTCATGCCATTGCTGGCTCCCCTATCGCGGTCGTCGTCGCCGTCGCAGTCGAGCTCACAAGCCGTCGATCGAAGGGGTCGCCGCCGCTGGCCGCGGGCCCGCGCGCGGGCGCGGACGGCCGCCGACAACTGACCACGGCGCGCGCGAGGGCGCTGCCGCGCGCCTACCGCCCTGGCCACCAGCGCGACCTCCGCGACGGCGTCGAGGGGCCTCCCGGCGGCCGCCCGACGCACTCCGCCGGCTGCGGCCGGATGACGTCGTCGGCCGCCGTGGTCGTCGTGCGTCGTCGACGGCGCGGATTGTGGCTGTCGTTGTCGTCGTCGCCGCCGTCGCCGTCGGTGTCGTCGTCGACCGTCGCCGGTCGCCGTCGGTCGTCGTCGTCGCAGCCGCCGCCGCCGCCGCCCCCGCCGCCGTCGTCGTCGCCGCCGTCGTCGTCTTCGTCGCCGCCGCCGCCGTCGTCGTCGTCGTCGATCGTCGACGTCGCCCGTCGTCAATGACGTCGGGATGGTAGTACATGTAAGTTGAGGAGGGTGATGAGGGAGGAGTGAGGGAAGGAGGATGAGGAGGAGGAAGGAGGAAGGACCGGGGGGAAGAGGTGGAAGGACCCAGGACCCAGGACCCCCCCGCGCCGTGAAGAAACATGCGACCACATGCTTGCTGGTGGGGCTCGGACTCTGGGCGCCGCTCCTGGGCTCAAGAACCGTCAGACACGACTCGGGACGAAAAACAGGTCCTCCGGGGGATTGTCCAGACCTCCGGCGCCTGGCGGCTCGAAGAAATCCAATCCGCTCGGATCGTGCAGGAGCGGCCCTGGCGGCCGGCGGCTCCGGCGTCTGGAGCCCGACTTTTCGGCCGGCTGCCGCTTTCAGGTTCCAGGAGCCGTTTCTGCAGTAGACTTAGGTCGGGCCTGTCCCCCTACATGGGGATGTTGGGCGACAAATCAAAAATACACCAAAAATGCTCAACAATAATCAAAGAATCGTCCCCCGACTATTTGTTGACTATTTTGAAGATTCCTCCTGTGGAGGGACAGGCCCGACTTAACAGGAGACCGGGGACCGCCAGCGCATGGAGAATCGGTCCCGGGGGATGGACGTCAGGAGCTGCAGGGACCAGCGAGTCGAAGAGGTCGAGTCGCCGCCAGTCCAGGGAGGACGAGGGGAGTCCTGGCGGGCGAAAGGCCTGGAGATCTGGGCCCCCCCTGCGGAGGGGCTCAGCGCTTGGCGGGGTACCAGCGCCTTTTGGGAAACGCGCCGAACTTGCATCGGGGACACATCCCCGCGATCTGCCCCCGCCTGCGTCAGGTCGGGCATGTCCCCCTGGAGGCGGGTTTTTCTGATGAGAATGTAAAAAAGAATCAAAGAATACACCGAAATGGTCAAACATGTTAAAAACAGCGTCCCCCGACTATTACTATATTTAACTATGTATGACTAAATTTGATTAGATTTGGCTATTGCTATATTTGACTATTTGGGATTATTTTTGAAAATTTTTGGCTATTGCCAGATTTGACTATTTTGGACTATTTCTGACGATTCCTCCTGTGTAAAATGGACAGGGCCGCCCTAAGGCCAGCGACCCCGCGCGGTCCTGGGGCGGACTGGGGCCCTCGGGCCCCCGCCGGCGAGGCGTGGGCGACCCGGGGCCGGCGCGTCCCCCCCCCGAGACTACGACCTCCCCCCTTGCAGTCAACCAGTGCAGTACCGTCGGGGCGTTGACCTAAGGAACCCTGAATAAGGAGCGAGGCCCCTTTTCTCTTTAAATTAAACTTCGATGTCCCGTCGAAGACATAAGGAAAACCTGCGGCACGTTGCGAAACACTTTAAGGAACGCGGAACCCCTCCCCAACCAAAAGGGTTCCTCATTCAGGGCCCCGACTGTACAGGGCAGCGTTTCATACATAGGACTCTTAAACATATAGGATCTTTAATGCATGACTAATCCAGGAATACAAATATGCAGGAATTCATCGTTATTTGTTGTACTAACTTCCTCCATCTTTTTATACATGTTCCACACGCGGAGCATGCATTAAAAACGACACTGTACCTCCCCCTGCAGTCAACCGGTGCAGCAAGGATGCGCGATGAGGATGCAAGGGCCCTGAAGGCCACGCCGCAGATTTCCGGGCGGGGCGCGGCCACCGAGAGTGGCCAAGGATGGGCCGAGGAGGCAAGGACGCAAGGGTACGCTTGGGACGGTTGCCCATCCTCACTATTCGGGTTGACAGTGTAGCTCCCCCTATCCCAGGACCTTCAACCCTGCCGCCGCCTCCGCGGAAACCCGAAGGTTATGATGCCGCTGTTCCCCGGACCTCTCCCGGGATGCGATCTGACCAGGAACTGCGAAGCGAATCCAGCGGTGGCGACGAGGGCCTCCCGGGATGCCCAAGAAGGGGAAAACGAGGGAAGGGTAGGGGTAGGGGTACCTCGAAGCCTCCCATATGGGGTCCGAGTTCAAAGGGTCGCGCCGCATCGCCGATGCATCGGCAATGCGGCTCGATGAGGACCGCGACTCTTTCCTAGCCGACGTCGCCGATGCATCGCAAACGTCACCGATGCATCGACGATGCGTCGGCGATGCGGCGCGATTCTCCTCCACTGGGAGGAGGAGGTGGAGGACGAGGAGGAGGAGGAGGAGGCGGAGGAGGAAGAGGAGGAGGAGGAGGAAGGGGAGGAGGAGGAGGAGGAGGAGGAGGACAAGGAGGAGGAGGATTTTTTTGATTTGCGCGCGGGTGATCGACTGCCGAACACTCCTGCCCGCGGCGCCGAGGCGACGAGCGATGGGCCCGAGGGGGGCCGAAAGAAACGAGGGACGGAGACCCAGGACCCAGACAACGCCGAGCGAGGGCCACGACCGAAGAAAACAGGGGCACGAAAAATCGAGGGCCCGAGTAAGTCAACGCGATGCTGGAAAGGCCTGGGGGAGTTAAATTTAAACTCCTGCGCAGAGGGCTTCAGCACACAGCCTCAACCCCCCTCAGGCTGCCAGCGCTCAAAGAGAGACAGTACAGATTCGAGAGGTACCTCGGAAGCCTGCCTTCTTACAAATCTCATCATGAAACCTCCGCAACCCGAACGCGAGAGAGACCTGGATAGCCGACATACTCAGCGCAAGGGCGTGGAGGAGACGGGGGGGGCTCAGGAAAATCATCAAGGAGACGGCCTAAAGAGAGACTTAAGACATCCTCCCATCCACTCTCATACGTCGTCGTCATCCCACCCCCACCCGCAGCTACAGAGCACGCAGCAGGAGGTGGAGGAAGGATCTGCCTCAGACCGCGCGTTTGCCGCGGTACCGAACGCGGTCGGACGCGTCGCAGGGCTCAGAGAGGCGGAACGAGTTCGGGGCGAACGTGAACGGGATCGCAGGGATCACGTAGTCGCCTGTCGCAAAGATGTTCGCGTCGTGGGTCGCCGTGCCGAGGGGCCCGGGCCCACTACCGCGGCCGTCACGAATAGTGGCCGTGCAGAGGCACGGCTGGTAGATGGTAACGGTGAACGTCGACATCACGTCGTAGGTGCCGACGCCATCACCCTGAGTATCGTCATCATGGAGCAGATTTGCACGAACAGGAGCTTCACCCAGTCGAGCTTCGGAGGGAAGTGCGGCATCGCCGACGCTATCAGCAGAGACCACACCATCGGCACGATGAAGAACTGGATGGACAGTTCCCAGGGCCTCCTCTGGAGGCGGTGATGTCGAAACCTTCGGTGAAGGGGCAGCCGACGTGGGAACAGTCATTAATGTCGAAGTAGCCGTCAATGCAGGCGAAGAAAACAGTGAGGCCGAAGTCGCAGTCTTCAACGTAGCATCTGAAGGCTGTGATGCCGTAGCCTGCAAACCCGTAGAACATGGCGTTCCGCACACCTCCAGCATCACCGAGTCCAGGAAGCTAGTAGCGGAAACACACGTGACATGACGGGTCAAGTTGTAGGCGTGGCCCAGGCGGGCAAGCTTGTGCGCAGTGCCGGTTGTAATACGACCAGCTCGGCGAAGAACACGACCCGCCTGCTCGAGACCTTCGAAGTGCGTGCCAGCAACTAACGAAAGCCGTCGGATCAACTCCCCATGAAGATCAGCAGTGATCGTGTGTGGAGCAGTAGACATCACGGAGAGAATGGGGAAACCTTACAGGCGTGCCGCGTACCAGTCGCTGGCAGGGCCAGCCACCTTGAGCCAAAAATGGCTACGGAAGGAGGAGGAGGAGGACAAGGAGGAGGAGGAGGACAAGGAGGAGGAGGAGCAGGAAGAGGAGGAGACGGAGAACGAGGAGAGGGAGGCCCCATCTGGAAGGCCCAGAGCACCTTCGCCTCCTCTGACCCTCTCTCCCCGACCGGCCTCACCTGCGGCGTGCTGGGCTGGGGGCCGCCAAAGGTGCCCCATGGTGGGCTTGTGTTCCACCGCGACTACCAGAAGTACTCGTCCTCCTCCTCCTCTTCCTCCTCTTCTTCCCCCACCTCCTTCCCCCCTCCCTCTTCTGGTGGTGGTGGTGGAAAACGGGCCCATCACCCCTGGCCCGAGGTGCCCCCGGCTTTTCGCTCCGTTCGGGAGCCCCTGGGCCCCTCTGGGTCTCGTGAGGGGTGCTCCGGAGGCCGTGGGGCCATCCTTGGAAATCCTCGGGGCACCCTCTGGCGGCTCGCACACATGGTGGAGGGGGAGGGGGGCAGGCTTCTTCGAAAGAGGCTGCTTCTTGGAAGGCGCCGGCCTTACATCTATAGAGAAGGCCCGTGCCTTCTAAGAAGGCCCGTGCCTTCTAAGAAGCAGGTGTGCATCTAAGAAGCCTTCCCCCCTCCCCCATACCACCCTCGACAGACAAGCAACGCCTTGACTTTCCTGATACGCGGTCCCCAGAAAGCCCGACCCTTTCCCCAGCACCGGGATTTTCACGGTCCTGGGGCCCTGCGAGGGCCCTGGAGGCCGCAGTGGCCAAGAACCTCAGTCGTGATCTTTTTCTGACGCGATCCTGTCTGGGTCTGCGCGTTGCCGAACTTTGGGCCAGGGGTACTTCCAGCAACACCCGACTGATAGAAGCATCCCTAATGGGGTCCGAAAAGATGGGGCCAGAGGATTGCACCGCATCGCCGATGAATCGCATATGCAACGGTGACGTTGGCGACGCATATGCAACACCGGCGTGGAGAAAACCGGGCTCCACATCGAGCCGTCGGTGAGGCATCGGCGATGCGGCGCGATCCCCTACTGGGGGGAGAAGGAGGAGGAGGAGGAGGAGGAGGAGAAGCAGGAGGAGGAGGAGCAGGAGGAGGAGGAGGAGGAGGAGGAGGGCAGGAGGATAGGAGGAGGAGGAGAAGGAGGAGGAGGAGGAGAATGGCAGGAGGAGAGGAGAAGGAGGAGAGGCGAGGATATGATGAGGAGGAGAGGAGGGGAGGAGGAGGAGGAGGAGGAGGAGGAAGGAGACGGAGGGGGGAGGAGGAGGAGGATGAGGAGGAGGAGGAGGAGGAGGAGGAGGCGGAGGAGGAGGAGGAGGATGGGAGGATGGGGGGAGGAGGAGGAGGAGGAGGAGGAGGAGGAGCAGGGTGCGGACGACAAAGAGGAGGAGAAGGAGCAAGAGCAGCATGAAGAGGAGAAGGAGGAGGAGAAGTGGCAGGAGAAAGAGGAGAACAAGGAGGGGGAGGAGGAGGAGGAGGAGGAGGGGAATGAGAAGAAGTAGGAGGAGGAGGAGGAGGCGCTGGAAGAAGAAGAGGATAATAACAAGGAGGATAATGAGAAGGAGAAGGAGGAAGAGGAGAAGGAAAAGGAGGAAAAGGAGGAGGACAAGGAAGAGAAGGAGGAGGAGGAGGTGGAGGAGGAGAAGGAAAAAGAAATTGGGGTCAGGATTGGGGCCCGCCCATCGCCCCGCCTGTCTGGGGCGTCCTCCCCGACTGTCGCCGCCACGATACCTCCGCGGGGCGCGGGCCTCTCCCGGCCGCACTCGCGACCGCCACCCGGCGCACCGCGGGCGTAAAAGCCACTCCCCTCTCCTCCTCCTCCTCCTCCTCCTCCTCCTCCTCCTGTTCCTCCTCGTCCTCCTCCTCCTCGTCCTCCTCCTCCTCGTCCTCCTTCTCCTCGTCGTCGTCCTCCTCCTCCTCCTCCTCCTCCTTCTCTTATGTTCTGCATGCACCTGGCGTGCCTTCAGGTGCTGAGCGCGCCGTTCGTGATGGACTGCGCGTCTGTGTCAACGGTCCCCGTTCACCACGTCTAGGTGCCTATCATCAACGAGCTGCCGCTCATTCCGCTGCCCGTCGAACTTCTGTGCGTGCTCCTCGGCGCCGACGGCGAGAGAAAGGGGCGGCTGAGCCTGAAGAGGTAGGGAGTCTCGAACGATCTACGCTTCATGAACGTCGGGCCCCCGTCTCTGAATCCAGTCACACGGTGCCGCCCTCCTCCCCAGTGGCCTCTAGCCGTGCTGCTGGGACCACGTGTGATGATGCTGTACCTTCTCACGAGGTCCCCTGCGATGGTTCAAATACGGGTGCGCCGTTCTCTGCGGGTTCCCCACCACTGCGTGTTGACGCGAGCTTGACCGAAGGAGCGTGCGCCCATGGCGCAACCGCCGCACACATCCCAGAGACGAGGTGCGAGCCGAAAATCACCGGTGTGTTGAATGGCGTATTCGGGCCCACGGCTGGCGTGAGGACTGAAAGAGCGTGCGTCCGCGATGCAACCGCCATGGTGGCACCCGTTTCGAATGCCATACCGATCGACCTCAAGGGCGCGTTCACTCTGATGGACCACGCCTGAGTCGGCGGTCTTGCCGATCAGGCCTGCCGCACGGCCGCCTGCCTGTGCTCCCGCGAGCGCTCGGGTCACCGGGCAGGGGTCGGGCGGCGCCGCTGCTGGAAGCACCTGGAGTCCGTTCGGGGTGACGGCTGACGCGAACTCCGAGGCTCATCGTGTGGAGGTCGACGAGGTCCACGACAGCTCGTACAGTCTCACTGGTCGAGGCGATGCCAGTGCTGACAGTCAAAGGCGATATGACAAACCGCACCCAGCTAGCCGAGCCCATGGCGACGCTAGCGGGGCGATGACCGTGAGCCGAAACCATGGGAAGGCTCACGGTGCAACTGTTGCTACCAGGATTCTACACACTGGCATGAGGGTCAAAGTCAGTGGCCGTTCGGTGACATCTGGTCCTGGCAAGCGGCGTGGCCGCCCTCGCCTCTCCACCATACCCTTGGGCCTGCGCGGCTCAGTGCACAGCGTCGGCTTCATGGTGGGAGGCTTCGGTCATACAGAGGAAGATGGTGCCCTTGTCGACTGGGGCCCCCCGTGCCCGTTTGCAGGTTGCTCTATGACCTTCCATCAACGGAGCGAGTGGCAGCATCTTTCTCCGGTACGAGATGCTTGCTATCCGTCGGTGTTCCCTCATTGGTTGAGCGATGCTTCGGGGTTGTGGGTCGCACGAAGGAGGGCGGGCTTCTACGTCCTCCCCGTCACTGGCTTCGCCTGCGGTTCCGTGTTGCTTTCCTACTTCATGCTGGCGCCCCTCGTCGACGCGCCCCTGACCCTCTTCCTCTGCGAGTGGGTCTTCCTCCACACTTTCTTCAACCTTGCCCTCTCCGCCATCGTGGCGTGAGGGCGCCTCGGCGCAGTCCCTCGGGCGCGCGCCAGCGCGGCCGGCAGGAGACGCTCGAGAGGCGCTGCGTTCCTCCTCCTCCTTCTCCTCCTCCTCCTCCTCCGATATCTCCTCCGCCTCCGCATCCTCCATCCTGTTCCTCCTCCTCCTCCTGCTCCTCCTCCTCCTCCTGCTTCTCCTCCTCCTCCTCCTCCTCCTCCTGTTCCTGCTCCTGCTCCTGCTCATGCTCCTGCTGCTCCTGCTGTTCCTCCTCCTCCTCCAACTCCTCCTCCTCCTCCCCTCCTCTCCCTCCCTCCTTCCTCCTCCCCTCCTCCTCCTCCTCCTTCCTCTCTCCTCATCCTCCTCCTCCTCCTCCTCCTCCTCCTCCTCCTCTCCTTCCCCCTCCTTCCCACCTCCTCTCTTCTCCTCCTCCGTTCCTCCTCTTCCTCCTCCTCCCTCCTCCCTCCTGCCTGCTCTGCTCCGCTCGTTTCTCCTTCTCTCCTTGCTCCTGCTCTTTTGTCTGTTCCTGTTTATTTTCCTCCCTCCCCCTCCTCCTCCTCCTGCTGCTGCTCGTCGTCGTCCTCCTTCCCTCCTCTGTTCCTCTTCCTCCTCCTCCTCCTCCTCCTCCTTCTCTGCTCCTCCTCCTCCTCCTCACCCCTCCTCCTCCTCCTTTCTGTGATCCTCCTCCTCCCCCCCTCTGCTCCTGGTCCTTGCCCTGGTCCTTCCTGGTCCTGCTCTGGCCCCTGCCTGCTCCTGCTCTCCTTTTCCTCCTCTTCCTCTCCTCCTCCTGCTCCTGCTCCTGCTCCTCCTCCTGCTCCTCCTGCTCCTGCTCCTGCTCCTTCTCCTCCTCCTGCTCCCCGCTCTGCTCCTGCTCCTGATGCTGCTGCTGCTCTCCCGTCCTCTTTCACCTCCTGCTCCTGCCTCCTCTCCTCTTCCTCTCCTCCTCCTCCTCCTCTTTCTCCCTCCTCTGCTCCTTCTCCTCCTCCTCCTGCTCCTCCTCCTCCTCCTCCTCCTTCTCCTCCTCCTCCTCCTCCTGCTACTCGCCCCACCCACCGTGCGACCCCTCGGTCGCTTTGCACTTAGCCCACTTAGTCCTGCTACTCGTCGTCTTTTTCCTCCTCCTCCTCCTCCTCCTCCTAATGCTAATCCTCCTCCTCCTCCTCCTCCTCCTCCTCCTCCTCCTCCTCCTGTCGCGGGAGGGAGCGCTCGAGGCGTGGGCCGCAGCCCACCGTGACAGCCACTTGCGATGTCCCTCTAACGCAGCGCGGGGCCGTTGCCCCAGGACGGGGCAGCCACTCTGATGAGGGCTGAACTTACAGCGTGTCATTTCGTGCGCCCTCCGTGCCAGCATCATGCTCTGCACCTGTGCCAGAGCTTGGCTGACCGCGTCCTGCCGACCTTCGGCTCTATTCGTTGGCGTATTCGTTGGCACGTCTTTGTCCACCCATGGGTCGTCTTCATTCGCTGCGAGCTATCGCCTCGACTGCTCCTCTGCTGGCTCGCTCGTTTGCTCTCCATCTTCTCCCTACTCCTTCCCCTCCCCTTCATCCTACCTACCCCTCCTCCGCCTCATAACTCCTCCAGTCCAGCTCCTCCAGTCCTCCTCCTCCTCCTCCTCCTCCTCCTCCTCCTCCTCCTCACCCCAAGAGTAAGAACGAACCAGTCCACGGCGTCAACAGATCATGACGCCGACGCACGCGGCGACGACGGCGACGGCGACGCCGCCGACGAATCCGCCGCCCGACGGCTGCGATTCGCTCCCCTCTTCGGCTACACGCAAGATTGACCTCGGGTAAGAGTGACCTTGGGTGCGAGGCTTTTTGGGGCCCGCGGGGGGGACCCAAACAAGCGCGCAGGGCGCTACTACCGCATCGCGTTCGCCAATCGGGGCCCCAGTGGGCCCGCACCAAAAATCACTCCGGCGAAGGATCACTCTTACGTGTGGCCGACCTCTGCCGGAGGGCACCGACGAGCTTGTCTCCGGGCGTTCCCGCCGTCGCCTTCACCTCGGGGCGGCGTCGCGGGCCGCCGCCGCCGTCGCCATCGCTGCCGCCGCCGCCACCGCCGCCGCCGCCGCCGACGCCGTCGTCGTCGTGGTCGTGGTCGTGGTCGTGGTCGAACTCGTGGTCGTGGTCGACATCGTGGTCGTGGTCGTCGTCGCTGGTCGCCGTGCGTCATCCGTCGTCGTCGTCCGCCGTCGTCGTCGGGTGTCTGTCGTCGCCGTCGCCGCCGCCGCCGCCGGCGTCGCCGTCCGTCCTCGCCGCCAGGGGGCCGCCGCCGTCCGTGGACCCGGTCATGGCCGACGACGTGGCCGTCGTCGGCGACGTCATCGTCGTGCCCTCGCGGAGCGCCCGCACAGGGGAGGGGGAGTGGAGTGAAAAAGGAGGAGCGAGGAGGAGGAGGAGGAGGAGGAGGAGGAGGAGGAGGAGGAGGAGGAGGAGGAGGGAGAGGAGGAGCGGAAGGCAAAAGCGAGGAACATACGGACGAGGACAAAGTTGCTGCGACAAGGAGAAGGAGGACGACGAGGAGAGGGGAGGAGGCCGAGGGAGGAAGGGAGAAACAGAAGAAGAAGAAACATAAGAGTCTCTGGACCTTCTAGACACCCTTCCGAAGACCAGCCTTTCAGGTCCGATGGCCCCCGGGCGCAGAGACTCAACTTGGGAACACCCAGAATGGCGAACACCGGCGTGTTTTGCAGACCGCCGAACGCCCCCCACCCCTTTAACACGGCGCGGCTGGCGCACCTGGCGCGCGCGGTGAACCTGGGACGGGTGGCACACCTCGCGCGGACACGGCGCTCCTGCCAAGGACCCGGCCAGGGCGGGGCCCCGGACCGCGGTGGGGCGCTCCCTCCCCGTCTGAGGGGGGATGCCAGCCCGCACGAGTCGCGGAGAACGGAACTGGGTGAGTCTCGGCGGCGAGCGAGGGGGGGAAGTGAGGAGGAGCAGAGCAGAGCAGAGCAGCGCCGATGATCCGATGAAGTCAACCGCCTTGAACAACCGCACCCTGCAGGGCCACAAGGGAAAAACAAAAAACGGATCAGGCGTTCGAGAACCACTTAAGGGGCCCGAGATTCTGTGGGGCCCTGCAGGGGGATTCCACTGGCATATCAGCGAGACCCCCAAAAAGGGGACACCTAGGGGGCTCGCCTATGCACTCCCTCCACTGACCAGGGCCGAGGGACGGCGACGCATTAAACCGACCCCAGCACAACCCCTTTCGGTCCTCCTCGGCGCGGCGCGGCACGGCCCAAACGTCGGAGGTCCGCAGGGAACCCGAGAGACGACCCTCGCCCAGGGAACTCGCGGCCAGCCGAAGCTGACGGGAGGCCTCCGAAAGCCTCTGGAGCGTCTCGACGCCGAAGGAGGCCTGAATGGGGGGGGTCCTAAAGAAAAGTCTAACCTCCAGGGCCCCATCCGAGTACTCGAGGATCGGGGAGAGGGTCCGAGCCTGGAGGGCGAGGAGGGTTCCGTCTGGGAGGCGGCCCTGGAGGTACAACTCCGCGGTGCGGCGCGAGCCGTTGATAGATTGCAACCTGAAACGGGCAGGTCGACTCACAGCTCGTCGTCGTCCTTGTCCTTGTCCCTGCCGTCGGGCGCTGCCGCTGGTTTGTCCTCCATCCCGAGCTGCGCCAGCAGCTTGGAGGCTTCGCGCTCCAGCCCGCCTCTCGGCGGCGCCCCTGGGAGAAAGCGCACGGTCTGGTCCTTCTTGTCCGTGCCTGCCGCCATGACCGTCTGCTGAACCGCCTCCATCAGCGATGCTGTGCCGTCTCCCCAAGGGTTCGCCTGCTGCGGGATGCCAAGCATGATCTGGAGCTTGAACCTGTCGGGCTTGGTGAGCTTCTTCTTGTCGCACCAGCAGGCCTTGAGTCGGAAGTGGCGGCAGTGGATCGCCAGCGTCTCGAGCGCCGACGGGGCTAGGATGACCTTCTTCCAGTAGTCCTGGAACACCGTCTGCGCTGCCGCTGGAGTCGTGCTGGCCCCCTCCGTGCTGCAGGCCCACTTGATGAACGCCTTGAACACATGCGGCCAGGGAGGGCCGTGCTGGTGGTCCTTGCCGTCGGCCTTGCAGTTCTCGGCGTACGTCTTGCCCGTCTCCTGCAGCACCTTGACGAACGGGACCTCTGCCCCGACCATGTACGAGGTGTAGCAGGCGCCAGTCACCTCGGCCAGCTCGCGCGCGTTGGTGAGGGCGAGCCTCGTGAGGACGACCAGGAGCGCCGCCAGCGCCCCTCCCTTGCCGTTCTTCTGGTTGGCCTGCGCCTCTTGCCCGAGCTCCGCGAGCAGTCGGGCCTGCTTGGCCCCCTTGGAGTCGCTGGTCTCCAGGCCCTTGCGTTTCCCGACCGCCCAGCTGGGCTCGTCTAAATCCATCGCCTCCCAGCACGAGCGGGAGGTCCTCGAAATGGATGCGCGCATGGAGGTGGAGAGCAGGCTCGGAAAGAACTTGAGCCTCACATAGTCGGCAACAGAATGGGCCTGTCGGCGGGGCAAGCTCGAGAGTGGTACTGAGCTGAACCTTGCAGAAGCCCGAAGCGAACGAGTCCAGCACGTGGTTGTAAGCCGAGTTGCGAGACTGGAACCTGCTGCAACACACAAAGCACGAAGCGCCCTGGACAGCCTCAGCCAATAGGGTTTTGTAACCATGAGCGGCCCGAACGTGAACAAGCCACTGACGCTTCGTTAGGAACCATTTGGCGCAGTTCCCGACGGAGCAGCGAAAGCCCTCACCTTGTCCAGCGGGGACCTCAGGTGGTGCCTCTTGATGGGGACCAGAAGAGCCTGCTGGAGGAATGCTGACCGAGAGCCACGCGGCCCTGACGACCGAGAGGTCCAGCTCCGTGAACCAGTCCCGCAAGTCCCCCTCCTCGAGAAACTCCAAAGGGGCTCCTGACCAGGACCGCATATCCTCCTCAGTGTCCACAGACGTCCTCCGAAGCGCCTCGAAGTCCCTGACGTACTGGATGGCCCAGGGGTTCGCCGTCTCCGTGAGATGACCCTCGGGTGAAAGGGTTCGGAGGCCTCGCATTTTCTCGATGTACATGTCCCCAAAGAGGGGGGCCCACTCGCTAAGGTGTCCCGCGGGCTCTCGAGCCCATTGCTGGTACCACCGCAGACGTCTGACACGGAACTCGATCTCGAGAGGAGGGACCCGCCAATACCTCAAGACCGCCTCGGAAGGGACCGAACGAGCGTGGCCCCCCTCCCAAGACGTCGCGGCCCCCCTCATGGCTTTGCGCCCGAAGAAGACGACCCGCGCCGTGAGCTGGTCGATCTGGCTGGGGGTCGGCAGGAAGGCCTCGCAGGCGGAGCACGCGGGGCCCACGACCCTGGCCAGGAACACGGCTCGTCGCTCGGTGTAGGCAATCCCCCGAGCGTACCAATATTTTCCCATGGAGAAGAAAACCGCCGAGATGGCCGCCAGGCGGGCCGAAAGCTCGGCCCGAAACGAACAGTTACCCATGACCTGGCCTCCAAGATGTCGGGTTGAGTCTGCTGGGGCCCCTGCAAGAAGAACTTTTTTTTCCGCCACTTCACGCCGACGTACATGTAGCCCCGTGCCCACGAAGGACAGGAGGCTGACGTTCTTGGCTGGGTTGAGCGCGTAGCCGTGGCGTCGGAGCTCAGCAGAGAGAAGCAAGTCGTATGCTCGGGACCACCGCGCGAGCTCCGCGGCCGTGGCCTGGTCGGGCGGCACCACGATCTTCCGAATGGCGTCGTCTACGTATGAGTGAAACGCCAAATCAAGAAGGACCTCCTCACCATCAAAATTGAGCGTGAGCTGGCACCAGGTAGCCGTCTCGGGGCCAAACTCAACGAACTGTTCCTGCACCTTCGCAAAGACTGTGCTGATGTCCCGCACAAAGACTTTCACCGCCCACGGGTCGCCAATGAGAGCCCCGACGCTGGGGCGCACGCAGAGGTCGCCGAACATCACGGCGGCAAAGCGGAAACGCTGGCGGCCGAACGAAACCTGGTCGTCCTTCATGATGCTCTGGTTGGCGTCTGCAAGGCTGTCCCAGTTGGTGGACGCGAAGGCGTTGGTGATGTCCTTGAGGTCGGTGACGTGATTGAGGCCGAGGGAGCGCAGCTTCCATGTACACAGCTGCTGGCCCAGTATGGCCGTCTCTCTGCGCCGATGAGGTACGCAGCCATGAGCGAAAAGAGGTTCGTCCTGCAGCTCGTGTGGGTCCATAGCCGTGGCCATGAAGCCCTTGCCGAAAGGGTCGAGGAGATGAATGACTCTCTTCCAGGTGAGCGCCACTCCTTGACTCAAATGCCACACGAGCGGGACCTGGCCCGAACGTCGGAGCCTGTGGAGGAAGATCACCAAGAAGCGCCACGTGTGCTCCTGGTCGATCTGCGGTGTCTCGTAGCCAACTCCGTGGTAGCGCCTGGACACTCGGCGGTACGGGTGAAGCAGCATCCACCATAGCTCCAGCGGGACCGACCACGGGGGGCAAGCACGGCGCTTGGGAGCCCGTCGTAGCCAATCGCGCAGCTCTCTGAGTCGGCGCTTAGCCCAGCTTAGGCCCTCCTCGGTCCACGGGGCGATGAACTGCTGCGCCTCCTGGCCCGTGACGCCGTGGTAGATGTAGTCCTCGGCCTGCTTGACCCAGTCGATGTGGGTGGCCGCCATGCCCCCCTCGCCAGCCGGCAGCGACCAGCGCTCGGCCAACTCCTGCCCAGTGGGGAGGGCCACAGGCGCCCGTCGGTAGTCTCTCTTGCGGGGGCCCACGCCTGTGCCCGCAAGAAGTCGGGAAAGGCGGGCCACCTCGGCGCTGCGTCCATGACGTCGGGCCTGGTTGAGCTCGTCGACTGTGTCGATTCGCCACGTCGCCCAGTACTGCCTGCGGGCCGAGCGAAGCCACTTGGTGTGGCGTCGGAGCTGCCACTGCACGGAAAGGAGGGCCTGCGCGCCTTCGGCGCCGTCCGAAAAGTGGTCGTCACTGAGCTGGAGTCGGAGGGCCCGCTGTTGGTCCAAGAGCGGCTGGATGGTAGCGGCCAATGTACGATATCCAGGGCGGTACTCTGGGGCCTGAGCGAAGTGCTTGCTGCCTATCGTCATCATGGCGTCCATCATGAAACCCCAGTCGGCGTTGGGTGTCTGCTCCTCGTTCTGGATGGTGGCCCACTCGTCCGCATGCTCACGTAAGTAGGTCTCGAGCTCGATGAGGAAGGCCGCGCGGCCTTGGCCCGAACGAAGCGACTGCATGAGAGCCTCACGGTTCCAGCGGATGGCCCGCGGCAGGTAGCCCAGGCGGCGGTGCTCCGTCATGTCACAGTGCACGTGAGAGTCCGTGGTGGCCGAGATTGAGTAGTACATGCAGGCATGGACTGGGACGTGATCCCTGGGCGTGCGGGTGGCGATAACCTGCAGCTCTCTCCCTAAGCGACGAAGCGGCCCCGCCGAGGTGATGTCGCCCAGGCAGGCCTTGGGCACGAATATGAAATCGATCTGCGAGGCAGTCGACGAGCCGAAATACGTCGGGCCCAGGCCTATGTAACTGTTGACCGCCACCATGCCAAGCTCCTCCATGAGGGGCAGGATGCTGGTCGCGGCGTAGCGCTGCTTGTCCAGCGCCAGCGGGCCGCTGACGTCTGAAGTAGTGGGCCGCCACTGTGGGTAGTCCGAGCCCTGAGTTCAGGTCGATGCAGAAGATGGGGAGGACCCGCTTAGAGCTGAGGTAGGGCAGCGAGCGGAGCCAGTCCGTGAGCGCATCGCAGGTGCGGCGGTAGACGTCCTGGCCGCCCTTGACGGGCGGCGGTGGGTAGTAGGCTGAGCAGACGCCGAGGTCGTACCTGGAGCACCTGGCGCGGAGCGCGAGCCCACGCCCCGCAAGGGACCCAGCGGGCGTCCACGTGTGCGTCACGGAAGCCTTCTTCACCTTGGCCCCCAGGATGATGCTGCAGCCCGCACTCTTGTTGGTATACGGCCCACGAGCCCACCCGCTCTCTATACACCAATTGTGATCTCCTGCCTTCCGCCAGCGTGCCTCCCAGGGTCTCTCACGTCCGTGACCCTTGGCAGTCGTGCCGTTCAAGCACACGAAGTCGTAGGCTCGGCAGGCCTGTGCGATCGCTGTGAGCCTCTCCCCGCTGGATGCGTGCAAGGGGTTATACTGGAGCACTCGAAGACGGCTGCCGACCATCACGCGCACGAGCAGGAGCCAGCAGCCCACACTGAGACATCTAGAAGCCATCGGAAACGAGGTAAGATGTGAGAGGGATGCCTCTGAGAGGAGGCATGCAGGTGGTGTGGGAGCTGGGCGCCTGTCGCCCTGGGCACCTGTGCGGGCGCTCCTGACCCAGATGCCTTGAAGTGAGGAGGAGGAGGGGGAGGAGGAGGAGGAGGAGGAGGAGGAGGAGGAGGAGGAGGGGGAGGAGGAGGGGGAGGAGGAGGGGAGAGAGGAGGAGGAGGAGAAGGCCTGGGGCTGGCGGCCAGCGGTCAGGCGTCGACGTGGACCCTGAACCATGGACATGTCTCCAAGGCGCGCCCTGGCCAGAGCTGCACGTCTCGGAGCGGATCATATCGTGGTGACGAGGCGTCACACCTCATGGATGCCCGAGATGTCCGAGATGTATGTTTCATACTCTAAACCCGTACTCATGAGCCTTCGGCTGAAGATCCTCGAGCCTCGTGCAATGAGAGGAGGGGAAATGGGGAGAAGAAGGAGAGAGGGTACGAGATCGAAGGGAAGGAGAAAGACAGGAGGATTACGAGGAAAGAGAGGAAGAGAAGGAGGGGAGGAGGGGGGGGGGAAAGGGAGGAAGGCGAGGCTGCAGGGCAACGAAGAGCTGGCGAGTGTCGCCTTCATGGGCAGCACCACCAGGGCATCCGGCGGCAGCGGGGTGTCCACACCCTTCGAGGGCGCGGTGGCGCACCGGGGAGGCATGCTTCCCCTCCTGCTCCTCCTCCGCCCCTTCTTCCTCCTCCTCCTCCTCTCCCCCTTCCTCCCCCTCATAGTTCCCACTCCTCCTGCTCCTCCTCCTGACTCCCACTCCCTCTTCTCGCCCCCAAACTCCTGACTCATCATCATCGTCATACTAATCGTCGTCGTCGTCGTCCTCCTCCTCCTCCTCCAGACTCGCGTGACGAACTCTCAGATGCATCATACAACTGATGCGAGAGCCTGCTGGCCAGAACCTAACTCCGTACCGCCACCATTCGCCCTCTTCTCCATCCCTCTTCACTGTGAATAAATCCCCCCACTGTCGCACCACAAGACGTGTCCTTCGGCTATCAGGCTACCACGGGCGTCTCGCGTGAGCCTGAAAATTCGAACAATTGCACAGATGGGGGGCCGGCGGTTTTCAAGACGTGGTTCTCTCCTATCGCCACGCGCACTCGTCTTGCAAACTTCCAGCACTTTCACCCAGGGAGGGCCTGTCGTTTTCACCATGCGGTTCTCGCCTTGGGCGCCGCGCGCATCCGCACGCAAATCTTCCAACAATTGCAAAGATAGAGGTAACGTGTTGGCAAACTGTTGGCCGCGCGCATGGCAGGGCCACTGGTCGCACGTCACTCAAGGAGGCGCGACCCGCAGTGGAACAAGGCAAGGAGATACTTCTGTAGCATACCGCAATTCCGCATGAGAGTGAGGGGGCTGGCGCAGGGTGGGTCGCAGGCGGGTCGCGGGGTGCGTCGCGGATGCGTCGCGGGCGGGTCGCGGACGGGTCGCGGGCGGGTCGCGGGCGGGTCGCGGGCGGGTCGCGGTTGGGTCGCGGGCCAGGTCGCGAGCAGGAAGACGACAACAACGCAACGAAACGCATCAACAATCCGCACCTCGGTAACCCACTTCAGCTACGCACCCACTCGCAGGGAATAACCGTTCGGCCGCTTCACTCTGATGTATGGACTTACGAGGAGGGGACTTAGGACGGGAAAGTGAATTTCAATCGCCTATGAATTCTGGGTTTGCTTTTTTCTTCTTCCTCTCCTCTTCCATCTGTTCTCCCTCTTCTCCTGCTCATCTCATCCTCCTCCTTCTACCCCTCCTACGTAACTCCTCCTCCTCCTCCTCTTCCTCCTCCTTCTCCCCCACCTCCTTCTCCTCCTCCTCCTGCTCCTCCTCCTCCTCCTCCTCCTCCTCCTCCTCCTCCCCCTCCTCCTGGCACTGACACCCGACACCAGACTCGTCCTCCTCATCGTCCTCGTCCTCCGGCTCCTGCTCTTGCTCCGGCTCCGGCTCCGGCTCCTGCTCCTGCTCCTGCTCCTCCTCTTCCTCATGGTTCGGCATGCACATGACTGCGAAGTGACGGACGCTGCTTGTCGATTCTAGACCGCCTTTGGTGAATGCACTTCTGGACAAGCAAAGCCATCGCCACCCCCAGCGGGGAGACCTTGGCACCGCTGGCCGACCGATACCCCCTCAGGTGGGGACGGATGTCCTCCCCGTCGGCCTTCGCAACACCCATCCCCGCACGCATGGGGGAAATGCTGGAGACGCTGCCGTGAACTGTCACGGGCCGGGCTCTGGGCAGGAACTAAGAAAATGGGCACCACCACCAGGGACCACCAGCAGGAGCCATGGGTCCGCCTGGTGGTGTGGTCCCGTTCCCCCCTTTCGCTCGAGCCATCCCCTACGCCCAGCTCGGGGATGCATCATGGACCTCGCCGGAGGTGGCGCCGCTGGTGGTGGTGACGTCGCTTCCCCAGGCACGCGACGTCCTGGTTTTTGCAATGCGCGGCCCCCGGAAGTCCGACCTCATCCCTGGAACTGGTTTACCATCCTGAGCAATACGCAGAAAGCATCTATACACCACTACCGTGCCAGGCCAGGGCCATCCTGGGCCCTAGGATGGTGTATACGCCCTCCTGGCCGAGCCAGGAGGGTCTATACACTATCCTACGGCCCAGGATGGCCCTGGTCTGGCACGGTGGTGGTGTATAGATGCCTTCGTCGGAAGTAATGGAAAGAACGAGGTACGAGGGGGGGGGGCGAGGGGGGCACGCCGTGGCGTTTATGGCCGCCGGGGGGCCGCTTCCCGGGTATTTTTTCAAACGAAGCGGCTGGCGGCGGCTTGTGCCTTGTATCTTGTTCGAGTGAAGCGGCTCAAGTGCCCCAAGACGGCCTAAGATAGGCCAACACCGCCCAAAGACGGCCCCAAGAGAGCTTCGGATGGCCTCCAGGCGGTCCAAGAGAGCCTCGAGACGGCCCCAGAGACCCTCCAGAGGGTCCTCGAGAGCGCCTGAGGAGCCCAAAAACATTGATTTCCCTATGGCTTTTGAAAGTGTTTTCCTTTTTCGGGCCCGGACGGGCCCATCACGGCCCATGAGGTCCCGAAGCTTGTCCCCAGACGGCCCCAGAGGCCCCCAAACGGCCCGAAAACCGTCCAAGAGGGCCCAAACGGCACCAGAGAGGCCCGAAACGGCCCAAAAGGGCCCCAAAACGGCCCAAGAGGACCCCAAGACGGCCCCAGGAGAGCCCCCAGAGGGCTCCAAGAGGCCCCCAAGAGGGCCCCAGGAGGCCCCCAACAGAGCCTCAAGACGGCCAACGGCCTCGCCAAAGACGCCCCAAGACTGCCCAAAATTGGCACCAAAAGGATCCCTAGCCCCAAGGGCCCCAAGAAGACCACGAGGAGGCCCAAGAGACTCTTAAGATTACCATGGCTGCAATCAGCGAGCGGTGACGCAACAAGCTCTTGACACCAAGGCTCCCCAGAGCGCGGTGACGTACAAAGCTCGTCACACCAAGGCTCCCAGAAGCGAGCGGCAACGTACAAGTCTTTGAACACCAGGGCTCCCAACGGAGAGTGGTGACGTGACAAACTCTTCACACCAAGGCTCTCAAGAGCGCAAACAACATATCCCGCAATGATTTTTCACGACACGATCGTGTCTGGGTCTCCTTCCCCCGGCGGATGGTCCTGCGAAGATGAGGCACGCTGACACGCGCTTTCGGGGATCTGCTGACCCAGGTCAATTCAGACCCGGGTCAGTCAGGCCTTGCAAGATCCTGCAAAATCCTGCAGGATCCTGCGCCCAAGCCCGGATCAACACGACCCTGGCCCTGCAAGATCCAACAAGATCTTGCAGGATCCGGCACCCAAACCCGGGTCAATGCGACCCTGGCTCTGCAGGAAAACACAAGAGCCGGCGCTCTGGCTGACCCCCGTCTGCGTCGACCCCCGTCTCTTGAGCCCCGACGCTTGCGACTGTCGCGTCGGGCGAAAGGGGGGGATAGCAAAGGGGGGGGTTGAGAATCAGCTCTCGTAGCTGATTTTCCCGGCGCCTCCCGGCGCCGGAGGCGGCCATGTATCCAGGAATGGGCCCCTCGGTGAGGCCGAAACCAGCTGCATGCCGCAAATTTCGGATCCCCCCCTTTCCCAGCAATATCCCCCCCTTTCGCCCCGACGCTTGCGACTGCCGCGGCCGCCGGCGAGGGGGCGGCCTTCTCCAGCCGCCGCACCTCGCCGCCCGGCAGCTTGATCCCGGTCCTGTCGGGGATGGACAGACCCCCCTTTAGTGAAACGTGGTTTAGTGAAACCGACCCGAGGCCCAAACCTGGCGGGCGCAAGCCTGGAACATAGCGGCCACGCCGCCTTCTCGAGAACCGAAAACGGACAATTCACTAATCGACGTGTCACTGTTGGGGGTGCTGTCCCCCCCGAGTCCTGGCGAGGCCGCCGGGCGTCCCAGCTTCGGGTGTCTGCTCCGCGGGGCGCGCGCGGCCCCCGGCGCGGTCCGACTTTGACTATCGCTGAACCGATGCACATGCCCAGAGGCGTGGCCTGGGCCCCACTGGCCGATTTACCCCCTTTGGTTGGGGTTATATATATATAGATATATACATCCCTTGGTTGGGGTTATATATATACATCTATACATATATATATGTATATATGTATATGTATCTATATATATATATATATATACATTTATGCCGTTCCCCTCGGGTTTCAAAGGGTGCATCCCCAACTGGGGGGACATTTTGAAGGGGGTCTCGAAGGGATGGGGATGGAGATGGGGACTGGGTGAACGATGCCGACATTTGGGCCTGCTTTGGGCCGAGTCGGGAACGCACTTGGGGCCGAATTGGGACCGGATCCGGGCAGAAATCGCCCTCTTTCCACCAGGGGAGGCGAGCAGAGCGAGAAGGGGGGAAAGGGAAGAGGACGGGCGAGGAGGAGCAGGAGATGAGAAGGGACCAGCCGTCCTGGCATTCCTGTAGTCCTACCATGGTGTGTCTTAGAGTCCAAACATGTTCTAATAACAAAAGCGATGTTTGTTATAACCTAAGCCTTATGTGTTATAAGACAGCTCCAGCCAAACATGTTCTAAAAACGTTTCGTGGATACCACAAAAGGTTCTTAGAACATTGTTTGGTAGGGCTATAGGCGAACCAGGATGCTTCGCGACTGCTTGAAGGAGGAGGGGCCGAATGCGGTCCCGCTGCGGTCCAAAACTAGGCAAAACTGAACACAACGTGGCCGCCCAAGGCCCCCGTGAACGGACATCAAACCCCAGACATGCGACGTCCTGACTTTTTCCATGCGCGGCCTCCGGAACTCCCGACCCTGTTCCCGAAACCAATTTTTCACCCTGGGTCGTTTGTTGCGGACCCAAGGCCCGCCGAGGGCTCCAGAAGCCGAAAATGGAGGGAAAACTGAACGTTCCAGTGTGATTATTTACGACGCGATAGTTCGAGTAGGGTATGGTCTATAGCATTGAATTACCCTAGAATTTCTTTTCCCGTCGAGTCATCCGTACAATTTTCGTAGATCTGCAAACACTCTACGCCAGTCTACTCCTTATGGGTTCGACGAACACACCAATATTGGGGTAGACGGTCTTGTAGCCGACCCCCTACTTGGATCATGTCTGGGACTCACTCCCTGAAAGAGGTGTTCGTGCCAGACAGCCTATCCACATATGCCCACCCCTGGGGGGACAGCGCCCGCACTACAAGTCGGGATGCCCCACAGCGACGCGTGCGCCTTAAGGGCAGCGCGCAGTGAGGTGATAGGAAAAGCTATACAGGTGGTGCCACCGGCCAGGCCTGCACCGTCGCACACGCTCCCTGGGCTCCCCCATGGCGTCTGGGGGGGGGGAGGCCCTGGCCGCCTGGTGCCCGAAGTTGCCGCACAGAAACAGGCGCGCGGGGCAGCCCGACCATGGGCAGCAGCGGTGCGTGCTCATTTCGGACGTCTGCGTACCCGTCGGTCGGAAGAAACGTCGTCGCCGCTGGCGCCTTCGCCGTCGCCGTCGCCGTCGCCGTCGCCGTCGCCGTCGCCGTCGCCGTCGCCGTCGCCGTCGTCGTCGTCGTCGTCGTCGTCGTCGTCGTCGTCGTCGTCGTCGACGTCGTCGTCGTCGTCGTCGTCGTCGTCATCGTCAGCGTCGTGCGTCGTCGTCGTCGTCGTCTCCCTGGAGGGTCGGCGGCACCGGCCGCGAGGCCTTCGCAACAGGTAAAAGCGTGGAGTAGGTTGGGCTTCCGCCCGACCCCCCGAGGAGGAGGGGACAGATAACGCCACTCGGCTCTCTTCAAGTAGAAAGGCGCTGAAAGTAGACTGCGACTGGGGCATCCACTTATACAGTGGGGGCTTGGCCACAAGAAACCTCCGCAAGAAACCCAACCCTAAAATCCGCGATTTGTTCAGTGACAATTCACATGTGTCGAACATCGTCAAGATCTGATTGGGAGCCCATCGAGATCCAAGAAACCCAGGGCACCCTGGCAAAATCCAACTGGTTTCTCGGCACGCGCCCCCACTGTACACACCTTCAACGACAGGCGTGGAAGGGCCTTTGCTAGTTTCTGGGGCTGCCCACCGATTCCCGCGGGAAGAGAAGCCGGCCCCCGAGGAAGAGTCCAGGCCTCTGGGGGGCCTACGATGCGAGCAGGATGACGTCGTCTGGGAGTGGTGGTTCTCTCGGGAATGGCGAGGTGGAGATAGATGTCTGAAAAGTGGTCAGGCACTTAGCGAATAATAGCAAATAGCAGCATGCCTTAGACACTCAGGAATGGGGTGATGGGTCGTAGGACGCTCGTCCGTGTGGGCCGTGGTCAATATTACAAGCAGTCCTTGATATGTTACCCAGCTTGGACCCCGAACAGTGATTGCTTGCACGCCGTGCATTGCAATCTAGGTGGTGCAATCAATGACATACAATCCAGGGGGTGCAGTCCTTTGGGTGCAGTCTATGCGGCGCAATCAATGCAGAGCAATGCAACGCAGTGCAAAACAATACAGAGCGATGCAAAGAGAAGAAATGCGAAACAATGCGGACCAATGCAAAGCTATGCAACGCAATGCAACGCATGCATATTCAAAGCAATGCAATGCAACGCAATGCAAAACAATGCAAAGCAATGCAAAGCAATGCAAAGCAACGCCATGCAACGCACTGCAAAGCATTGCCAAGCAATGCGAGGCACAGCAATTCCGCGCAGCGCAGTGCAAAACAATGCAAAAAACATGCGGCGACGGGCGGCGACGAGCTGGCCGGACCGCCTCTGAGGCCCGACGGCGACGGCGGCGGACAACGACGGGCGGCGACGAGCTGGCCGGACCGCCTCCGGGGGCCCGACGGCGACGGCGACGGACAACGACGGGCGGCGACGAGCTGGCCGGGCCGCCTCCGGGGGCCAGTTACCTTAGGACACTAGTAAGAACGCCTAAGTGCAAGCACTGTTCAGGGGAATTCGTACTAATACCTGGTCAGTGCGGGCTGAGGTATGGAGGTCGATGTTTTGACCGGCGCTTAGGTCAATAATGAAAAAGTGTTTTGGGGGCATGCCACGAGGTACGCACGCAGGAGCGAACATAAGCAAACGTGGACTTCGGGCGGTGAGGCTTTTAGAGTGCTTCCCTCTCTATCGGCCAGAGCTCGTTCGATGGCAACTCATGGGAGCCTTTCTTACCATCTGGTTGGCTCTTGCGAATCGACGCTAGTCGGCACTAAATCGACGCTAATCGACGCTCGTCGACATTGAATTGGCGCTAAATCAACGATTACCTGACGCCGATCGACGCTGGTGCACTATAGAGACGGACTTACGAGGATACGCAAGGCTCCCATGATTTGAAACTGCAGAAGCCAGGCCTCGATTGTCGACCGACCTAGTTTCTCACATACCGAACAAACGCGTATGCAGCGCATCTCATCAACACATTCCCCCACCCCGCCCATACGTGCTCCAATCGCACTTGTCGCGCCGCACTGGCTGCTCAAACTCTCCTGGTTATGCGCGCAGATGGCAATCGTACGCAGTCAAGCCGCACACTAAGGACGCGAGGCAAGGATGCAGGGGCCTCGGAGGGCCACGTCGACACTTCTCAGGGTGGGGCGCGACCAGCGAAAGAGCGGCCAAGGCTGGGCCGAAGGGGAAGGATGCAAGGGCAGTCTCGAAAAATTGCTCATCCTTGCCATGCGGACTGGCTTCGGCGGTGGACAAACCTCCCTTTAATGAACCTCCCCTTAGTGAAAACGGCTTGGGACCGAAACCGACGGACCTGGACCCGCAAAAATGACGGCCGCGACGCCCCCTCGCGAACCGAAAACGGCCAACTCCTTAATCGACGTGTCAGGGCAGGAGGTCTGTCCACCTCCGATGGCTGCAGAGTCAGGGCGCACAACAAGGGTGCGCGGTGAGAACGCAAGGGGCCTCGGAGGGCCGTGTCGGCGTGCCCGAGCCGGGGCGCGGCCAACGGAGGTCGCCGAAGCTGGGCCGAGAGGGCAAGGATGCGCAGGGGCAGCCCTGGACACCTGCTCGTCCTTAGCACTCGGCCTGACGGTAAGTTCCCTCGTCCCTCTCAGTGGCTACCTACCAGGCCACCCCAACCCAACCCGAAGACACGACTTTGACCCGAATTTCGGGTTGGGGGGGGGGGTACGGGGACCATGTGTTTTTGTCGATGTTCCCCGATCCCCCCCCCCTACTGGAAATGGAGGGCAAATTGAAGCCTTCGGGTTGGGTTGGAATGGTTTGGTTGGTGGTGACTCAGTAAGCCTCCTCCAGCCACCTCCCCCCTCGTCTCCTTCCGACCAATGGATCTGGCGCGAAGGTGCCAGACCCGCGGGTCGGGGAGCGCACCCCCCGAATCATGGCGCCACAGCCCCTTGATTTGGTGACGGAGCACGCCGACTCGGCATGGGAGCGGAACCCGTCGCCAAACGCGCGGTAATCCACGGTGGCGCCTCGTCGAATATAGATTCCCTCGTCCCTCTCAGTAGTCATCCTCCAACCTCCTCCTCCTCTCCCCCTCACCCCTGCGCCCTTCTCCTGCTCCGGATGCTCTCACCACCTCCATGCCCTCGCCCATCTCTCTTCCTGCTCCGCCTGCTCCTCCTCCTCCTGCTCTTCCCCCTCCTCCTCCTCCTCCTCTTTTCCCTCCCCACCTCCCTCCTCATCACTCCTGCTCCGCCCTCCCTGTTCCCCCTCTTCCTCCTCCTCTTCCTCCTGCTCCTCCCTCTCCTGCTCCTTCTCCTGTTCCTCCTCCTTCTCCTCCTACCCTTCTTCGCTGGTTCATGTTGTTCGTTGTCCTCTTCTCCTGCTCATACCTCGTTCCGCCCATTTCCTCGCCCTCCTCTCTCCACCTCCGCCTCCCGCCTCTCCCTCTCCCGCTCGCTCTTCTTCCGAATCCACCCTCCTCGACTCCTCCTCCCGCCCTCCCTACCTTCCTACCCCTTCACCAGCAACCCGGCCCGAGGAGTGGCGCGTGGCGCTATCGTTAGTTTGTCCTCCTCCGGGATCCCCGCAATTTCCCCCTCCGTGCCCCCCATCTTCCTGCGACCTCCTCCCCCTCCTCCTCCCCCTCCCCCTCCTCCTCCTCCTCCTCCTCCTCCTCCTCCTCCTCCTCCTCCTCCTCCTCCTCCTCCTCCTCCTCCTCCCCCAGGGGCAGGAGCGGGGGGAGGGCGGCGGCGGCAGGTCCCCACCGAGGACAGGTCGCGCACAAGCAGCTGCTTGCCTTCGGGTGCTGCGGCACCGGGGGGAAGACGGCCCCGTGGAAGAGGAAGAGGAAGCGGGGTGATCGGGACAAGGCGGGGGGGACGCAGGGAAAGGACGACCTGTGTGGACGCCGTCTGGAGAAGGACGGGGTGCGGTAGCGCAGGGGGAGGACGACTTGGGGGATGGTGCAGGAGGAAGAAGGGAGGAACGGGAAGGGTGAGAGGAATTTGCATGGACATGATGTGGCCTGATAGAGGAGGAGTGGGGAAGGGAAAGGGTGACGGTGACAGGGGCAAAGGGAGTAGGTCGTACAAGAAAACACTGTGGGAGGACGGGAAGGAATGGGACGGACGGGAAAAGTGAAGAGGAGGAGGGGTGAGGAAGAGGAAAACACATGGGACGAGTGAAAGAAAGGAGGTGGCTCCCAATGATGACGACGAAGTCCCCAAATGCCGTCCAGGGGACCCACACTAGGACACCTCGTCCTCCTCCTCCTCCTCCTTCTCTTCATCCTCCTCCTCCTGCCACCTCTTACTCCCCTGGAATTAAAAAAGTTGCCACAACGGGTTGTTCGATAGCTTGACTGGACTCTGAACCAACACTGAACCACGACAATTTTCCAAATGCCAGATGTGGCATGTATTCAATGTTTGAGTATTCGTTCCGAAAAAGGGACAAAGAACAACTGGACAGATGCCAAATGGAAAATGGAAAACGGATGCGGACTCTGACACAAGGCCGCGTACGACTATATCGCTGTAGGGTCCGATTCGGAGATTGCCGTATTCCGTGCTGTCAGACTCCTGTCCTGCTTCTGGAAGCTGTTGGCAAGTCGCTCTCACAGCTTGCAGCGCCAACGACCCCACAACGTTGATCAGGATCGTGAGCGGCTCACCGTCAGTAACTAATTCCAGAAGCTTTTCGCCGAACGAAATCTGCATGACCACGCGAACGAACAACAACAAGAAGAAAACGTTTGCGACTTGTTGACTATCTTGCGACTTTCTGGCGGCTGTCTGGCTGTCTAAGCACGGGGAAGGTCTGACTGCGGTCTGAGCAAACTGCTCAGCACCGAAAACACGTCCAATCAATAGGGACCCTTCGGTTTCAAAGCTGTTCCAGCAATCGCTTGAATAGCCCCGCCCTCCTCCTATACGATCCCCAAGCCCATCCCGAGTGAACCATGGATGTCCGTCGGCCGCCCTGATATGCATCCCAGGATATCGCTTCGCCACCCCCACGGGGTGTTACCTTCCAAAAACCATGAAATCCCGCCCGCGGCTTAGCAATACAAGCTCCTAGTTAGTAGGGGTCGTCGAAAAATCGTGGTGATGGTCGTGAGAATGATCGTGGTCATAGCAAGAAGTGTACTAGCCGTAGTAAAAGTAATCGTAGTAGTGGTTGTAGCAATTGTCGGTAGTAGTATCAGTAGTAGTAGTAGTAGTAGTAGTAGCAGTAGTAGTAGTCGTAGTAGGTAGTAGTAGTAGCAGCAGTAGTAGTAGTAGTAGTTGTAGTAGTAGTAGTAGTAGTAGTTGTAGTAGTAGTAGTAGTAGTCGTAGTAGGTAGTAGTAGTAGTCGCAGCAGTAGTACTAAAAGTAGTAGTAGTAGGAGTAGTAGTAGTATTACTAGTAGTCGTAGACGTAGTCGTAGTCGTAGTCGTAGTGAAAACAGTAGTACTACTAGAAAGTAGTAGTAGTAGTAGTAGTAGTAAAAGTAGTAGGAGTAGTAGTAGTAGTAGTAGTAGGAGTAGTAGTAGTAGTCGTAGTACAAATGGTAATCGTAGTTGTAGTCGTAGTAGTAGTAGTAGTAGTAGTAGCAGTAGCAGTAGTAGTAGTAGTAGTAGTGGTAGTAGTAGTATAATTAGTCGTCGTCGTCGCAGTAGGAATCGCAATAGTAGTACTAGTCGTAGTAGTAGTACTAGTCGTAATAGTAGTAGTAGTAGTAGTCGTTGTAGTAGTAGTAATAATAATGCTGGTAATGCCGGTCGTAAGAGTCCTAGTAGTTGTGTTAGTAGTCGTGATATAATGGGAGTGATAGTCGTCGCATTAGTCGTAATAATCACAAACGTAGTGGTAATAACAGCAGCAGTCGTCGTAGTAGTAGTAGTAGTAGTCGTAGTAATAGTAGTAGTAGTAGTAGTAGTCGTCGTCGTAGTGGTAGTAGTAGTAGTGGTAGTAGTAGTATGGTACTAGTAGTAGTAGTAGTAGTAGTAGTAGTAGTAGTAGTAGTAGTAGTAAAAGTAGTAGTAGTAGTAGTAGTAGTAGTCGTAGTAGTAGTAGCAGTAGTAGTAGGGGTGGTAGTGGTGGCAGTAAGATTGGTAGTTCTAGCCGTCGTAAGAATATGAACAGTAATGGTCGCAGAAATAAGAGCAGTAGAAGTATTAGTGGCAATCTTCGCCTTAGTGGCAGTACAGGTCTTAGTAGTCGTAGTCGTCGTCGTAGTCGGCGTAGTAGTCCTATAAAAATAGCAACGGTAGTCGTAGCAGCCGTAGAACAATGGCACAATAACAGTGGTAGTGGTGCACTAGTCAAAACAGTCGTGGGTCGGCACAAATCGTAGCAGTAGTGGTGGCCAACGTACTCGTAGTCATAAGAAAAGTAGTAGCGATACCATTAATAGCCGTACACGTATTTCTAGTAGGCGTAGTAATACTATACAAGGGTAGTTCTCGTACGAGCAGAAATAGGTCGTGATACGGCCAACAAGTGTGGAACCACTATTAGAAAAAATACGGGCACACATTATACCAGTAGTAAAAAGCAGTAGCCGCTCCCGTCGTGCAACTAACACTAGCCATAACAACAATGATAGTATTAATGATCGTCGTCGTCGTCGTACACCGAACATTGGAGATACGAGTCGGGGTAGAAGTAGTCGTAGTAATAGTGGAAGAAGTAGCCGTAGTAGTACGAGCCATAAAGGTAGTAGTAGCCGTCGTAGTAGTAGCCGTAGTCGTAATAGTAAAAGTATCAGTCATAATAGTAGTAGACGTATTCGTAAAAATCGTAGTCGTAGTAGCCGTAATAGTCGTAGAAGTAGTCGTCGCAATCGCAATATTACCCGTGCTGGCCGTAGTCGTAGTAGTAATTGTAGCCGTAGTCGTCCAGATCACACGTGTAGTGCTAGCAGTAGGCATGATACGAGGAGTAAAAGTAGATGTCTGTTCCACCAGTTCGAGTAGTACCGCAAGTAGATTACAAAAAGGTTTTATCTCAAAGCTATCCCTGAAGTCGCTTGGATGTCCGCGTCCTCTTCCGATACAGAAGAATTTCCACTGCCCCATAACAAACGGGTGAGCGTCGGCCGTCCTAAGTGAATGAATGGTCCATCCCAAGATATCGCTCCGCCACGCGCACAGAGCGTGACCTTAGCACGGGGGTAATCCGAAAAGAATGAATTCCCGTCCGCGGCTTAGCGGTAGACGCGCCCAGTAGTAGCAGTAGGCGTGTTAGTCGTAATAGTAATGGTGGTGAACGTCGTAGTAGTAGTAGTTGTAGTAGTAGTAGTAGTAGTAGTAAGAGTAGTGGTAGTAGTAATAGTGAAAGTAGTAGTAGTCCTCGTAGAAGCAGTAGTAGTAGTAGAAAATAGAAATGGTAGTAGTAGTACTAGGAGTAGTAGTGGTAGTAGCAGTAGTAGTAGTAGTAGTAGTTAGTAGTAGCAGTGGTCGTAGTCATAACATTATTCGTAGTAGAAGTAGTAGTAGTAGTAGTAGTAGTAGTAGTAGTAGTGGTAGTAGTAGTCGTCGTAGTCGTAGTAGCAGGAATAGTGGTAGTAGTAATCGTAGTAATAATGGTAGTCGTAGTGATGCTGGGGACCACTAACAATAATCACAACAAAACTAAAAATACTAGTCGGAGAAGTAGTAGTAGTAGTACATCGTAGTGTTAGTAATCCTATTACGATTAGCACTTGTGGTGTCAACGCTACATCATAATGGAGACCGTAGTGGTGGTGGTTGCAGCAAACATAACAAACGCATTGCTACTAATAGTAACCTCCTGGCGCCGACGCCGGTAGTACTAGGAGTCTGCCAGTAGTACGACAGGAAAAGGAGTACGACAGGAAAGGGAAGCAGCAAAAGCAGCAGACACAGTAGCGATCGCAGTAGTAGTAGCCGTACTAGTAGCAATAATAGTAATAGCCGTAGAGATAAAAGTCGTAATAGTCGAAGAACAAGCAGTAAAAGTAGTAATACCCGTACAGGTGCTAGGCCGTCGTAGTAGTACTAGTAATGATACGAACAATCGCCAGTATAATGGTCATGCGACTAGTGGTCGTCGTAGTAGTCGTAGTAACAGTAATTGAACGATTACTTCTTCTACTACTACTACTACTACTGCTACGACTTAGCAATAGTAGCACTAGTAGCAGAATTATTATAACGAAGGAGAAGTAGTATTAGTAGTACTATTCGTAATAGTAGTAGGAGCTGTAGTAGTAATAGTCGCGGTGATGGTAGAAGTAGCACTATCAGTGGCAGTCATACGACTAGCAGTAGCAGTGGTAGTTGTTCACACACAAATCTTAGTGATGGTAGCCGCATTCGTAAACCTAGTATCATCAAAGTAGTGCTACGAGTAGCAATAACAATGCATATGCTATTGACAACAAGCGTCATACGAGCGCGGATGGTAGTAGTGTCCGGAATACTTACAATCGTAAAAGTAGTTGCACTAGAAAGAGCATAAAAGCAATACCAGGAGCAATGGCATTCATGGTACCGCTACCTACTTCTACTACGATTACTACTTTGGAGTAGAAGTAATAGCAGTATCCAATAATAGCAGTCACACTCGCAGTAGCAAAAGTAGCCGTAGCAGCCGTAGTAGTAATCATGAAAATGTAGTTGCAGTAGTCGTAGTGGTTAGCAGTAGTAGTAGTAGTAGTAGTCGTAGTAGTAGTAGTAGTAGAAGAAGAAGTCGTAGTAATAGTAGTAGTAGTAGTAGCATCAGTAGTAGTAGTAGTAGCGGTAGTAGTAGGAGTAGTACAAGTCGTACTACTAGTTGTCGTCGAACTAGTCGTAGTAGTAGTAATAATAGTAGTCGTAGTCGTCTGGGTAGTAGTAGCTGTAGTCGCAATCGTAGTAGTAGTAGTAGCAGTAGTCGTAGTAACAACATTAACAATGATAGTGGTCGTACTACGTGTAAACATAGAGAGAGTATTAATAGACGGAATAATTAAACAAGTAGTCGTCGCTCAATCGTAGTAGTAGTAGTGGAAAAATAAAAAGAAGTAGTAAAAATAGTAGTAGTCGTCGTGAGAATAAACATCGAAATCGTAGTCGTAGTGATCCGTAATCGTGATAGCAATTCTAATCGTTAGTAGTAGTCGCCGTAATAATACGCAAAGTAGTAGTAGCAGTAGCAGTCGTAGCAGTAGTAGTAGTAGTAGTAGTCCTAGTCTTCGAGATCGTCGTAGTAGTAATAGTAGCAGTAGCAGTAGTAGTAGTAGTAGTAGTCGTAGTAGTAGTAGTAGTAGTAGTAGTATTGGTAATAGTAGTAGTGGAAGTAATAGTAGTAGTAGTAGTAATAGTAGTCGTAGTAGTAGTAGAAGTAGTAGTAGTAGTAGTAGTAGTAGTAGTAGTAATAGTAGTAGTAGTAGTAGTAGTAGTAGTAGTGGTAGTAGTAGTGGTAGTAGTAGTCGTAGTAATAGTAGTCGCCGTCGTAGCAGTCAAAGTAGTAGGAGTAGGAGTAGGTGTAATGCTATGAATTCTCCTCCATCCCTGCAGGGTCCGAGGCAACGCTTCCAGGGTGCGGGACGCGTTTGCCTCTTGCCAGAGGGGGAGGGATTCTAAACAACATCCTTGTGTCATTATACAATCTGCACTGGACGGCCAAGTCATCTGTCGACGGATACGTGCATAACATGTGCGAGCATTCACGTGTCACGTTCAACTGTTATAAGTGACTTTGCCTGCCCGGTGGCATGGAGAAATCGGTCAACGAACACGCAAGGCCACACCCCTCGCACGTACTGCGCCAACGGGTCGCTGAAACACACCCCGCCGGTCGTGACAAACACCATATGATGCCGCCTGCGTTCGAGGAGGTGAACCGAACAGTCCAACACGCTTCCACCGTGAGACGGGCCAGAAAAAACGAGGCGCGAGCTCAACCTGGCGTAAAGCAGCCCTGCCCCCCAACCCGCTGGATCGCCCCGCCACGGCCGCCTCCAACCTCGCCGACCCCGCTCGCGCCAGCGGAACGAATCTTGCAGTCCGCGAGGGCGCGCCCGAGGTCGAGGGCCAACCCGCGAATCCTAGAATTGCGCGAGCTCGATGGGCGGAGGAAGCGAGTGTCAGGAAGAAGCCGTGCAGACGAGCCCTGCATAGGTAATCGGGCGCATGTGTCGGCGCCGCACTCGCACCCGCAATGCCATCTCTTTGCACAGATGGGGTCAGCATATCACTTCATAGCCTGGCCGCGAGTGCCACCATCAGAGTCCATTTGCGCGTCTGACGAACAAGGGCGCCGAGCGAAACCAAATCATTCTGATATCTGGTTCTACCTGGTGTTTGGTTGCTCACGTCTTCCAGAGGAGGACTGGGCTAGGAACAAGCGCCTGAACCTGGGTGCGTTTTTGTGGGCCCTCGTGCTGGAGTGGCGCCGGCGCAGACACTTGCGCCGGCTGTCGCACGACGCTTGCGTGAGACGGGAGGCCAGCATGACGGAAGCGGGTCCCGGATGAGAGGGGCGCAAGATCCCGGCGCTTCTCCCCATGACTTTCTTTTCCTGGTCCGCTTTTTGACAGTCCTGGGGCCCAGGTCGGCTACACGCAGGAGTGACCTTGGGTAAGGGTGACCTTTGGTGCGCGGCTTTTTGCGGGCCGTGGGGGGACCAAACCTGGGCGCACAAGCCGCTGCTCCTGCTTCGTTTTCAGCCATCTGGGGACCCATTTGCCCCCGCACCAAAGGTCACTCCAGCGAAAGGTCACTCTTACGTCTAGTCGACCAGGGCGGGGCGTGGAAGGCCACAAACGACACGGCTTGCACTCGTGAGCCCGCTGCGGCCGTTTTCCTCTTGAGCACGGCCGGCCCTTCTCCTCAGAGTGCCCGACGCCCCGCCGTGAAGGCCTGGCGAGTTTGGCCCCCCTTATGACGTTTGGCCACAGCGGATCGCCTCCTGCGGCACATCACGGCCGCCTCCCGTGCCATCTTCTTGGCTCTTGCGAAGCGTCGCTGGCCGACGCTGACTCAGCGCTGCACAACGCGAAGTGTGCGCTGCCTCATCGATCACCAGACGCTGATCGACGCCAGTGTGCTCTTAAAGGCGGGGCTGCGAAAAGACACGAGGCTCCCATGACTTACTACCATAGATTGACGAACCAACAACGCACGCCCATACCCATAGGGGGGTCGGAAAGGGCTGTGGGTGCGTGTTGTCGGATGGGTGTCCCCGCTCGAACGGGAGCGTTCCCTGGGGTCCGACAACCCGCACCCATACCCATAGCCAGTCCTCCTCCCAACGACCCCCTTATGGGTATGGGTGTGTGTGTGTTGTTCGTTCGTCATAGATCACCCGCGACACGCTGGGACACCGCGGATCGCCCGCGGTGCCGCGCAAGCGCGGGCGATCACGGCCTCCGCGAGGTCTGCGCGGAACGTCGAGGGCGAGCAGGCGCCGCCGCCCGCCCGCCCCGCCTCCGCCGGCGGCCTTTCCGCGGGCCTCGGATCCGCGGGGCCGCAGAGCCTTGGAAAAGGGCGATGGATGTGGGCTCGCCCGCTTTCGCTGCCTGTCCGTTCTTGCTCACGCTGCGCTTTTCCAAGCGTCTAAACACTTCCCTCCCTTTTAGGGGGGGAGGAAGGTGAGCGCTTGGGAGCAACCAGAGGCGATTGGGAAAGAAACCTTCGGCATACTGCACTGTTGGTGTCTGGGCCGTGGACAATTGCGACCCCGTCGCGAGCGGTGCGGGGGAGAGCGAGAGGGAGGATCGGGTCGGGCGAAAGGGGGGATAGCAAAGGGGGGGTTTGGCAATTAGCTCACGTAGCTGATTTTCCCGGCGCCGGAGGCGGCTATGTATCGAGGAATGGACCCCTCGGTGAGGCCGAAACCAGCTGCATGCAGCAAATTTCGACCCCCCCCTTTCCCAATCCCCCCCTTTCGTCCGGCCCGAGAGGAGGAGGGGCAGCACCGAGAGCGATTCGAGCAAGGAGCACGTGCTGCTAAGCTTGCGGGTTCGCCCGGGAGCCGCGTGCGGCCCCTATTGCGAGGGCAGGGGGTGGAGCACTTGTCCTCTGGGCTGCCCAGGCCTGGGCAGTGCAGGAGGCAGACGCGGGAGGACCCGAGCTCCAACTCCGTTATTTTTTTGTTTGGAATTTTAGGTGGCAAACAAACCTACCTCGCTTTCGACCACCCTCGCTTCCAAGAGATACCAAGTGATGCCAAGCGACGGCCTGTACTGGTCAGGCCGCTTGACGGGGAGGCGTGGTATGACTTGGTTTTGCCTGGAAGCGAAAGCGGGGTAGGTAATTCACGCTCTGAAAGTTGGGCGCCCCCCATACCATCTTGTTGACTCTTGCGAGTCGACGCTAATCGACGCTAAATCGACGCTACTCGACGCTGAATCGTCGCTATCTCACCGACTCCCTCCCAGACGCTAGTCGACGCCGATCGACGCTCAAGACAAAGTTGCGAGGGTACGCGAGGCTCCCATGATTTGAGACCGGAAAGTGGCCCCTCGGAGCCCTCGGCCAGGACCAATCAACCGTCGCTGATCCATGTTTCTGGGCCCCCAGGGTCCGAGATGTGCCACCGCGCGCCGAGACCACCTGCACGGGGGGGCAGGACGCCGCGACGTCTCCGCGACGCCTGGAGGCCTGAATGGTGCAGAACATGGAGGGGACCGCCTCTTCACAAGCGGCGAACATGTCGGCGGCCGCGCCCTCGCTGCTGGACTTGTTGTTTCCACCGCCACCACGACAAGCACTTTCGTAGTGGAAACACTTGGTTTTCAACATGTTTGCTTTTTGGAAGCTCTGCGTGGCGCCGCCCCCATACCATGGGAGGTGGAGGGGGTCCTCCTCTCCTCCCTCTCCTCTTCCTCCTCTTCCTCCTCCTCCACCTCCTCCTCCTCCTCCTCCTCCTCCTCCTCCTCCTCCCTGCCTCCAACTTCTGGTGGGGGTGCTGGGGGAGGCCAGGCCCCTCGCTCGCGGCCTGGCCTCCGGGGCGCGACCCCGCGGATGCGCAGCCGCGCGGCCACGCCCCGCGCGGGGCAGCCGCGAGCAAGCACGTCCCGCATCCGCCGGGTCGCGCCCCAGGGGGCCCAGCCAGCGGGGCGGCGGACGTCGTTTTCCCCTCCTGGGCATGGTTTAACCGATCGCTCATCCCCCATGGGCGTGGTCTGGGCTCCACTGGCCGATCCGCCCCACGAGGTGGGGATATATATATATATATATATATATATATATATATATATATATATATAGGCTGTTTCCCCCCTAGAGGCGTGCATCACAAACTTGGGTGCTGAGAGGGTCAAACTTCTCCCCACGAGATACCATGGCCCGGTGGGGGCAGGGATAGGTCAAACGGTACTGACCCACGATGCCTTGGACTCTGAAAGAAGAGCTCCGCCGCCACATCTGTGAGGAAGGGGGGGGGAAGGGGGGAGGGAGGGAAGGAGGGAGGGTGGGAGGAGAGGGGGAGGGATGGAGGGATGGAGGCACGGGGGGGGGATGAGGCATGAGCAGAAGGCAGGAGGAGAAGGAGGAGAAGGCTTCGTCGTCGTCGTCGTCGTCGTCTGCGCCGTCGCGCCGCCGCGCCGCCGTCGTCGTCGTCGTCGGCGTCGGCGGCGGCAGCGTCGTCGTCGCGGGAGGCGCCTCTTCGCCCCCAAGCCCGTGGGAGGGCCCCTCGTCCCGAACCCCCTCCGCCTCTGGCAAGTCGGCGCCACACGCGCCCCGCCGCCGCACTCGCGCGCCCACGCAGCCCGGGGTGCGCGGCAGCCTCTCCCTGGCGCGTGGCGGGCGCCGCGACGCTCACGGGGGGGCTCGTGCGGCGTCGGCGCCGGGAAGAATTTTTGAGAGCGCGTCGATCGTTCCAGCCTTGGATCGATCGCGGACCCGATCGCTCAGAGCCGAATTCCGTCGGGACCAGTGGCGTCACCGTGGCCCTCGGCGCTTCCGCGTCGCAGGATTCAACCTTGAACGCCTTCGCTGGCGTCGCCGGCGCGCCAACGCCGCATGAACCTACCGTAAGGGAACAACAAAAACGGCAGAAGCTGAAGCTCTGAGCTCCGCGCGGATTTCTTGCATCGGCGTTGGCCCCTCCCCCTTCCAGGCGCGGCGCGGAGCGCGCCAGAGGCGGCCACGGAGGCACTGCCAAGGGGGCCCAGCGCTGATGAAATCCGCGCGGAACTCCGAAAGAAAGTTGATGCTCATGCAGGTTTTTGTTGTCCGCCAGAAGGCGGCGGTGCTCGCGCCGTGGCTGCCAGCCTCAGCGAGGTCGCCAATCCGCGCGCCGCGCGAGGTCCCGGGCTCACGCCTGAGCGCCGCCGCCGGGGGGCGCCGCGAGCTCCCGCTTGAGCTCCTGCCGGGAGGGCGCCCACCGCACACCTTCCACCGCCCCCGGCCGGGCCCCGAGCGAAGAGGTCTACCAGAGGGGGTCCGAGGACTGCACCGCATTGCCGATGCAGCGCCGATGCATCGGCGGTGCATCGCCGATGCATCGGCGACACCGGCGTGGAGAAAATCGGTTTCCAGATCGAGCCGCCTCGTCGATGCATCGACGATGCATCAGCGATCCGCCCCATCTACTGGGACCCCACCTGGGAGGCCCAGACAGAAGAGGCCTCCAGGCGGCTCCCAGAAGAGGCAACCCCGGAAGGCCCCAAGAGGCCCCCAGAATACCCTGTAGGCCCCAAGAGGCCACACGGCCTCCCGTGCACGAGCGGCCCAGGGATGGCTACGGGATGGGCTGAACGCCCCTCGGTGCACCTTAGCCTGCCATCGCTAGCCTGCACCTTAGCCTCGGTACACCTTAGCCTGCACCTTAGCCTAGTTTGCCTGCCTCCTCCCTCTCCTCCTCCACCTCCTCCTGCTCCTCCACCTCCTCCTCCTCCACCTCCTCCTCCTCCTCCTCCTCCCTCCTCCTCCTCCTCCTCCCTCCCCTCCTCCTCTCCCCTCCTCGCCTCCCTCCTCCTCCTCCCTCCTCCTCCCTCTCCTCCTCCTCCTCCTCCTTCCTCCTCCTCTTCCTCCTCCTCCTCCTCCTTCCGCCTCCAGCTCCCCCTTCCCCTCTCCTCCTCCTCCTCCCTCCTCCTCCTCCTCCTCTCTCCTCCTCTCTCCTCCCTCCGCCTCCAGCTCCCCTCTCCCTCCTCCTGCTCCTCCTCCTCCTCCTCCTCCTCCTTCTCCTCTTCTCATCCTCCTCCTCCTCCTCCTCCTCCTCTCCTCCTCCTCCTCCTCCTCCTCCTCCCTCCGCCTCCAGCTCCCCTCGCCTCCAGCTCCCCCTCTCCCTCCTCCTCCTCCTCCTCCCCTCCTCCTCCTCCTCCTCCTCCTCCCCTCCTCCTCCCTCCTCCCCTCCGCCTCCTCCTCTCCCTCTCCTCCTCCTCCTCCTCCCCTCCTCCTCCCTCCGCCTCCTCCTCCTCCAGCCTACAGCTCCCCCCTCTCCCTCCTCCTCCTCCTCCTCCTCCTCCTCCTTCTCTCTCCTCCTCTCCTCTCTCTCTCCTCCTTCTCCTCCTCCTCCTCCTCTCCTCCTCCGCCTCCAGCTCCCCCTCTCCTCCTCCTGCCCCTCCTCCTCCTCCTCCTCCTCCTCCTCCTCCTCCTCCTCCTCCTCCTCCTCCTCCTCCTCCTCCTCTCCTCCGCTCCCCCCCTCTCCCGCCTCCTCCTCCTCCTCCTCCTCCTCCTCCTCCTCCTCCTCATCCTCCTCCTCCTCCCCTCCGCCTCCAGCTCCCCCTCTGCGTCGATCAAAAACTGCTCTTACGCGAGATGACACAGCGATCCCACGCGGCGGCCTACGCGGGCCGACAGCGCGCCACGCTACATTGGAGCCGAGGGCGCTTACGCGCGAGCTTACGCGGGCAGCTCACGCGCCAACGTCGGTGAAGACGACCCCGTGTTCCTCAGTTGCTCATCTTTCGAGAAAGAAGAGGAGATGGCATCAGCATGAACTGGTGGCGCTCCACGCGGATTTCTGGGATCTTTGCCGGACCCCCCTCCCTGGCGCGCGGAGCGCGCCAGGAGCGGCGCCAGAGGCGCCGCCCGGGGGGGCGCGCGGAGGGCCAGAAGTTCATGTTTCAGGTTTTCGCGCCAGTCAAGCTTATGGTGTTTAAAAAACTTCAACTTTCTGTGTGATTTATCGAGCCAGATCGATATGTGATGGTCCCAGGGCCCGACATCCCAGCGAAAACGCCTGGCTCGAACAAATTGCATCGCCAAAATCTCGGGGGATCCTTCACTTGAGCGAGGAGGGCTGTCTGCTGCTGGAAGATCCGCTGCACGTGCCGCCGGTTGCCGGCGGAGAATGCGAGCACATCCCTCCTGTCGGGCGCTCGCCAACATGGATCAGGTATCCGGGGATCTTGCGCATAGGCACCAAATCCCCCCCCCCCCCCGAAAAATAAAGCCTGTGCCGCCTCGGTGCCGCCTCGTTTGGCGACGGAGCGCGCTCATTCCGTATGGAGGCGAGATTGGTCGCTCATCCACGCTGCCTCCCAGTCAGAACTGATAGTAAGGATGCACGATAAGGATGCAAGCCCCTCGGACGCCCATGTCGAAGCTTCTCGGGGGGGGGGGGCGCGGCCAACGAAAATGGCTAAGAATGGGCCGAAGGGAAACAATGCAAGAGCACCCTTGGAAAGTCGCTCATCCTTAGAGCCGAACTCTATACACCGACGCTTTTGTCTGGCCTCGCACTGAATCTCGCACAAGAAAACGGATCCTGGTGTATACGGGATCCTGGTGTATACATTCTTCGTCGTTTCCCCAGAGAATCGGCGGTGGACAAACCTCCCTTTAGTAGACCTCCCCTTCATGAAAACGGCCTGGGACCGAAACCGACGGACCTGGACCAACAAAAATGACGGTCGCGACGCCCTCTCGCGAACGGAAACCGGCCAATTCCTTAATCGACGTGTCAGGGTAGGAGGTCTGTCCCCCCCCGAGAAAAGCGGGGGAACAAGTATACACCACACCACCCCGACGTCGTCCCCGACCCTCAAACAAGTCCTGGGATTGAAACGCCGCCCGCCACTGGTGATGCATATGCTCCAGTTTCCGATTGCTATCAGTGTGGTATGGAGGTGGGACTCGTCGCTCATCCACTCGGGTCGGGCGAAAGGGGGGGATAGCAAAGGGGGGGTTTGAGAATCAGCTCACGTAGCTGATTTTCCCGGCGCCTCCCGGCGCCGGGAGGCGCCCATGTATCGAGGAACGGGCCCCTCGGCGGGGCCGAAACCAGCTGCATGCAGCAAATTTCGTAACCCCCCCTTTCCCAATCCCCCCCTCTCGTCCGGCCCGATCCACGCAGCGTTACTCCATGCATGCGCCTCCCCGATCCTGCTGCCGCGCGGCGTGTGCGGCCGGATGGCCAGCGCCCCCTCGCGGATCGACGCGCACACCTCCCGAGGTAGGAGATCGACAGCAGCATTGATGTAGAGTGGGGGCCCGGCCACAAGAAACCTTCCACAATAAACCCAACTCCGAGACCCCAGGACGTCCACCGATGTTTGGTGTGGGAACGTCGCGCTGTCCATGGCAAAACTATCGAGACCCAATCAACCTAGGTCACCCTGGAGGCAAGCAGGGTGTTTCTCGGCATGGGCTTCCACTGTATGTACCCCAGAACACCGCCTTCGTTCGTCGAACCTGCAGCAAACATATGGACCGTGCGTAGAAACCCGCGCAAGCAAAACGCCTCTGTCGCAGATTCGACGGACATATTGTGAGGAGTCCATCTCCCACTCGAACCTCGACGTACGGCGTCCCCGCCGCCCCCGCAGCGCCGCCGGCGACCACCTCGGACACCGCGGCCTCGGCGCGGTCCGCGGCAACGGCGGCCTCCTCGAGGCCTCCGAGCGCCGCGTCCCTGGCGGCCAGGGCCTCATCCAGCGCGGCCGCGCGCGACGCCACCTCGGCCGCGTCCGCCTTCGCGGAGGCCCTCGCGGCCGCGAGGCGCTCCGCCCTCTGGACGACCGCCTGCAGGGCCGCGTCGAGCCCGCCGACATCCCGCTTCAGCCGGCCGAGGCACTCGCGCAGCTCCGCCACCGCCGCCACCGCGGGGCCGAAGTCCTGGGGCTGCGGCGCCGCCTCCTCGGGAGCCGCAGCTGTGCACCACCACCACCACCACCACCACCACCACCACCACCACCACCACTGTCCCTGGCAAGTGTCAGCCGAGGAGGAGGAGGAGGAGGAGGAGGAGGAGGAGGAGGAGGAGGAGGAGGAGGAGGAGGAGGGGAGGAGGAGGAGGAGGAGGAGGAGGGGGAGGAGGAGGAGGAGGAGGAGGAGGAGAGAGGGGATGAGAGGAGAGGAGGGGAGGCGGAGAGGAGAGGAGGAGGAGGAAGGAGGAGGCGGAGAGGCGAGGAGGTGAGGAGTGCCCCTGGAAGTGAGGAGGAGGAGGAGGAGGAGGAGGAGGAGGGGAGGTGAGGAGGAGGAGAGGATGACAGGAGGAGAGAGGAGGAGGAGGCGGAGAGGAGGAGAGGAAGAGAGGAAGAGGAGACGGAGAGCAGGGGAGGAGGAGGAGGAGGAGGAGGAGGAGGAGGAGGAGGAGGAGGGGGATGTGCACACGGCCTCGAGGCCTCGACTACAAGGGTCTACACACCATCACTGGCCAGCGATGGTGCGCATGGCTGATCTGAGGATTTGGAGATCAAGACATGGCAAACACGTGGAGTCCGCGCGGACCTCCCAACAGTCTGTTCGTGCGAGTATTCCCAGACATGCCTTGACGCTCCAATGCGCGACCCCTGGAAGTCTCGACTCCTTCCCCGAATCGGGTCTTCATCCCGGGTCATTTGGCTGACGGTCCCCCGGCCTGGTAAGAGCCTCCGGAGCCCGAACATGGATAACAACGGCTTTCCTCTCTATTCCTGACGTTGCCTGCCTGGGTTTCAGCCTCCTGGCCTTGACCCCAGGAGCCTGGGGGAGGAGGAGGAGGAGGAGGAGGAAAAGGAGGAGGGGGAGCAGCAGGGGGAGGAGGGGGAGGAGGAGGAGGAGGAGGAGGAGGAGGAGGAGGAGGAGGAGGAGGAGGAGGAGGAGGAGGAGGGCCTGCACGCCGCCCCTGCCCAGCGACAGGAGCACAGAACAGCGGCACCACCACCCACGGGCCGACCGGCGGAAGGAGCCAGGAGGGGCCCCCCCTGGTTCCGCGGCGCGCCCAGGGGGGGGGGGGAAGGCGAGAGGGTGCGGGCCTTCTCGGGAGGCTCGGAAGTCCCCTGGCCGTCTCTTGCCATCGCTCGGACGTCCATTCCCTCTGTTTTTGTTGTCGGTTTCGTGCGTGGTTTTTGCTGCTCGATGATCCAGGATGCCAGGATGCTCCTCGATGGTTCTCGCCGAGAACAACATGCACACGTCCGAGCGATGCCAGGTTCTGAAGAGATTTTGGCGGCGCGCAAAAGGGGGATAGGGGGAGGGGGGAAGGCTTCTTAGAAGCATCCTGCTTATTAGAAGGCCTCGGCCTTACGTCTATGGAGAAGGCCCCGCGCCTTCTAAGAAGCAGGGGTGCTTCTGGGAAGCCTTCCCACCTCCCCCTACCCCCCTCTGCGCGTTGCCGAAGATTCCCTGAGCCTCCCCCGAGGACTCAGGGCACTTCTCCGCAGGCGCGGCGGCTTCTGAGAGGCCCCGCCGCCTTCTGAGCAGGCCTGCCCCACCTTCCCCCTGGGCGCGTCGCCGGATTTGGTAGTGTTAGGTCGGGCCTGTCCCCCCACAGGGGGATTTTCGACGAAAAAAAAAATAAAACGTGCCCAACAAGTCAGCAAAACACTCTGCAAAAATAGCCTGGGGACTATTTTTGGAGTATTGTTTTGCCTTTGGGGGGCCTTTGTGGGGTGTTTTGTTATTTTTCGTCGAAAATCCCCATGTAGGGGGGACACGCCCGACATAATGGTAGTGCGGTCCCCCCCTCTCGCTCGAGACATCCCCTGTTCCCAGCTCGGGGGGGCATCGTGGACCTCCTTGCTAGGGGTGTTCCCCTGGGGGTGGTGTCGCTCTTCCAAAGCAAAAACGCCGGCACAAACATCGGCAGACATGCGTCAGCGCTGCCGCTTCGGGGGAAGGGGGACATCGAAGAAGACAACACTGCATGAGCATGAACTGTTGTGCGTATTTCTTGGATCCGCGCTGGGACCTCTGGCGGCGCCTCCGGCGGGGCCCCTGGCGCGTTCCGCGCCCCAGGCAGGGGGCCCCAGCGCAGATCCACGAATTCCGCGCGAAGCTCCGACTGTTTATGTCTCTGCCGTCTTTTGATCACCAGCGGTGGCCACCTCCAGCGAGGAGGTCCACGATGCGCCCCCCGAGCTTGGGACAGGGGATGTCTCGAGCGAGCGGGGGCGGGGGCAGCACCACGACAGGAGACTGGGTTTGGGGTGACTCTGCGGGTGGTGAGTGGATCGATCCTCTGCCCCTGCGGCGGCGATGGCGGCCTCGAGCGAAGCGCCCGCGGGCCGGATGCCCAGCTCGTCTGGGCGGCCCGAGGCGGCCCCGTAGGTGGCCTCCCAGGCCTCCCCCCCGTCGGCCGAGGGCATCGGCACCTCGCCGTCGGGGTCCACCTTGGGAGGAACGACGACGCGATGGCACCGCGCGTCCTCTTCGGAGGCGCGCGCCCGACCCGAACAGATAGTACCGACGCACTGTAGTGTAGCGTTTCCCGAACGGGAGGGCCAGAAACCGCCCGCTACCGAGCATATACGTATCACCCCGCAGAGTCCGACGAGAGTGAGGGGGCGGTGGGGACGGCGGTTGTCTGCGAGGCTCTGGAGAAGCTCGTCGCAGGCGCTGAAGTGTCACAAATTACGCAAGGAGCCCGCCGCAGGCGCCGATTTTTCTTTACAGAAATGTGGGTAGGTCGCTGGTGGGTCGCGGGGTGGGTCGCGGATGGGTCGCGGAGTGGGTGGCGGATGGGTCGCGGGTGGGTCGCGGGTGGGTCGCGGTATGGGTCGCCGGTGGGTCGCGCGGTGGGTCGCGCGGTGGGTCGCGGGGTGGGTCGCGGGTGGGTCGCGGGGTGGGTCGCGGGGTGGGTCGCGGGTGGGTCGCGGGGTGGGTCGCGGGGTAGGTCGCCGGGGGGGGACGACGACAACAAACAAACAACGCAACAAGCAGAATATCCTCACCACGGACCCCGACTTCAGCCACGCACCCAGTGACCATGAATGACCGTTCGGCCCCCTCACTCTGACTATGAGATTTCTCGGCGCGCGCGCCTCCTTTTTGGGCAGCGACGCAACGAGGGTATTGGTATGTTGGGGTGACGCCGACACCTCGGTGTTGTGCCGCCCTAGCCGCTCCGAGTCGTAGTTCGTGTAGGTGTGGTACTGGGCATCATTGTTCATTGTTCGCGATGCAGTCAAAAACCATCATGGTGATGCAATGTGAGGATGCAAGCCCTTGGAAGTTACATTTACCATTCGGAGCTCCTTGGACGACAAGATTGGCTCAGGATGGGCCAAAGAAACAGGGATGCAAGGATAGCCTTGATGAAACGACGCATCCATAAGATGGATTTTGACTGTAACGCACGTGACCGCCCACACCCCCGTCCCCCCCTGTTACGTCATGATTCGCGCCAACGCCGCCTGGGAATTAACCATTCTTAACCATGCCCAGACGGCGCCCGTGCAAATCGTGACTTGACTGGCCCCCCCTTTCCCCATCTCCCCCCCCCGCACCACGTCACGATGGGCGCCAATGCGGGAATTTGCCATTCGGGCTCCTGGGCCCCCCTCCCCCCGTCACGCCCGCTGTCACCATTAGATAAACAAATCTGTCTCCTGGTACACCAGGTTGGGTATGGCTGGGCGGAAACGGCGCGGCTCGATGCCGAGCAGCTCGCGCAGCATCGGCGCGTTCTCGGCAATGCTGGTGCAGAGAAGCCGGCCCAGGGGGCATCCGCGGTCGTCGGCGCCCTGCTTCATGAGCAGTTTCGCGGTGGTGGCGTACTTGCTCCAGACCTGGAGGAACGAAAAGGGCATTACACATATACCCAAGACCGCTGCAAGACGGCGCAAGGAGCCCCCATGAGGGGCAAGGGACCCAAGAGAGGCCCAAGAGAGGCAACTCGAACTGAAATCACGGGCCCTCCGCCCCAAGAGGACCCCAGAGACTGCAGGCCCCAGAGAGATCCCCAGCAGGCCCGAAGACTCCCCCGAGAGGCCCAAGAGGAGGCCTTCGGGAGGGCCCCCAAGAGGCTCTGAAGGGCCTCACCCTGGGACTTGGGCGCCCGAGTTATCCGGGGTAACTCGGGTCCGGGGTAACTCGGGTTTGGATTCCCGAAAAAGGAACCCGAGTTATCCCTGACCCGAGTTACCCCTGATGATTCGGGGCTCTAAGGGACCTTCTCATTCCCCCTCCATGGGGCCGGTGGACTGGCGTACGTATAAGCTTCCTGCATAAACCCTCGCAGGCCCGCGCGGACTCGTTGGGTCGGCGCGGGGTCCCCCCCGGGCCCCCTCTCCCGTGCGGGCAGTGTCTATATCCACGTCCAGTGCGACTTGGAGTTTCGGACTCCCTTCAATCGGACTCTCTTCTCGAGAAACACGAGGCGCACTGGATATGGATCATAATCTGCCTCCCAAAAGGGGCTAGATTTTTCTCCACATCCAGTGCGCCTCGGCCTTGCGGCGCCCCTTCCGAGAAAGTCCAAGACGCACTGGATATGGATATAAACATTGCCCCCTCTCCCACACCCCTCACCCGGCGAGCCTCCGGTGCGGGGGCGTGGCGCCGAAGCGACCGCCAGGGGTGTGAGGAGAGGTGGGAGCGGGGGTGCTCCGGCGCCGACCCACGAGGTCTGCGCGGACCTCCGACTACTTCTGCTCATATGATGTTTATTTCCTCTGGCACCTGCTGGCCATCGCTCGGACGTCCGTTCTCTGTGTTTTTGTCGGTTTCGTGCGTGGTTTTTTTCGCCAAATGATGAATGATGCTCCTCGATGGTCCTCGCCGAAGGAAAAATGCACACGTCCGAGCGATGCCAAGCCTGCGGATCTCTCGAGGTTCCCGGAGGCCCCCCCGAGGGCCAACATTACCCACACCAGAGAAAAGCCCGAATCAGAGGATGGCTTCCGCTGAGGAGATCGACCGGGAACCCGGGAGCCCGGGAACCCAAAACCCACCGAAATCGGCCCGGAACCAATAACTGGGAACCCGGGAACCCGGAACCGGGAACCCCGAACCGGGAACCCGGAACCGGGAACCTGGGAACCCAGCCTGCTACCAGAATCGGCGGGAAACTTTTGCCAAATCTTTCAACTTTCGCTAGGACCCCTTCAGTGCAAGCACTGATCGGGAAATCGAAAGTCTGGATCGTCGAAGCCCCGCTGTTGATGTCTTGTTGCTCGTCGAAGGCCTCCCTCGTGATGTACGGAGGGTCGACGACCACGAGGTCGAAGGCGTGGTGCAGGTCGGGCGGGACGTCCTCTGGGTGGTGGAAGTCGTAGAAGACGAAGCCGGGGTCGTCCTGCCAGGCCCTGTCAAACTCCAGGACCTCTGCAGCTCGCGGAAGGGACGAGAGATTACAAGCAAGCGGAGCGTTTGTTTCCCAGCGCATGCTTAGAGGAAGAAGGAGGAGCGGACACCACCACGACACAACTCCCTCCGTGGAGGCGACACTCCCGAGTGCAACGCCGCAAGAACATCTCTCGAGATCTCAGAAGCAACACAAGTACTTCAAACCAATTGGAAGCAAACCTGAGTCAGGAGGGACAGAAACATCAGGGACTTGCTTTGCAGATGTATCAAAGGAAGCCACCTCTGTTCATTGCGAGATTCCTAACCGAGGACCCAAATTAGGTCACGAGTTCATGGTGATATACGTGTTAGACATAGTAGGGCCCCTGCAGACCTTGTGGGGGTACAGGGATTGCTTGTGGCGTAATGAAAGGTGTCTCGACGATTCGTCCTGTCAGGCCCTCTATCGAACCCAGGGCCTTGCATTATCGCAGGAGCGACGATGCATGAGTCCCAGCAGATGATTGAAGATACTTCGAGTAGGGGATCGACTACAGAACTGCCTTACCCAATCATTAAGTCGTTAGTCGAATATGCGAAGATAAACATATACGGTTAGAAGATCTACAGAGCTTCGTGGATTCACAGATCCAGCGGGGAGACACATTCGGGGTACATCAATATCGTATTCGATCTCCCACTCGAATGCTGGGGCTCTTTCTGGTGTCGGCGTCCTTAGATCGGCGACGTACGTACTAGCCTTGGTCAGCCAAGGCCACGTCGCGAGCACGACGTCCCTCCCAAGCCGATGTCGGCGGAGGGCGGGGGAGCCGAGTCGGCTCCAGGTGGCTCCCAAACGCGGACGAGCCTCCTCCTCCTCCTCCTCATCCTCCTCCTCGTCCTCCAAAGGATCTTACATGAGAATTGTCTGACCCTATTTAGCGCTGACCCCACCTTGGAAGAGCCTCGACGATTTCCCAGGGTGATGCCAGAGGACCGAAAGAAGCCCCAAGAGGGCCCCCAGACGGGCCTTCAGAGGCTTCACGACTGCCTCCAGGCCCCCGAGGCGGCCTCGACGAAATCCCAACGAGCATCCGAGAGGCCTCAGACCCACAACCACGGCACGGTGGCGGCACGGGCCGAACTCCAGTGGATCCGCCGCCCCCTGCTTGCAGGGGTGCACGGCGTGCTGGACGTTTCAGGTTTTGGTTTTGGTTCTTTTTCTAAAAGAACTCCCCAGTGGGCTTCGGCCCGTCCCGCCGGCCACCCGGAAAGGATGCCCAGGAGCTCAATTCCCCAATTTCCTGCCCCAGACGGTTCCAAGATGGCCTCCAAGATGCCTCTAAGACGGCCAGGATGGTCTCTAAGACGGCTAAGATGGCTCCAAGATGCCTCCAAGACGGCCCAAGATGCCCTCCAAGACGGCCAAGATGGCCCCAAGATGCCTCCAAGATGGCCCAAGAGGCCTCCAAGACGTTCTCCAGGAGAGCCCGAAGAGGCCAAAATCATTGGTTTTCCTTAGGTTTTTGAAGGTTTTTTGCGTTTTCTTCTTTTCGGCCTTCCGACGGCCCAAGAGGCCCCCAAGATCGCCCAAGAGGCCTCCAAGAAGGCCCTATGACGGCCCAAGGGCCCCCCAAGACGGCCCCAAGAGCGCCCCAAGACGGCCCAAGAGGCCTCCAAGACGCCCAACATGGCCTCCAAGACGGCCCTGAAGCGCCCCAAGAGGGCCCCAAGACGGCCCAGAGAGGCCCCCAAGACGGCTCCAGACGGCGTCAGACGGACCAGGAACGCCCTAAGACGGCCAAAGAGACCCCCAGGAAGCCCCCAAAGGCCCCCAAGAGGCCCAAGGAGGCCCCCAAGATGCCTCCAAGAGGCCTCCAAGAGGCCCCCAAGAAGCCCCCAACAGACCCCAAGGGTGCCCCAAGAGACTCCTAACAACCCTCATCCTCCTACTCTATTTCTTCCTCTTCCTCTTCCTGTTCATAATCATTCTCTCCCATGTGTTCCCCGAAAGCTTTCCAAACCGACTCGGGGAACTCATGGTCCGATAGCTTGGCCAAGCTCTAGTCCAACTTTCGGCCACATCGGCGTTTCCAAAAAGGCAGGGGGCGGCGGTGATTCGCCGTAGGCGTCTTCGATCCGCCGCCCCCTGCTTGCAGGGGTGCACGGCGTGCTGGACGTTTCAGGTTTTGGTTTTGGTTCTTTTTCTAAAAGAACTCCCCAGTGGGCTTCGGCCCGTCCCGCCGGCCACCCGTAATTTTCCCAAAATCCGTCTGTCAATGCCTTTGTTGCCCCAACTTGGCCCAAGATGGCCTCCAAGACGGCCAAGATGGCCCAAGATGGCCTCCAAGATGCCTCCCAGACGGCCAAGATGGCCTCCAAGACGGGTAAGATGGCTCCAAGATGCCTCCAAGACGGCCCAAGATGCCCTCCAAGACGGCCAAGATGGCCCCAAGATGCCTCCAAGATGGCCCAAGAGGCCTCCAAGACGTTCTCCAGGAGAGCCCGAAGAGGCCAAAATCATTGGTTTTCCTTAGGTTTTTGAAGGTTTTTTGCGTTTTCTTCTTTTCGGCCTTCCGACGGCCCAAGAGGCCCCCAAGATCGCCCAAGAGGCCTCCAAGAAGGCCCTATGACGGCCCAAGGGCCCCCCAAGACGGCCCCAAGAGCGCCCCAAGACGGCCCAAGAGGCCTCCAAGACGCCCAACATGGCCTCCAAGACGGCCCTGAAGCGCCCCAAGAGGGCCCCAAGACGGCCCAGAGAGGCCCCCAAGACGGCTCCAGACGGCGTCAGACGGACCAGGAACGCCCTAAGACGGCCAAAGAGACCCCCAGGAAGCCCCCAAAGGCCCCCAAGAGGCCCAAGGAGGCCCCCAAGATGCCTCCAAGAGGCCTCGAAGAGGCCCCCAAGAAGCCCCCAACAGACCCCAAGGGTGCCCCAAGAGACTCCTAACAACCCTCATCCTCCTACTCTATTTCTTCCTCTTCCTCTTCCTGTTCATAATCATTCTCTCCCATGTGTTCCCCGAAAGCTTTCCAAACCGACTCGGGGAACTCATGGTCCGATAGCTTGGCCAAGCTCTAGTCCAACTTTCGGCCACATCGGCGTTTCCAAAAAGGCAGGGGGCGGCGGTGATTCGCCGTAGGCGTCTTCGATCCGCCGTCCCCTGGGGACTTGCCACAGGGTCGCACGGCGAGTCAGACTTCTGGGAGGAGGGAGGGAGGGAGGGAGGGAGGGAGGAGGGAGGGAGGGAGGGAGGGAGGGAGGAGGGAGGGAGGAGGGACTGGGGGCTCCTCCTGGGGCTTCGGCCCAGGGCGCCGACCACCCGAGAGGCCGCACGAGCCGCGGACGAGAGCCCAACTCCGTTTGGCCCAGTCGCCTCTCCGAGGCGGCCAAGGGGGCCTCCAAGACGGCTCAAAGACGCCTTGGAGACGGCCGAGATGGCTCCAAGAGCGCTCAAGATGGCCCCGAGATGCACCCAAGAAGGCCCAAGATGCACCCAAGACGGCCCAAGATGGCCCAAGACGGCCAAAGAGTACCCCCCTAAGAGGCCTCGAAGACGACCCAAGAGAGCCTCCACGAGGTTCTCCCGGAAAGCCCGAAGAGGCCACCACGTTTGAGTTTCGTCAGGTGTTTGAAGAATGTCGGTCTTTGCTTCTTTTCAGCCTTCCGACGATGGCCCATGACGGCCTGAGAGGTCCCCCAAATCGCCCCCGCGAGGTAGTGGGGTGCGAGAGGAGCAGCGGGGGAAGGAGTGAGGGGAGGAGTGAGAACGGGGTGAGGGGGAGAGAGGAGGGGAGAGAGGAGCGAGGGGACGGGCTAGGAGGAAATGAGAATGAGGAGGAGGTGAATGAGGGACGGGAGGAGCGAGGAGTGCGGAGGGAGGATGGAAAGGGCAAGCGAATGGAGGAAGGAGGGCGGGGAGGAGGTGAGCGGGTAGGGTGACGAGGGATAGGAAGAGGAGTAGCGACAAGTGCTGCTGGGGGAGGGACCCCCACCCCCTGTCCCCGCTGCGCCCCCGAAGGAGCGCCACAAGCGCACCAAATGCCCTATTTCGGTGACTCCCCCCCTGGGGGGGGGTGTCCTGGGGGGGAGCGCGCCGCGCTCGAACATCCCCCCTAACCGCTCGGATTTCATACCCCCCCACCCCGGTCCCAGCAGCACCCTCCAGGGCCTCCGAAAGAGCTCCCGTGGGGAGTCCCGAGGAGCGCGGGGAGGGGCGCCGCGCTCGAGACGCCCCCCAAAACCCTGGTCCCGGCGGCACCCCCCACCCCAGTCCCGGCAGCACCCCCCACCCACCACCCCAGTCCCGGCAGCACCCCCCACCCCAGTCCCCGGAGGCCTCTCAGAGGCGGCCTCTCGGAGGCCTCCTGGGAGCCTCTCGGAGGCCCCCCGGGAGGTGTTGGGAGCCTCGGAGGGCCTCGGACGCCCTCCGAAGCCCTGGCAGGCCCCGGGAGACCCTCGGAACCCCAGGACCCAGGACCTCCCAAGGACCCCCACGGCCTTCCAGGGAAACGACTAACGAGTGACCAGCAGTTCCCCACCGTCAACATCCGAACCTCGGATCCCCAAATTTACCTCACCTCCTTATCCCATCATCGGGTCACTCTACTTACCTCGCCCTCCTCAAAGCTTCCATATCCCCCACCAGGATGACATGCAAGGACGAGGAGGACGAGGAAAGACGAGAGGGAAGGGCGAGGAAGAGGAAGAGGGGAGACGAAATGAAAGGATGAGTGTGGAGCTTGGCAACGCGCGCTCAAGCCAATGCCATGTATCGCAACGCCATGCAATGCAACCCAATGCAATGAACGCCCTGGGGGATGTTTGGAAACCCATGCAATGCAAGCCAATGCCATGTATCGCAAGCCAATGCAATGCAGCACACATACTTTTTGTTGGCCCTGGGGGATGTTTTGAAACCCAGCGCCGTAACCGGGGAGGGGGGTATGTTATCCTGCACTGAAGCAAGCAACCTTGAAGGGATGCGGCTGCACAGCTACCGGCCGAACCGTGCCGACCGAAGCCAGCCCACTGCGAAGCAACCGAACCGACCGAACCGCGAACGCCCTCGATACCCGATGGGGCGCTCACTCGACCTCGGCGTCATCCCGAGGGCGCTTTCCCGGGGCTCTTCGGGGTGGCCCTCCGGGGCCGCCTGGGGCCCCTCGCGAGGCCGTTCCGCCCTGAGGCACCCCTGGCAACACCCGAGCTGCAAGCGGAGGACCTTGCAGCTGGCACGCGCCGCGGCCGGCAGCGTGAAGTAGATGCTGGGGCAGGACACCAGCGCGGCCCGGGGGCCGTGCTCGAGCACCTCCTCCGCGAGCACCTTCTCTCGCCGAAGTCCCCCCGAGGGCCTCCTCCTCCTCCTCCTCCTCCTCCTCCTCCTCCTCCTCCTCCTCCATCCCACCTGGTCCGCCCGCCTGCTCCTCCTCCTCCTCCTCCCTCCTCTTCCCTCCTCCTCCTTCTCCTCATCCTCCTCCTCCCCTCCTTGTCCTTATATACTGTTATATAACTTCTCTCTGTCGCACCCCGAGAGTTTTTAGGGCGGGCCCGGCGTTTCGCCGGAGACTTCCTTATCACTTATAACCCTGAAGTTCTGAGACTTATAAATTAGCAGCAAATTCACATTTGGAAGGCGGGTGGTTTTCAACATGTGGCTCTCGCCTTAGCGCCGCGCACATTCGTTCTACAGCATGGCAACAATTTCACAGATGGAGGGCTGGCCGTTTTCAACATTTGGCTCTCGCCTTAGCACCACGCGCATACGTTCAACACAGTGGCAAAAGTTTGACGGATTGAGGGCGGTTCCTTTTCAACATGTGACTCTCGCCTTAGCGACGCGCATATTCGTTTTACACATGTGCAAGAATTTCAAGGATTGAGGGCGAGCCCTCTGAAAAATATGGCTGCCCCCCTACGCTCCGTACATACGTTTTCAATATTTTCATAAGCTTCACGGATTAATGGGGGGTCCTTTTTAAAATGTGGCTCTCGCCGTAGCGCCGCGCACATTCGTTCATTTCATGGGTTCCCATGATCAGCGTACCAGAAATGGTGTTTTGGAAGGATGCGGTGTTGTGCGGGTCAACAATTACGCTGATTCGCGGCGTTCAAGTCCCAGTAATGGCGCTCTGGCACGATTCCGGATCGTCAAGACGCAGCACGCAGGTTGATTCGTGGCATTGGAATCCTGAGAACAATGTTTTGGCATGCTTCAGGGCCTTCAAACGGTTGTCTTCCAACGAGGCAGTTCCTGTGGAAATGAAACATTGTAGATAGAGACCTATGAAGAGGCCGCTTGGAGGGAGGGTTCCTTCCAACATCGTTGATGACTCGTGGGTTTACACTGGTCCACCTCCTCCTGCCATTTGTATCTTCCTCCCGCATCCCTCTTACTCTTCCCACATCCTCTTCTCTCCTCCTCCTCCTCGTCCTCCTCCGTCTCCTCTTCCTCCTCCTCCTCCTCCTCCCCACATCATCATCATAATAATCATCATCATCATCATCATCATCATCATCATCATCATCATCATCATCATCATCATCATCATCATCATCATCAGCATAATCAGCATCATCATAATCATCATCAGCATCGTCATCATCATCATCATCATCATCATCATCATCAGCATCAGCATCAGCATCAGCATCATCATTATCATTATCATCATCAGCATCATAAGCATCATCATCAGCATTAGCATCATCATCAGCATCATCAGCATCATCATCATCAGCATCAGCATCAGCGTCATCGTCATTATCGCCAGCATCATCCTCATCATCAGTCTCATCATCGGCATCAGCGTCCGTATCAGGCAGCAGCATCAGCATCATTAGCATCATCATCAGCATCATCATCAGCAACATAATCATCATCAGCAGCACTATCATCATCAGCAGCATCACCAACATCATCGTCAGCATCATCATCATCATCATCAACATCATCCGCATCATCATCAGCAGCAGGAGCATCAGCATCATCATCAGCAGCATCATCATCATCAGCATCATCGTCATCGTTATCGTCATCGACATCATCATTATCCCACACCCCCTCCTCCTCCCCTCGTCCTCCCTCCCTTCCCCTTCCCTATGCCCAATCACCCACTCTCTCCTCTTCCTCCTCCTCCTGCTACTCCTCCTCCTTCTCCTCCTCCTCCTCCTGCTCCTCCTCCTGCTCCTCCTCCTGTGCCTCCTCCTCCTCCTCCTCGTCCTCCTCCCATCCCTCTTCCTTATAACTCAATCATCCTTGTCAAACCCCGAGGCTGGTCGAAAGGGCGGACCCGGCCTTCCTATGATGCTGAAACTTGAAATTTGCAATTCTTCATGCACGGAAGGCGGGTTGTTTTCAAAATGCGGCTCTCGCCTTGGCGCCGCGCACAAACTCTGTTTTAAGGTTCGCACGAGTTCCAAGGATTGAGGGCGGGTGGTTTTCAACATGTGGCTCTCACCTGAGCGCAACGCGCATTCGTCCTTAAAAAGTTTGCAAGAGCTTCACGGCCAGAGGGCGTTTTTTCTGTTCAACGTGTGAGCGTCGCCTGAGCGCGCCGCACACAGCCGTCTTAACAGCTCACAACAGTTCAGGAGTATCAATTATCACGGTTGGCGTACCAGGAAATATTGTAGCGCGGCTTAAGATTGCGAGGGCGCGACATGCATGTCGATTCGTGGTGCTGGCGTCCCAACAGTGGTGTTCTGGCGCGATTTAGGATCGCCGGATCGCGCCAGTGGCGTTGATTCGCGGCTTTGCAGTCCCAAGAATGGTGCGTTGGCTCGGCTGTCGATTCTCAGACGGTTGCCTTCCCGTGGGGCTCTTCCCGCAGTGCATCCTTACAGGAACCACCCATGAAGAGGGAACCTGGGAGGGAGGGTTCGTTGCAACATTGTGGATGCTCTCTCTCGCAGGCCCCCCTCGTCTTCCCTCGGCGGCGACGATAAGGGCGAATAACCCAGGGGCGGGCATTACACGTATTCGCCCGGGGGCCTTATGTACATCGGCGCCCCTGAATACATATTCGCCCCTATCGTCGCCGCTGATTCCCTCTGTCCCCCGACCCTCCGTGCCGCCCCCCGGCGCCCCCCCCTCCCGCCTCCACACCCTCTCCCTCCCCCCTTTTGGTCGAGGTCGCCGAGCCAGGATCCAGGAGGAGGAGGAGGAGGAGGAGGAGGAGGAGGAGGAGGAGGAGGAGGAGAGGAGGACCCCCATGCCCTCACCTGCTCCCAACCAACCGCACACGCGCGCGCCTGTATCGAGGCCTCCGAGAACCAGTACTGGTTGAGGTCGGCATTCTCGGGACTCGCGCCCCAGAAGCCGCCTGCGGCCGCGGCCGCCATGGCCGCGGCGCGGCGGCCGCCATGGGGCTCGCGGGCGCGCGGCCCTGGCCCGAGAGGGCGGCGGGGGCGGGGGGGGGAGGGCGCCCGAGGACGGGGGCAAAGGGACGCGCCACGCGGGGCGGGCGAGCGGGCAGGGGAAGGAAGGAGGCGGAGGAGGAGCGAGGGGGGAGGGATAAGCCAGGCGCGCTCGGACCATAGTTGGCCTCCCTCTCCTCTGTTCCCACCCATCCCTTCCCACTGCGCTGCTGCTTCCCATATCCGCGGACGCGTGTCACAACGGACCTGGACAACGTGCGATGCGCGATCGGCGATCGGAAAAGGGGAGCTGCGTACATGGGAGGAGGGGGAGGGTGAGGACGAGGCGGGAAAGGAGGAAGATGCGGAAGGAGGAGGGAGGACGAGGACGACCAGCAGTAGCGGGAACTGCAGTGCAAGGAGCGGGAGGAGCTGGAGGACCACGGGAAGACGGAGGAGGAAAGAGGAGGCGACAACGATGTGGACGGACTCGGAACAAAAACAAATGTCCGCGCTGGGGCGAGCGCTATTCTGACCGACGGGGCCAAAGCAGCGGCCCTAACATGAGGCCAATGCTGCAGTGGCCGCACCATTCCGACATACCAAATTCGTTCCGACCGAACAACGCCCAGGAAACATTCACTTGTGACTTCCAGCGTGTGAGCATGCAGTACGCGGAGGGGGCGGGGCACTTCCTGGCCGTCTTCGGGGGAGGGAGGAGACCACTTCACACTGAGCAAGTATACAGGGTGGGAAGATGAGGCAATAAAAGAGAGGATGAGGTAGATGGGGATGATAATGCTGAGTAGGAGAAGGAAGAGGAGGAGGAGGAGGAGGAGGAGGAGGAGGAGGATAATGAGGATACGTAGCACCCCGCAATTGCGGATAAGAGTGAGGGGGCGGGCGCGGGCGACGCGGGCGTCGTCGAGCCGGCGGACCTCGTGGCCCCCACCTTCCCGTCGATGGCGCCTCTCCTCCTCCTCCTCCTCCCCTCCTCCTCCTCCTCCTCCCTCCTCCTCGCCCTCCTCCTCCTCCTCCTCCTCCTCCTCCTCTGCTCCTCTCCTCCTCTTCCTCGTCCTCGTCCGTCGTCGTCGTCCCTCCTCCTCCACCTCGTCCTCCTCCCTCATCGTCCTTCCATCATCGTCGTCCCCACCCCTCATCGGCCTCCATCATCGTCCTCCCATTGTCGTCCATCATCATCATCCTCCCCCTCCTCCCCCTCCTCCCCCTCCTCGTCCTCCTCCTCCCCCTCCTCCCCCTCCTCGTCCTCCTGCTCCTCCTCCTCCTCCTCCTCCTCCTCCTCCTCCTCTTTCTCCACATTCTCCTTACATCCTCTCTTCTTTCGCGTCCTCCTCGTCCCCTGTTTACTCCTCCTGCCTCCCCCTCCTTTCCCAAGATAACGGCAACGCAACCCTTTTTTACACTTTATGCTCCCCGACTTCTCTGATCAAGGCAACTCGCCAGGGCAAAGTTGCTGGACGGGCTGGTGTGGGTGCGCGGGGCTTGAAGAGGTCGTTGCGGGCTCAGACGGCATGCAAAAATCCGCCGCCGCGCTTGTCCGGCATTGGTTTGTTCAGTGAACGTGGTTCGGGTCGCGGGCTCTCCACCTCCACCTGGAAGGAATGCAAAAGCAGCCCGCCGCAGGCGCCGACAAAAATTGGTTTGTACACTGAACGTGGAATGGGTCGCGGGTGGGCCGCGGGTTCTCCACCGGGAGCGGATGCAAAAGATGCCCGCCGCAGGCGCCGAAAAATGTGGTTTGTACACTGAACGTGGTTTGGGTCGCGGGTTGGTCGCGGGTTGGTCGCGGGGTGGGTCGCGGGCTCTCCACCTGGAAGGAATGCAAAAAAAGCCCGCCGCAGGCGCCGAAAATGGTGGTTTGTATCTTGAACGTGGTTTGAGTCGAAGGTGGGTCGCGGGTGGGTCGCGGGGTGGGTCGCGGGTGGGTCGCGGGTGGGTCGCGGGTGGGTCGCGGGTGGGTCGCGGGGTGGGCGCGCGGGCGGGTCGCGGGGTGGGTCGCGGGGTGGGTCGCGGGGTGGGTCGCGGGGTGGGTCGCGGGGTGGGTCGCGGGGTGGGTCGCGGGTGGGTCGCGGGTGGGTCGCGGGTGGGTCGCGGGTGGGTCGCGGGTGGGTCGCGGGGTGGGTCGCGGGGTGGGTCGCGGGTGGGTCGCGGGGCGGGTTGCGGGTGCGGGTGGGACGACGACAACAAATAACAACAAACAACAACAAACAACAACAAACAACAACGAGAGTCCGCACCGCGGAATCCCACTTCAGCCGCGCACCCAGGGACAATGAATGACCGTTCGGCCCCCTCACTCTGATTAGGATGGTATTGACGACGAATGCGATGATGATGCTGCTGATGATGATGGTGATGATAATGATGCTGATAATTATGATGTTAATAATGATGATGATAATGATGATAATAAGGAGGATGTTGATGATGCTGATGAGGATGATGATGGTGATGATGAGGATGATGATGATGCTGGTCGGGATGGAGATGATGATGCTGATGACGATGACGCTGCTGATGATGATGCTGCTGTTGACGCTGATGATGACGATTGTGATGGTGCTTATGATGGTGATGATGATGGTGATAATGATGAGGTCGATGATGATGATGATGATGATGATGATGATGATGATGATGATGATGATGATGATGATGATGATGATGATGATGATGATGATGATGATTTTTTTTTTGAAAAACTGATGATGATGCTGATGCTGATGCTGATGCTGCTGCTGCTGCTGATGATGATGATGATGATGATGATGATGATGATGATGAGGATGGTGACGATGAGGATATGACGATGATGGTGAGGAGGAAGAGGGAAAAGGAGGAGGAGGAGGGGGAGGAGGGGGAGGATGAGGAGGACAAGCGGCAGCGTGCGATTCACCCTCCGGAAATCAGGAGATCAGGGGGGGGAGAAGGAAGAGGAGGCCCAGACTGGACTACCGCGTCATCTGCCACATGATGCGAGAGAGCACACACAGCCACCGCCGCGAGGGTCGCCTGCGCGATCCGGCAGCGCATCCAGGTCTGCAGGGGCGACATCATGCACACCGCAATCACGAGGGCCAGACGGACAGGGACCAACAGTGCGTCTACCAAACAGCCCGCGCGGTAACGGGAACCAGCAGCGCCCCTACGCCGACCAAACGCTACAACCAGAACAAGCGGCCCGTCGACTGGGACCAGAGCATCAGAACCACTCCAGCGAAGACCACCGGCAACACAACAAAGAGCAGGCCCCAACTGCCAAAAGACCCGAAAACGGGGGAGGGCCCGGCGCAAACCAAGGGAATACCGCAACCCACGAACCAAAAGAAACACCACCAATCCACGGGCCAGAGACAACCAGCCTTCGCAAGGAGGCGCCAGCCATCCTGCCAACCTTCGTTGCTACTGCGGAGGTCACAGCGACCTTCGGCGCCAAGATAGTTGCCTCTACTGGGAGATGCGGTAAGTACTTCAAGCCTTTGGACCCACGTCGCCAAAAAAAACGTCGCCTGTACCTGCGGCGCAGTCGAATTGCCTGCTGCCGCGCGCCCGCCAGAGCAACCCCGCCAGCCGCCTGAGGCCAGCGAGGGCTGGCAAAACGACTTCAACGGGCGCCTTCCGAAACAACCTGAAGATCAAACGGAACTTCCAAGAGCGCCAGCAGCATACCTACGACCATCACCAACACATCAGTTCGGGAAACAAGCGCGGCAATTGCGAGGACTCCAATCAAAACGACGACTCAAGCAGGAAGAGCGAACTGGAGCGCCATCAGAGCGACCTCAACAAGGCCCAGGCCATCCTGCAGCACAGACCAAAGTGGGCACCTCAAGGGAGGGGGACCCAGGGCACCCCCCAAGGGCGCAGGCCATGGCAGGCCAGGCTGAAGAGGCCTTGGGACACATGAGTACATGGCCACACGCAACCGGATTCCCAATGGTTTCCCATATGTTCCGGGTTTCTACTATCCCCTCAGTTCCCAGATGTTTCCATATTTTGGGGGGAATCGACGGTTCACTGTATCTGTGTGTTTTCTCTTCCCTCCTGACAAGCGACCCGGACAAAAAGGGGAGGACTCGGCACCCGTCATAGCAGCGAGGCCGACGGGCCAGCGGAAGGCACCACGGGCCACGGGCCACAGCGCGACGCTTGCCAGGGGAGGCCACCGCCGCCCACCGACAGGGACCCTGACGTTTTTGTTTTTTTTGCTGCGACGCGCGCGCGCGCGGAGCGAGCGGTCAAGCACGTCGGCGGCGCCATGTCCAGCTCAGGCGCGTGCGCCTGATTAGGGGGTGGGAAGGGGGGGGCCGCCACACACGACCCGCACAGGGGAGTGCAGGGCTGCGCGTGTGGTGAGCAGTTGCCTCCGCGGGCGTCACAAGCAGCGCACCGCATGACGGGGCGGTGCCACCCGAGGCCCAGGCAGCACGGCTCGCCCCCGCAGCGGCAATCGCTAATCTCGCGAAAAGGGTCGCAAGGCTCGGACGCGCCGAAAGGGCGCCCCAGGGGTTCTGCAAGGCCCAGAAGAAGGACTACCGCGCCCGCGCGCGTGAGCAGAGGGCCGACTGCAACTCCAACTGCACGATCGATGACACATTTGTTCAGCCGGCGGCGTGTGGCTATCTGGGGCAACCGACAATCTAAATGTCTCGCAGAGGTAAGAAGAACACGCTGTTACCGATGACGCACACGGCCTCTAGACTTTCCCTGCGTCGGCCTTGGAGCCCTGCAGGCCAAAACAAGTTACGACCGCACGGTTGCCAACCATACTTGCAGGAAGGGCCCGACCACAGAAAACATCCCACAACATACCCAAACCTGAACCCCCAGAACGTCCATTGGTTTTGGGTGTGGGATCGTCACGCCTTCCATCGCACAATCATTTACGCCCCAAAAAACCCAGGGCACCCTGGAGGCAAACAGGGTGCTTCTTGACATTTTGGACGCCCGAAATGGGTACGGAAAAATTGGGTACAATGCCCAACGACAAGTGTTGCCCCAAACCGACAGCGGCCGCTGTTGGGCAAGCGGCCTTCTGTCTCGAATGGATACAAGCCGCGGCGGCTTGGACAGCGAATCGTGTTCAAAATGAACAGGAACTGTTGTTGGGCATTGTACCCATTGTTTTGATGCACGTTTCAGGCGCCCGAGGACATGGGCCTCCACTGGACAACGAACCCAAACGTCTCACCAGCAGCCCCAAGAAACGCACCCTCCGATGGGCTGGCCGCCCCGTGGCACTGGGGCGCGCCGCCAGGGACAAGGACGTTGGGCGGTGGTGGGTTCGTGCTTCAGCGCAGTCACATTTGACGGACACGACAGACAGACAGACAGACAGACAGACAGACAGACAGACAGACAGACAGACAGGCAGGCAGGCAGGCAGACAGACAGACACACAGACAGAGAGAGAGAGAGACAGACAGACAGACAGACAGACAGAGACACAGACAGACAGACAGACAGACAGACAGACAGACAGACAGACAGACAGTCAATCAGTCAAACAGACAGACAGACAGTCAGACAGACAGAGAGACACAGACAGAGAGAGAGAGAGAGACAAACAGACAGACATACACCCAATATCGGGCAGCGCCCGGCCCAGCGCGGGGCCAGGGTGGATGGCACCGCACTTCCTCAGATGGTCTCGTACACGAAGCCGTCCTCCAGGCTCGTCAGCATCTCAACTGAGCGACGATCAATAAGGAGTCTTACGCGAGACGACACAGCGACCTCACGCCGCGGCATACGCGGGCCGCCAGCGCGGCACGCTACATTGGAGACGACGGCGCTCGCGCGCGACCTTACCCGGACAGCTTACGCGCCAATGTCGGCGCAGCCGACCCCGTTTCTCTTGCGTCGCTCACATGCCGATGGCTCCAGGCTCTCGCCGAGCACCAGGGTCCACCATGGCACTCCTTCTCCGCCAGCCCTTCGGCCAAAGGGGGGGGAAGAGCAGTGGCACTGGTAGCCTCTACCAAGATGACGGCCAACGCAGGCATGCCCGCTGCCGCCGTCGCTCACGGCCAGCACACACTGCCGCGGCCACGCAGCACCGTGCGCTGCCATCTCGAAGCAGCTGCCCGTTGGCCTCGCACCCAAACCTTCGCGTTCCAATGCAGGGTCCCTAGAAGTCTCGACCCATTTCCCGGGACCGGTTTTTTATCCTGAGTCGGTTGTTGACGGTCCCGAGGCCCAGCGAGGTCCCCTAGGGGCCGAACTTTTCAGAAAACCTCGGTCTTGATTCCCTATCTAGGCTCTGCCTAGAAGGGTTCTTACTCGGTGAGCTTAAAGGGCCGGGCAGTGTTCCACGCCCAGGGCGGTTCCCCCGGCATCCGCCCCGCGGTTCCCCCAGTTGCGCCCCCTGGGTTCTCCCAGCTTAGCTTAGCTCAGCATAGTTTAGCTTAGCTTAGCTTATCTCATCTTAGCTTAGCTTAGCTTAGCTGTGTGTTGCTTAGCTTAGCTTTGCTTATATCATCTTAGCTTAGCGTGGCTTAGCTTAGTTTGGCTTAGCTTAGCTAAGCTTAGCTTAGCTTAAAGTGTCTTAACTTAGCTTAGCTTAGCTTATCATCTTAGCTTAGCTTAGCTTAGCTTAGCGTTAGCTTAGCTTTAGCTTAGCTTTAGTTTAGATGTAGCTTAGCTTTAGCTTAGGTTTAGCTTAGTTTTACCTTAGCTGTGTATTAGCTTTAGCTTAGCTTCAGCTTAGCTTCAGCTTAGCTTTAGCTTAGCTTTAGCTTTAGCTTAGCTTTAGCTTAGTTTTAGCTTAGCTTTAGCTTAGCTTTACTGGTACTACTAATGCTGCTTTCCTAGGGGCTCCAACTCCTAGGTAGGGTCGCACTCGGATAATTTTTCAATACGTTGGATCTCTTGGCACCGCGTCATCCGCGTCACCGCCGCTGCCCACGAACGCCTCTGCCGCCTCTGCCGCTGCTCCGCCACTGCGGACCGCGGCCGCGGAAGGCGACCCCGCCCTGACCGCGCGCTGCCGGCCTGGAGCCAGAGCGGCGTGAGCCACAATTGCTACGTACGGAGGAAGGGAAATTGAATGAAGAGGGCGAGGAGCAGCAAGGAGGAGGGAGAGGGTGAGGGGGAGGAGGACGGGGAGGGAGGGAGGAAAGGAGGAGGAGGAGGAGGAGGAGGAGGAGGAGGAAGGGGAGGACGAGGGGGAGGAGGGGAGCAGAGGAGGGGGGGGGGGCGGCGGGGAGCAGGGCGCCGAGAGGGAGGCGAAGGAGGGGCGCGCGCTGCGGGGAGTGGACGCCATCGCGACGCGGTACAGTCGGACCCGGGCCAGAAAAAACATCCTTCAAGAACATGAGACCCTCCGTCGGCCAAAACAGAAAGAACATCCGAGGGTAACCCCCCACAAGATGCACAAGAACATCCAACGGCCACGAACAACACCAGGGCACCCTCCCCGAAACGGCCTCGATACTATACCTCGGTCCTGCTGTATCCAGAAGCAGTCACCGCCCCTGGCCTTGAATGAGGGCGGCGATGAGAGAGAGAAAGGCGCGGGGCGGCCGTCTTCCCGCAGCCGCAGTTCCGCGTGCTTCCAGGATACACTGGGGCGCGGGGGCAGCGGCGGCAGCTGCCCGCCCCCTCCCCCTCCCGGTCCCGCTCTTCTCCCTCTCTTTCTCCTCCCTCTCTATCCTCCCTCTCCTGCTCCCTCTCCTCCTCCTCCTCCTCCTCCTCCCCCTCCTCCCCCTCCTCCTCCTCCTCCTCCTCCTCCTGCTCCTCCTCCTCCCTCTCTCACTCAACCTCCCTCCGCCTGGCTGTCGGTGTGACATACCATCCACAAAGTTCTATACACTCGTCTTCCCTTCTCTCTACCACTCCTCCCTCCCCTCCTACCCCCGTCCCTCCCGCGTCCTCACTATCCGCACCCCTCCTCCTTTTCCCCCCCTCCCCTCCTCTTTCACCTCCGTCCCCTCCTCCGTACCCTCCACATCCTCCTCATCGTCCTCCTCGCCCGCCCTGTTTTCCTACACTTCACCTCTTGTTGCCTCTCCCTGAACTCCGCCTCATCACGGTGTCCTCCGCATCCTCCTCCTCCTCCTCCTCCTCCTCCTCCTGCCCTCGTTTCATCCTCCCCTTCACCCACTCCCTGTCAGCTTCCTCCTCCCCCTCCTCCTCCTCCTCCTCATCCACCCACCCGCCGGTTCGAACTCCCACTCCTCACCCTCCCGTTCCTCCCCCCTGGCTCCCCCCCATCACCCTCATCCACCCGCACTTCCCAACCCCCTCCTCCTCACATCCATCCGCCTGCCTCCCTCCTGACCCTCAACGTCGTCCATCCTAGACGTTGCAAAGACGTCGACGACGACCATCCAAATCTGTCCCCAGACCCCTACCGGGCACCACCCTGGTGTGCTTGTCGAGCTGCGTGCAGCCGTGGCGACGAGTGGCCTCCGAGGACCCCCCCCCGAAAGTCGCCAGCCGCTGAAGCGAGGACGACAACGGCGACGGCAACCACCGAGAACCGCCAGGAGCCTCCCAACCTCTCCGAGAACTTCCGGGACCTCCCGAGAAAACCTCCCAAACTGCTGATGACTCCGAGGCGACGACGACGAAAACCACCACCACCACCACGACGTCGGCGGCCAGGGCGGGACCGACGGCAGTGCTCCCGCGGCACCCCCGGGGCTCCTGGGGATGCCGACCAGGGCGTCGCTCTTCGGGTTCCGCCCGATGCAGAGGGCCTGCACAGCGGCTCTGCGGGGGGGGGGGAACTCGCCCTGCTGCTCCTCCTGCCTGGGGATGAAGCCCAAGCGGGCTTCATCCCCAGGCAGGAAGACTTCGAGCAGGAGATCGGCTCCAGAATGGATGCACCCCAGACTTGAAAGGTTCGTCGAATCTACGAGAAGAAACGTTCGTCGAATCTACACGAAGAAACGCTCGTAACATCTACAAGAAATGCTCGTCTAATCTACAAGACGTGATCGGCTCCAGAACTGGCTTCCCCCCCGCGGTGTCTTTCTCGCACTCGTGCCTCGTCCTCGACCTCAACCACGTTCTCGTTCCTCCTCCTCCTCCCCTCCATCCTCCTCGAACCCCTTCTCCTTTCCCCCACACGTCCTCCTCGGACTCCTCAACGCCCCCCTCTAACTTCGTCCTCCTTCCCTCCTTCTCTCCTCTTCCTTTTCCTCATCCATCCTCAAACCATCCGTCCCCCATCCTTCTCCTCATCCTCATCCCCCCCTTCCTCCTCAGCCTCTCCATCATCCTCATATCCCTGAAGCTCCCGCCCCATCGAGTGCAAACCACCCGAAGTCAGCAGTGCATTAACATCAGTGGCGACAGGCCACATCAGGGAACCAACGAGACGGGTACAAGGAGGAAAGAACACCCTTTGATGAGGTGAGGCATGATCGCTGTCGCACCGTACAGTCGGGGCGTTGACCTAAGGAACCCCAAATAAGGAACGAGGCCCCTTTTTCCCATAAGTTCAACCTCGATCTCCCGTGGACAACCTCAGGAAAATCCGAGGCAAACTTTGAAACATTCAAGGGACACCGAGCCCCTCCCCAACGAAAAGGGTTCCTTCTTCAAGCGCCCCGACTGTATCGCCGTGCCTGGCCGTAGGGCCTAAGGAGTGGTGCCCCTTCGCAGCCTTCGCACACTGGGCCTTCGGACGGCAACAGATGCGCCGCCAGAATATGTCCAGATCCACTGCCGCGGGGTCATACCCCAAGGAATCGAGGAGCGATGGATATGGATATCTGGCCACCCATGCGGGCGGGCAGATATCCATATCCACCACTCCTCGAGATCCCAGGGCACGATTCCGAAGCGGTGGATATGGATATGTTCTGGCGGTGGAAACAGAGGCGAACCACGCTGCCGGACTCGCAGCGGCGGCGTGTCATTGGTGTTCCTTCGCCCCTCCCGAGCCGTGCCGAACTCACCGAGCGGGCAACGCAGGGGGCCGAGGCTCTGCAGGGGGCGGTCCTCCTCCTCCTGCTCCTTCTCCTCCTCCTCTCGCGTCCTCCTCCTCCTCCTCCTCCTCCTCCTCCTCCTCCTCCTCCTCCTCCTCACCACCGAGTCGATCTTGTTTCCCCCGCGGGCGAGAAAGTCTCGACACCGCAGAAGAACTGGCACCCACTGCAGCGTCCGCGCGTCCTCTGCTTCTGGGGAGCCTGCGAACAAAAGAGGTGAGCCTGCGTCTTGCACGGAATGATGCAGCTGACCGCCGCCCTGGAGGCACCCAACTGCAGGTGAGACACAGACAGATATTCTTCGTTCGCTATGTCGCCCGCACAGTGCTACAACACGCCGCCCTGAGGGCATCAACAAGAGGCGAAGCACCCGCGCAGCTTGCTGTGCGAACCTGTCGCTGCAGGAGGCTGGCCTGAGTGAGCGCATCATTAGAGAAACAAAAAACTGCATAATCATAAACTTTCGGAGCTCAGCGCGGATTTCTCGGATCTGCGCTGGACTCCCCCTGTCGCACAGAGCGCGCCAGGGGCGGCGCCGGGGGCGGCGCCAGGGGATTCCAGCGCAGATTCAAGAAATCCGCGCGGAGGGTCGAAACTTTGTGTTTATGCAGTTGTTTGGCCATCGGATCACGATGTTTCCACGGGCAGGATTTGACTGAGATGCATCTGCGTTAGCAGTCCTCGCGGGAGGCAGGTTGACCCGATCGCTCCAGTCCGCGGTCTCCGGGGTCTGGACTTTGGACGCCCGAAATGGGTACGGAAAAAATTGGGTGGAATGCCCAACAACAAATGTTGTCACAAACCAACACCGGCCGCTGTTGGGCAGGCGGCCTCCTGTCTCAAATAGACACAGGCCGCGGCGGCGCGGACAGCGAGTCCTGTTTCAAAAAGGACAGGAACTGCTGTTGGTCATCGTACCCCTTCGTTCCGTACCCATGTCGGTCGTCCCGATGGACTCCTCGGAAGGGTCCCCCAAGCTCAACAGATTTCCCGCGGGTCCTTGAAAAGTCCCCCGTGCTGTGCGCTGCTCGCTGTGTCGTGCAGTGCCTCCGCCGTGCTGCGGTGTGGCATGCAGCGGTGTGCCCTGCGAGCGGGCGTGCTCGTGTCGATCAATAGTAGTGCGATGGTATGATATAGAATCCGCCGACCCCCGCTTGCAGGGGGTGTGCTAGCGTGTTAGACAATTGGCCGCCTCCCTCCCCCCGACGGTGTGATGACGGACCGTGCGGTGACGGACCGTGCAGTGAGGTTTCGGGGGATTCGAGGTCACCGCACGGTCCGTCACCGCACCGTTTTCTCCTCCCCTGGGACAAAAAATCTTATTCAATGGGGGAGGGGCCCGTGGGGGGGAAGGGGGTCGACGAGCTCCCCGGCGCTTCTTCTGGAGCCAGAACGCCCCAGGGCGGGCAATCCAAGAGAGCGTCGAGACGGCCCAGGGTCGCCTCTCGACGACGGTCCAGTAGAACATCCAGGCAGTTCCCGAGGCGATTTGGACAGCCCAAGAAAGCTCCCAGAGAACAGCCTTGAAGGACCTTGAAGGCCCCAAGAGGCCAAAGTCGGCCCATTCCCTCAGGAAAACGTGCATTTGTTGCAAAGTCGTTTCTTTCACCTTCCCAACGGTCACAACGACTCAAGGGCCCCACAGAATCGTCCGGCCCCGAAGGCCCCCACGACCACCCCAGGACAGCCCAAGAGGGTTCCGAGACAGCCACCGAGGGCCCCATGAGCGGCCCACGAGGACCCCAACAGGGTCCCCAGATCAGGTCGAGCCTGTCCCCCTACAGGGGGATTTTGGACGATGCCCAAAAATAATCAAAAAATAGTCCCCAGACTATTTCTGACTATTTTTGAATATTCCCCCTGCACGAGGGACAGGCCCGACTTAAACCCAAGAGGGGGAATACGACTTCACATTTGCAGGCTGTCCCCAAGAGCTCCCCCGAGGCCTCCGAGGCGCCCCCGCGAGGCCCCACGACGCCTCCGACAGGCCTCCCAGAAGCCCCTCCGAAGCCCCCCCCGAAGCCCCAAGATGCCCTCAAGAAGAAGCCTTCCGGATGCCCCCAGTAGCTCTCCACCAGAGCCCTCGAGGCCCAAGTGCATGACTCGTTGTCTCTTCTGGGGTCGGCGGCATGGCACAAGCCACCACTTGAGTATCGGCAACACATACCGACACATCTAGACAACGATGATGTTTGACGGGTGGCTGGGTAGCCTACAGCGTGCAACCATCGATTTCGGCATGGGACGCTGTTGTAATGCGTGCTGGCAACATGCATAACCGTGGGATGGGTCGGTGGTACGTAACTCGAGGTTGCAAAAGGATGCAATGAGCACTTGTGCTGGCATGGTGTGCTCATTGTGTTAGGGCGTGCGACTATAGGTTTCCTGCGCTGAGCGGAATGTGACGCAATCGTGGGCCTTTGGTGCACCACTGTGAACGGTGCGGTATGCGATGGCACTGCACTGACGAGGTATAATAACGCTGTGTGAGGTCGTGGCCAGACAAGAAAATGGATACCCCAATTCAGAGTGCGATGCCTCGTAGAACGCTCGAACTGCTAACGCAGCCCATTCCACGGCAATCTGGCAAAAACACAAGAACTGGGAACACCGCCTCTAAGCCTGTTGCCATGGCCTGGAGCAGGAGAGAGCTGCCAGAAGGCAGGGGAAGAGGAGGGGAACTGAGGGGAGAGGGATAAGGATATGATGGGCCCGTTTTCCACCATCACCACCACAAGTTGGAGGGGGGAAGGAGGAGGAGGAGGACGAGGAGGAGGAGGTGGAGGAGGAGGAGGAGGAGGACGACCACCTCCACCTCCAACTTATGGTGGTGGTGGAAAACAGGCCAGTCAGGATAGGGCATGAAAAAGTGCGGCAGCTGCTTGCAAGTCAAGCCTCTTGTGGTCCAGACTGCAGCGTGGCCACACTGTGCCCTTGCATGACTCTGCCTCAGAGCTCCATTCGAATGTGGCGTCCCATCTTCCATGGTAGCTGCCGAAATGCGCAGAAGTGTATGCGAAGGATGCCTGCTGTGAACGCACGCCGCGGGAGGGAAGCCAGAGTGAGGCAAGCAAGAGTGAGATGGACCCAGTGCGCCCGAGCAACACGGTGACTGCGACTCAAGCTGGCATGAAGAAAACGGGTCCCGAGGAAAACCAAGTCGTGGACCCCCCCGGGCATTCCCAGGACATCCTGGCGTCGTTCCTGGAGGGTCCTGGGGCATCGGATGGCCCAGGGGGGCCGAGACAAAAACCACTCGGGACCCCCCCATTATTTCAGGACCCCTGTCCTCCATGGCGATCTGGCGCACACGTCGTCCACAGCGACCGGCAGACAGGGACGGGCTCCGCCGCACTGCGTCCCAGGAGGGGGCGAGCGCCACCCTGGAGGGCACGCGGCGGAGGGGGGAGGCCTGTCGGGGCATGGCCGGCAGGGCGGTCGCAGGGCGAATCAGCGAACCACCCCCGGTGGAGAAGAGGGGGGGAGGGGGGCGGGGGGGCGAGGGCGACAGCCAGGCAGTGAGGAGAGGTGCCTTTTCAAAAGCATGCAGTACTAGAGGCCTCCCCAACGGGTCCGCGTAGACAGGGTCGGAGGAGCGCGCCGCATCCCAAATGCATCGCCGATGCACCGGCGACATTGGCGATACATCGGCGAAGCCGACGTGGGAAAAGCGGGCTCCCCATCAAGCCGATTCGCTGATGAATCGGCGATGCAGCGTAATCCCTTTACCCCGTAGCTTGGACACCACTTGGGAAGCCTTACCAGATGCCCCTGAATATAATCCCTGGGGGATAATAACATTCAAATTCCCAGAAAGGCGCTATATTGCTGTCCTGGAATATGGCATGCACGGGTGTACGGTGTACGGATGCATGGTGTCTGGAGTGTAGTAGTGGTCGTAGATGTGGAAGTAGCAGTAGTGCTAGTAGTATTAGCAGTAGTAGTAGTAGTAGTAGTAGTAGTAGTAGTAGTAGTAGTAGTAGTAGTAGTAGTAGTAGTAGTAGTAGTAGTAGTAGTAGTAGTAGTAGTAGTAGTAGTAGTAGTAGTAGTAGTAGTAGTAGTAGTAGTAGTAGTAGTAATAGAAGTAGTAGTAGTAGTACTAGTAGTAGTAGTAGTAGTAGTAGTACTAGTAGTAGTAGTAGTAGTAGTAGTAGTAGTAGTAGTAGTAGTAGTAGTAGTAGTAGTAGTAATAGTAGTACTAGTCGTAGTAATAGTTGTTGTCCGTAGTAAAAGTAGTAGTAATGATCAAGAAGTAGGGGTAGTAGTTGTAGTAGTAGTAGGAGTAGTTGAGTAGTATTAGAAGTACTAGTAGTAGCAGTAGTAGTAGTAGTAGTAGTAGTAGCAGTAGTAGTAGTAGCGGTGGTAGTAATTGTAGTAGTAGTAGTAGTAGTAGTAGTAGTAGTAGTAGTAGTAGTAGTAGTGATAGTAGTAGTAGTAGTAATAGTAGTAGTAGTAGTTAAATAGTAGTAGTAGCAGTAGTCATAATATCAGTAGTGGTAGTAGTAGTAGTAGTAGTAGCAACAGTCGTAGTAGTAGAAGTAGTGTTTGAAGTCGTAGTCGCAGTAGTAGTAGTAATAGTAGTAGTAGTAGTAGTAGTAGTAGTAGTAGTAGTAATCGTAGTAGTAGTAGCAGTAGTAATAGTAGTAGTAGTAGTAGTAGTAGTAGTAGTAGTAGTAGTAGTAGTAGCGGTAGTAGTAGTAGTAGTAGTAGGAGGAGGAGGTTGTAGTGGTGGTGGTAATTGGAAAGAAATCATTATCGTAGTGGAGTAGTGGTGGTAGTCGTAGTGCTAGACTTAGCTGTAGTAGCCGAAGCAATAATAATCGTAACAGTCGCTGTACAAGCAAGAAAATTGGCGGATCTACCAATCACATTAAACATAATAGCAGCAATGATAGCAATCGGCGTTGTCGTCGCCGCTGTAGTCGTTGTAATAGTAGTAGTAGTCGTAGTAGTAGTAGTAGTAGTAGTAGTAGTAGGAGTCGTAGTAAAAGACGATGTCGTCGTCGAAGTAGTACTCGTAATGGTTGTTGTAATCGTAGTAGTAAGTAGTAGTAGTAGTAGTAGTAGTAGTAGTAGTAGTAGTAGTAGTAGTAGTAGTAGTAGTAGTATTAGTGGTAGTAGTAGTAGTAGTAGTAGTAGTAGTAGTACTAGTAGTAGTAGAAGTAGAAGAAGAAGTAGTAGTAGTAGTAGTAGTAGTCGTAGCATTAGTCGTAGTAGTAGTGGTAGTGGTAGTAGCAGTAGTCGTAGTAGTAGTAGTAATAGTAGTAGCAATCGTAGCAGTAGTGGTGGTAGTAGTAGTAGTAGTAGTAGTAGTAGTGGTGGTGCTAGCGGTACCAGAACTAGTCGTAGTAGTGGAGATAGTGGTAGTGATAATAGTAGTAGCAGTAGCAGCAGCAGTAGTAGTAGTAGTAGTAGTAGTAGTAGTAGTAGTAGTGGTAGCAGTAGTAGTAGTAGTAGTAGTAGAAGTGGTAGTAGTAAAAGTAGTACCGGCAGTGGCAGTAGTAGTAGCAGTAGTAGTAGTAGTAGTAGTCCTAGAAGTCGTAGTAGTAGTCGTCGCAGTAGTAGTAGCAATAGTAATGGTAGTAGTGTGGATAATAGTCGTGGCAGCGAGAATAGCAATAGTGGTAGTAGTCGTCGTAATGGTATTCGTAGTTGAATTAATGGCAGCAGTAATCGTAGTAATAATATGAGTAGCAGTCGTCGTCGCCAACGTAGTAAAACCATCCAGGGATGATGAAGAGGGGAAGGAGAAGGGATTTCGAAAACAACGCAGTTTCGAATCTCTCGGCCCAATTTGTGGTACAAGCAACGGTTCACACATGATCCAGGTTTTCATATCCACATATTTCGGGCCCCACAAGAGTAATGTAATCCAACGGTAGTCGTAGTAGTGATCGCAAGAGTAGCAGTAGTAGTGGTGGTAGTAGTAGTAGTTCTAGTAGCCGTGGGGGTAGTAGCCCTTATTGAAATGAAGATAGCAACAAGAGTAGGAAACGTAGTTGTGCTACGAATAGCGCAACGAGTTGGATGAGCAGTAGAAGCAATGTGTCCTAAGAATAATAACAATGGTAGCCGCCGTCGTCGTACAAGTCGTGGAAACAGTTGTAGTAGTAGTAGTAGTAGTAGTAGTAGTAGTAGTAGTAGTAGTAGTAGTAGTAGTAGTAGTAGTAGTAGTCGTGGTAGTAGTAGTAGTAGTAGTAGTTATAGTAGTAGCAGTAGTCGTAGAAGTAGTAGTAGTAGTCGTAGTAGTAGCAGAACATATAGCAGTAGTCGCTCGCCGAAGCCGTCGCAAACGTACTAGTAGCAATAGGAGCAGCTGTAATCGTAATAGTAGCATCAACAATCGCACAGTCGTAGTCGTGGTAGTAGTAGTAAGAGTAGTAAGACTTGAGGTAACATTAGAATTCGTAACAACAGTAATCCTGATAATCGGAGCAGTGGCAGTGAGACGATTGCCAATACGAGTTTGAGCAGCATTAGAAGTCGTAGTAAGCAGGGGTCGTATGAATCATAGTAATTCCCGTCGTCTTCGAAAAACGAGCAGAAGTGGTTGTAGTAGCCGTAATAGTACTAGTAGTGGTAGTAGTTCTAAACGTAGCACCCGTGGTACTGATAGTCGTAGTGAATGCCGCCGTCGTCGTCGCCGAAGTCGTAATACGACTAATCGTCTTGATCGTCGTAGTAGAAGTGGTGGTAGTAGTAGTAGTAGTAGTAGTAGTAGTAGTAGTAGTAGTAGTAGTAGTAGTAGTGGTAGTAGTGGTACTAGTAGCGGTTGTAGTAGCAGTAGTACTGGCAGGATGAGTAACAGGAACAGTGATCGTAGTAGTAGTAGCAGTAGTAGTAGTAGTAGTAGTAGTAGTAGTAGTAGTAGCAATCATAAGGTAGTAGTAGTCGTAGTAGTAGTAGTAGCAGTAGTAGTAGTAAAAGTAGTAGGTAGTACTAGCCGTAGTAGTAGCAGTCGTAATGGCAGTAGTAGTCGTAGCTGTAGCCGCAGTCGTAGTAGCAGTAGTTGTAATAATAGTAGCAGTAGTAGTAGCAATCGTAGTAGTAGTAGTAGTAGTAGTAGTCGTCGTAGTAGTAGTAGTAGTCGTAGTAGTAGTAGTAGTAGTAGTAGTAGTAGTAGTAGTCGTAGTAGTAGTAGTAGTAGTAGTAGTAGTAGTGGTAGTGATAGTAGTAGTAGTAGTAGTAGTAGTCGCAGACGAACTCGTAGCAGCAGTACTGGCACAAGTAGTGGGAGTAATGCCAAGTACTGGAAGTATATCCCATCGCAGCTGTACTAAAGGAGTAGCAGTCGTGGTCGTAGTGGTAGTAGTAGTAGTAGTAGTAGTAGAAGTAGTAGTAGTAGTAGTAGTAGTAGTAGTAGTAGTGGTAGAAGTGGTAGAAATAGCGCCAGCAGTAGCAACAAGCATTGTAAGTATATCCCATAGTAGCCTTAGTAACAGTAGTAGCAGCCGTGGTCGCCGTGGAAGTAGTAGTAGTAGTAGTAGTAGTAGTAGGCGCAGTAGTAGTAGTAGTAGTAGTAGTAGTACTACTACTACTACTAGTAGTAGTAGTAGTAGTAGTAGTAGTAGTAGTAGTAGTCGTAGTAGTAGTCGTAGTAGTAGTAGTAGTAGTATACATAGCCGTGGTAGTACTAGTCGAAGTAGTAGTGATAGAGGGAATGGTAGTAGTAGTAGTAGTACTACTACTACTACTACTAGTAATCGTAGTCTTCGTAAAAAAATGAATACAAGTAGCAGCACCAGCAGCTGTATTCGTGGTAGTAGTACTAGCAGTAATGGTAGTAGTAGTAATAGTAGTAGCCGTCGCAGTGGTAGTCGGGGAATCAGAAGTAGTAGTAGTAGTAGTAGTAGTAGTAGTAGTAGTAGTGGTAGTAGTAGTAGTAGTCGAAGTCGTAGTAGTAGTAGTAGTAGTAGAAGTAGTAGTGGTAATAGTAGCAACAACCCTAGCAGTAGTAGTAGTAGTAGTAATAGTAGTAGATGTAGTAGTAACCGTCGTAGTCGTAGGAGGCGTAGTGGTACTGGTAGTAGTAGTCGTAGTAGTAGTAGTAGTAGTAGTAGTAGTAGTAGTAGTCGTAGTAGTAGTAGTAATAGTAGTATTAGTAGCAGTAGTAGTAGTAGTAGTAGTAGTAATAGTAGAAGTAGAAGTGGAAGTAGAAGTAGAAGTAGAAGTAGAAGTAGTAGTAGTAGTAGTAGTAGTAGTAGTAGTAGTAGTAGTCGTAGTCGTAGTCGTGGTCGTAGTAGGGGTAGGAGTATCAGTAGTAGTTGTAGTAGAGTAGTTGCACTCGCGCTCTGACATCAGGATATCACGCGCTACGTAACAGGACAAGAGAGCAACCTCGATTTTCCGCATCATCCCTCCCGACCAACTGCGTCTTGGCCCACGATAGCCAACTCTCAAATTGTAGGGGGGGGCATGATTCATTATCTGCGGCACTCACTTAGAGACGGCAGTAGTGCTGAAGAAGCGAGGCAGAGGAATAGGAAGGCAGGACGGCAGCAGAACTGGCGATGTCGACGGTGGCCGTGCGCTCGCAAGGTCCACCGGCGCCTCACGAAGCGAACAGGTATGCCTCCTCCCCGTTCGCGACCTCCACGCGAACGCCAGGCAGGAGGAGCTGGAACTGGCGCATCGCCCAAATGCACGAGACGCACGGGGAGGTCGACACGAACAGGCGCACGTGGCCACTGCACGCCGCGGCCGGCGCGCCGCCGCCTGCTTGCCACAGCTGCTCCACGATGGCGGCGAGCGACTGGAACTCGCTGCAGAGGCTGCGGTCCACCAGCCCGCTGATGGGCGACGACAGCGGCCGCAGCACCTCTGCGCGGCTCGCGCTGCTGCACTCTCGGCGGCCGTTCTCCCTCGTGACCTCTCCGCTCACCGGCGTGCGGGCCCCACCGCGCGCGACGTCTATGGCGAACTCCGCGTAGCTGAAGACGCGGCGGTGCACCAGCGCGGCGCCCGTCAGCGCGCTGACGGCGACGTCGTGGCCGTCGCTGCCGGCGGCGGCCAGGGACCGCAGGATCTGCTTCGCGGCGCGGTCGCGGAAGTCCTGCGGCGCCGCCCCGAGGCCCATCCTCTCGAAGGCGGTGCGGCTCGCCTGGGCCCCGAAGTTGTCCACCCGGAGGTCGCGCACGAAGCTCGCGAACTCCTCCACGGCCGACGGCGTCAGTCTCTGTGGCAGTGCCTCGACGAACCTTGCCACGAGTGGTTGCAGAACCCTGTCCACTTCCTCTCGGCAAGCCAGCTTGGCATCCGCGATGATGCCGAGAGACTGGGGCTCGATCTCGTCCAGCTTCCTCAGCACCTCGTCCGAGATCGCAGCCAGCAGCCTCGGGTTCCCCCTGCCGAGCGAGGAGTACGCCCACGCGGTGGTCGCGAGCCCCTGCGGAGCGAACTCGGGGAGTTTGGACATGACCTCGTCGGATTGCGAGTCCAGAATATGCGCGTTCTTGAAGCATTGTGTCGCGAACGCCCATGCGGTGTTCGCCAAATCCTGCGAGTTGAAATCCTTCAGAAGTAGTATTGATGCGGAGGAAATCGCGTCCATCAGAGGCTGGTTCTGGAAGCTGAGAGTTGCGAATGACCAAGCAGTGCCAGACAGGTCGTGCGGGTTCAACGTGGGCAGGCTGTTCATCACAGCGGCGGCTAGACCTTCCATCATGGGCGTGTGGCGGAAGCCGAGCTTCGCCAGAGCCCACGCTGTATTCGAAAGCTCCTGCGGCTTGTAATCTGGGAGTAGTGCCCTCGACTGCGCGGCGATAGCGTGCAACAGCTGGTAATCTTGGATGCTTAGCTTGGCGAACGCCCACACTGTGTTGCTCAAATTCTGCGGCAAGAACTGGCGGATCTTCTCTCGAGTTTCGGCAGCGATCGCAGCCAGTAGCAGACCGTCCGTGACGCCGAGAGTCGCCAACGCCCACGCGAGGTTGGCAATGGCCTGCGGGTCGAACTCTGATATACGCCCTACTGCCTCCACCGAGATCCTCTCGAATAGCGTGGCGTCGCCGACGGCCAGCGTCGCGAAAGCCCACGCAGTGTTGGCAATCTCCTGCGCGATGAACTGCGGGAGCAGGCCAAGCGCGGACGATGCCAGCCTGTCCAGCAGCTGCGAATGCACGACGCTGAGCTTCGCCAGCGCCCACGCTGTGTTGCTGATGTCCTGCGGGATGTACTCTGGAACGCGCCGCATGGCCTGCTCCACAATCGCAGCTGTGAGCGGCGCGTCTTCGATGGCCAGGGTAGCGAAAGCCCAAATGGTGTTCGACAGGGCCTGCGGCTCGTATTGGGGCACCCTTGCCAAAGCCTCGGCGGATATGGCCGCAAAGAGCGGCTGGTGCAGGTAGCCTAGGGAGGCATAGGCCCACGCGGTGTTGGCCAAATGCTGCACCATGAAGTCCCGGATCTTCCGCATGGCTGCGGCCGCGATGGCGTCCATCAGCGGGACGTCGAGTATCTGCAGCTGGGCCTGAGCCCAGGCCATGTTGGAGAGCTCCTGTGGTGTCGCTGCAGCGATCTTCTCGATGGCCTCCGCAGAGATCGCCAACAACAACGGCGCGTGCGCCTTCCGCAAGCGCGCCAACGCCCACGCCGTGTTCGCCAAGTCGCGGATGCGGTACTGCGCCATCCGCCTGTGAGTCTGGTCCGCGAGCGCCTCAACAAACGCGCCGTGATGAAAAGTGAGCTTGGCGACGGCCCAGACGGAGTTCACGAGCTCCTGCACCGGAAACTCAGCGATCTTCGCGATGGACGCGGCAGCGAGGGCCTCGAGGAGGGGCTCGTCGAGGCAGCCCAGGCCTGCGAGCGCCCACAGGGTGTTGGCCAGGTTCTGCGAGTTGAACGCGCCCATGGTGGGCAGCGCCTGAGCGGAGAGCGCCCGCATCAGCTGTGCGTCGCGGACCAGCAGGGTGGCCTGCGTCCACGCCATGTTGGCCAGAGACTGCGGGAAGAAGTTCCCGATTCGGCTGATGGCGGCGGCGGAGATGGCTTCTTGCAGAGGCTCGTTCACCTCTGGGGGGAAGCCAGCTAAAACACACACGCCGATCTTGGCAAGGCCCGCTCTGGGCTCCAGATCGGCCTGACCAGGGTCGGTGCAAGTGTACATATGCTGCGGTGTGGATCCGCCACAGGTCCCCGAGGCACGAACCGACGTGCCCTGGGGACTGCACGCCACGCCCAACGGTCCGTGGGAGAAGCGGCGTGGGCGACGCGGCTTCGCGGTCAGGTCGCACAAGTCGACGGCTGACCCCAAACGGCCGTGGGGCGGCGCCGCCGCCTTCTTCCGCCATGGACGTCCACGGCTACACCACGACCGAAAACCAAACCGAGCCGACAACGAAGCCGCGGGTCGACCGTTAACGCCCTCGCGGTCTGGACCCCAGGGCGCGATCCCGCGGAGAAGGATGCAAGGGTCTTGGAATGCCATGTTGACTTTTTCGAACGAGTCTGGCCAGCGAAGGTCGGCAAGGATGGACCGAAGGGACAAGGATGCAAGGGCAGCTGTGGAACTTTGCTCATCCTTACCATTCGACTTGACTGTGCGGGCGGAGCGGTTCTGATTGCCTTAGTGCCAGCCCAAAATGCCAACTCCAATTAAAAGCCTGTGTTGTGAGCTCTTCCCCAAATCGGCTTTTCGATCGGGAGAACGCCGAATGGGGCCCCAAATGACTCACACCCTGGCCCCTGAGTTTCACAAGATGGCCCCAAAGGGCGCCACAGGGGAGGAACACTAATTCGCAGTTCCAGCCCTTTCCCCAGAGATGATCCTTGAGACTGCCGAAGAGGCCCTAAAGAGGTCCCAAATAAGAGGCCCCCAAAGAACCCCAACGGGGCCCAAAGAGGCCTCCACCGGGGGCACCCGAGACGCGTCCGGGGGGCGTGGCAACAGACCCAGCAGAGGCTTCTCAAAATATGCCTCTTGTGCATGATCCAAGCACGGCGGCTAGATGGACTGGAGGCCACCAAATCCGCCGCTCCTTCGCTTGAATACTGCTGCTTGGCGAGCAGAGTGCTATCACTGTTGGGGGCCATTCCAACAAGTTCCTGGCGGCCTCCAACCCAGCCCGCCAAACACTCAAAAACCACCCCACACAAACGGAAAACCAAGAAAACCCCTGCGTTCAGATTCACAAGGATGGTCCAACATGGCCTCCAAGACCGACCCCAGACGCGTTCCCGCCGGGACGCTTTTTGGCAGTAAAATGTACCCGATCGAGTTGAGATCAAGATGGCGAGCGGGAATAAGATCAAATATCACGGGAAAAAATACTAGAGCTCGAACGAATTGTCAAATTTCGAGAACAACATTTTCAACCGACCTAAAATAAAGCCCCAATAAGGCTGTAAATGGTCCTGGAATGCCTCGAAGACGGTCGACAATGGCTTCGAGAGTGCCACAGACGGCCTCAAGACTACGAGAGGCCCCCCCAAGACGCCATAACAGAGCTGCACGAGGCCCTCCAGGAGGCCCGACGAGGCCCAAATCACACGTCTACCATTCATGTGTAATGGAATTTCGCGTGCTTGATTTTCGGGCTCGACACTATCAAGAAGGCCTCAAGACAGCCCAGGAAGCCCCCACAAGGGCCCCAGTACGGCCCGAGACAAACCCTACTGGTAGGACATACGACGGTAAACCGTTTAAACCTGATCCCCTGGCAAGTCGCTGCAAGGACCCTTCAAATCCAGTAACACACGCATGCTCAATTGCGACTTTCAAGGAAACGGTGTGCCCACAAATGTGGTTCGCGCCCTCCGAGGACCTTGGCAAGCTTTGCGAAAGACCAGGACGTGTTTGCCAGGTGCTGCTCCGTGAACTGCCCCAGTCTCGCCAGAGATGCCGAGGCGATGGCGTCCAGCAGTGGTCCGGGGCTCCACAGCATTGCGGCGCAGGACCAGGCGAGGTTGGACAGGCCCTGCGGGCCGTAGTCCACGACCGCCCCCGAGGAGTCGGCGATCGCCGCCATCAGGGGTGCGTCTGCGACGGAGAGCTTCGCGAACGCCCAGAAGATGTTCGCCGCCTCCTGCGGAGCGGCGCCGAGCAGCATCTTCCTGGTCTCCGCGGCTATGGCTCCCATCAGAGGCAGATGCTTCACCCGGCTGCGGGCGAACGCCCACGCGGAGTTGCCGAGGTGCTGCGTCGAGAAGTCCTCGATCACCGCGATCGCCTGCGAGGCTATGGCGTCCATGAGCGCCTCGGGCCACAGGCGCTGCACGGCGAACGACCAGGCCGTGTTCGAGCACTCCTGGGCGCCGAACTGGCAGCACCTCCGCATCGCTGCAGAGGCTATCGCGTCCAGCATCGGCTCTGATGCGACGCGAAGGCGCGCAAACGACCACGCGGTACTGGTGAGGTGCTGCGGGCGCATCTCACCGATCTCCCCGGAGAGCCTCTTCGGCGGCGAGCGAGGGCGAAGTGAGGAGGAGAAGACCTTCTCAGAAGGCTCGGAGGTCCCCCGGTCTTCTGAGAAGCTTTCTGGGCCTTCCCCGAAGACAAAAAAAATGTTCTCAGAAGGCGCGAGGGCTTCTGAGAAGTCCCACCGCCTTCCTAGAAGGCCTTCTCCTTCTCATGTCCCCCCCTCGCTCGCGGCCGACCTCTGCACCAGCAGGCCAACCACCCCGTCGCCGCCGCAGGGCCCCCGGGCGAAGCGGGCAAGCCGGTGCAGGCCCGTGACCGCGTTGACGGCGTCGAACTCTCGCCAGTGCCTCCCGCACAGGGCCTGAGGAGAACAGAAAGGTGCCGATGTTCGGCGGCGAGCGAGGGGGGGAAATAAGAAGGCGAAGACCTTCTCACGAGGCGGCGGGGGCTTCTCAGAAGCCCCCCGCGCCAGGGAAGGCTCAGAGGACTTCTCAGACGGCCAGGGGTCTTCCGAACCTTCTCAGAAGGCCTTCTCCTTCTCACTTCGCCCCCCCTCGCTCGCCGCCGAGCGAAGAGTACGCCGCTGCTCCCGAACATCTCCTGGGGCTGCATTCTGTCGGCGGTGGACAAACCTCCCTTTAGCAAAGCTCCCTTGAATGAAAACGGCCTGACGGACCAGGACCCGCAAAATGACGGCTGCGACGCCCTCTCGCGAACCGAAGACGGCAAATTCGCCAATCGACTTGTCAGGGCAGGAAACCTATCACCCTCCGCTTCTGACAATCGTGAAGGGGCCCTGGGACACACAAAGAAATACACACAAATAATTAACGGGATTCCTGGTATTTTCCCATGTTTTCTGGGTTCTTGTCTTCCCCCCCACTGCCCAGATTTTCCCATACTTTCTGGGGAATCGACGATTCATTGCGTCCGTGTGTTTTTTTCCTCCCTCCTGAAATCGGGCTCCGAGGCGAGCCTGGCCGTGGCGTCGAGGCCCCCCTCCCCCCGCCCGGGATCGGCCGGCCCGGGCGGCCCGAGAGAGGGGGGCAGGCAGGGGGAGGGCCATCGGCACCACGGCGTGCCCTTTTTCTTGTCTTGGGGGGAGAAGCGCTCCCCCCGGGATCGGCCAGGCGGCCCGAGAGAGAGGGAGAAGACGACGGGGAGGGCCTCGGCACCGCGGCGTGCCTTTTTCGTTTCTCCTGGGGGGGGGGGGGGGGCGAGCGATGCCCAAGCACACCGAAGACTCGGAGGCCCGCGCGGACATCCCGGATATAGGAGGAAAACAAACCTACCTCGCGTGGTATGACTTGGTTGTGTCTGGAAGCGAAAGCGGGGTAGGTATTCCGGATTCCATAATAAAGTGGGGGGGGTCACATTTTGGGGGGGTCTGATTTCAGCTGTCTTGGAGGGCTCGGGGGTGTCTGGGCAAAGGGCCGCCCTTTCATGGATGGTCTGGGGGGGTCTAAGACTTCTCGTCTGGGAGGGTTGTGACCCCCTCCCTTTTATTACGAAATCTGGGGTAATTCACGGTCTAAGGATGGGCGCTCCGACCCCCCCCGTGCCCTGGCGCGCAGAGCGCGCCCGGGGCGGCGGCGCAGGCGCCGCCAGGGGCCCGGTGCCGACCCGAGACATCGGAGCGCAATGCCCCCCGACTCTGGGCCTCCTGGATGGGGGCGGAGGAGAAGGAGGAGGAGGAGGAGGAGGAGGAGGAGGAGGAGAAGGGGGAGGAGGAGGAGGAGGGGGAGGAGAAGGGGGAGGGGGAGGGAGGAGGGAGGAGAGAGGAGGAGGAGGAGGAGGAGGAGGAGGAGGAGGGGGAGGAGGAGGGGGAGGAGGAGGAGGAGGATGTGTCATATTGCGTGTTCCCCGACTCTGGGCCTCCCGGATGGGGTCGGAGTAGACGGGGTCGGATGACCGCGCTGCATCGCCGATGCATCGGCGATGCGGCTCGATTTGGAGCCCGATTGTCTGCATCCCGCCGTCGCCGACGCACCTCCGACGTCACCGATGCATCGCCCATGCATCGGCGATGTGGCACGATCGTCTGACCACATCTGCTCGGAGCCGTTTTGGGAGGCCTCCAGCACGACCTCGGGGCGGCCGAAGCCCTCTGGCACGCGGGCCGCTACTGCCGCGTGCCGCGTCGCGCGCCACGATCGGTGTGCGCTGTCGCCGATGCATCGCCGATACGGCTTGCTGGACCAGCAAACAAACGACACCACCCCACCTGCGGCCCCACTCGGCGGTGGACAAACCTCCCTTTAGCAAACCTCTCCTTAGTGAAAACGGCCTGGGACCGAAACCGACGGACCTGGACCCGCAAAAATAACGGCCTTGACGCCCTCTCGGGAACCGAAAACGGCCAATTCCTTGATCGACGTGTCAGGGTAGGAGGTCCATCCACCTGCGACCTACGGGGTCCAGCGTATGCGACGAACTCTGGCCTGGGCTCTTGCGTGGTACACGCTGCAGCGCCCGAAGGGCCGGCGCCATTTGATCTTATTGGTCGATTTGCCTCGCTCCCCCGCGTGCCTCCACGTCCCGAGCGCCCGTGCAGGCCGCGATCTCGTGGTTGAGCTAGACGCAGGCCGCAGACGGCGGCGGCCCCTCCTGTGCGCCACCCGGGAGGCACCCACGCGCGCACGGCCGCCGGGATGCCGCACCCTCAGTCGAAGCCAGGACGAGAACGATTTTTTTGTTCTGCGCACTTTTGGAGGGGAGGGGGAGAAGGAGCGGAAACCACACCAAGGCGGCCGAAGCTGAGCTCACACTCTAACCGATCCTACGGCTCCCTCACCGTGCCCGTGAGGTGGACCCCGAAGTCCTGTGCCGAGTATGCTGGAAGCCAGGACGAGGACGAATCCGGGCGAGGAATCCGGGCGAGGATACATCGATGGCCTCTGAGATCCGGCGGCTCCGGAGGACGTCTCGCGAGGCGCCGCGGCCCTCTCAGGGCGTTCCAGGAGGCTCTGGACCTGACTCACCCGCGTCCTGGCCTCCCAGAAATACGACGCCCGGCTTGTCCCGGAAAGTCCCGACCCTAGCCCCGGGACCAGTGTTTCATCCTGAGCCGTTTTTTGGAAGGTCCTGGGACCCAGCGAAGGCCCCCAGTAGGCCGAAAATGGCAAGACACCTGCCGTCATGCTTTCTCTATCAGCGCGAGCATGTCATCGGCTCCCCATCGAAAACCTAAGGAAAACCTTAGGCAAACTCTGAAACAAGACAGGAACACCGAGCCCCTGCCCAACGACAAGTTCCTTCTGCAGCGCCCACACTGTACAATCGGACCCAGACCAGAAGAACACCTCCCAAGAGTATGAGGCCTCCATCGGCCAAGACAAGCAGAATGTCCAAAGGCACCCGCCTCAGGATGCACGATCGGGTCGGGCGAAAAGGGGGGATAGCAAAGGGGTGGGTTGAGAATCAGCTCACGTAGCTGATTTCCCCGGCGCCTCCCCGCGACGAGAGGCCCCCATGTATCGAGGAATGGGCCCCTCGGTGGGGCCGAAACCAGCTGCATGCAGCAGATTTCGTAACCCCGATTTCATAACCCCCCCTTTCCCAATCCCCCCCTTTCGCCCGGCCCGACAAGAGCATGAGGCCTCCATCGGCCAAGACAAACAGAATGTCCAAGGGCACCCGCCTGCGGATGCACGAGAGCATCCCACAGGCACGCAGAACCCTATGGGGCCCGCTCCCCCGCGCCGACCTCGACATCGTGCTTCGGCCCGACGGTAGGCCAGGCTGGCCTCCACGGGCCTTCCCGAGCAGTCTCAGGGGATTTGTTGGGCGATTCTTTTTTAACACCAAACATCTTCAGAACATGCTCAGAAGTACAAAAACAAAAACTCCGGGGGACTCTGGGCGAAATCATAAACATACTCCAGAAATCCTCCCCGGACTACTTTTCGACTCTTCTCGAGCATGCCTCCTGTCGAGGGACAGCCCCGACTTCAGAGCAGCCCCAGGGTCTGGGATGGACAGAACCCCCTTTAGTAAAACGTGGTTTAGGGAAAACGACCTCGGGCCCAAACCTGGAGGGCGCAAGCCTGGAAAATGACGGCTGCGGCGCCCTCTCGAGAACCAAAAACGGACAATTCACTAATCGACGTGTCAGGGGGGGGGTTCTGTCCTCCCCCGACAGGGGGCCTCGACACCCCGGCGCCGCCTCCGGCGCCGCCCCTGGGGCGCGCCGCGCCCCAGGGTCGAGGTGCCAAGACTGCCCCCCCGGGCTTCGCTCGGGGGCGGCCAAGAGGGGAGGGGCCCACAGAGAAACAAATAAATACACACAAATGAAAACATCCACCATATTTTCCCATATTTCCCCATATTTTCTGGGTTTTCGTCTTCCCCCCCCCCACTGCCCATATTTTCCAATATTTTCTGGGGAGTCGACGATGAATGGTGCCACACAAATGAATGAAAGGATTCCCCGCATTTTCCACACAAATGAAAGAATTCCCTGTATTTTCCTATATTTTCGAGGTTTTCGTCTTCCCCCCCACTGCCCATATTTTCAAATATTTTCTGGGGAGTCGACGATTAGTTGTGTCTGTGTGTTTTTTACCTCCTGAAAGAGGGGAGCGTCCCATCTCCCTCAATCATCCAGGCCTTCCGTGCTGACCTTCCACACTCTTGCGCTTCGTGGAACGGTGCGTTTTCTTGAGCCTCCTGAGGCTCTCAATAGTCTCAATGCATCACCTTCCGCACCCTCCGCGGAGGTCGGAAGGTATGGAAGGTGGAGGTGGCGGGTACGCGGCCTCGAGGGCTGGGCCACTGGGCCGCGAACCCGCGGGCACGGGGCCTCTCTTTGCGAGTGCCTCGCGCGGAACGTGGCCGTGTGACCGCGTATCCGCGGGATCGCGCCCTGGAGTCCAGACCAAGAGGGCGCAGATACAATCAACCCACATAAGAAGGACGCACGATACCTATGTTGTTCCCATCGTACTTAAGGACCGCATCCCAAACATAATTTCGAGCACCCGGGGAAGTGTCGAGGGCCCGATACGCGAA